TATCGGTGTTTATACCTACCGTATTGAATAACACCAAGGTTTGCCCTTTTTTGCTTCCACATTGGTAAATTGAGTAATACCATGTTTTGCATTTGGCATTTTGGTGCCCCTTTTCTTGTAGTTCTGACCGGTTAAAAGTTTTGACCCAAACATACATATTATTAGCTACGTTCTACGTACGTACTATAGCTACGTTCTTTCTACATCAAAGAGATGATGATGTGCGCCTCCTAAGTAAAATGAGGAAACCACCGCATGTAGCAAGCGCTTACGATTAAGGTTGCGAAAACGTCTGGTTAATAAAATTATGTTACTTACTTTCCTACTAAATTATTAATTTTAAGTGTTATTTAACTTACTTCGTTCATATGTGTTTTTCTTTTCGTTGAGTGAAATTTAAATCACTTTTCGCTAAAAAAAATTTTCGCTTTTGAGTTAAAATTTGGTATAGGTATACATAGGAATATACCTGACTACCTACCTGAGTTCGGCGACAACGTATTAATATGATACCATGGATGGAACTATGAAGACAAAGCCAGAAATTAAACTCATTGGGTTTGGCTTCGTTAGTTTTGGTTTGATAAATAAGATAAACGCATCTTATTCTGAAATTGGCATCATATTCTGATAATATATAAATATTTAGAAAAGCTATTGTTTATAAGCGACTCACTAACTAAATGTTATTGTGGTATATCTTAATCAATTTATAATAGGGGAAGACTATTCAAAATAGGTTAGTAATATAAGATCAAAGCTCAGTATTTTACAGGGTTTCATAAGTACTATTTCTTATATGAGTCTCGCGTAATAATATATAGTCAGGAATATTTTCTCATTGTTCGAGTCATAAAAAAGCGGCTGATATCGGCTAGAGAAACTCAACTGAATTTTAATAATAAATTCTCTTCTAAAAGACCAAGATTGACACTGGCAATTACATTGCACCGCAGTTTGAAAATATATTTTTTTATGTTGGGAAATGGTCACCGGCAAAGCCTAAAAACTACACACTAAAACCCAACTGAACCTCCCCCATCTTAATGGGGCGTCACAGGTTCACTTACGCACTTAACCATGACCGCAGGCCTGCTGAAGCAGACCACAACAGCCATGGGGTTGCTCCAATGGTCCACTTTGCTATCAGAAAACTACCAGGAGCAACCCGCATGATGGCCCATCGAGGAGGGCCACCTCCCTATACGTTCCTTGACCCGCTATTATTAATATAGAAAACAAAGCCAATCATTCTGAATTTTTTACTAACATGCAATATTTTTCATACAATTTCATAAGTTGGTTTACCTAAGTTATGGCTGGAATAAACAATAGTTTTAATAACCTTGACATGAAACGATAGGTATAAATATGTACTAACTATGCTGGCTAAAACAAGATCTCTTTGATAATAAGCGAAACAGCTCAACATGCTTAAATAAACTAATAATTTATTACAATTCATATCTTGTGAAAGGAATTCTGTTACCTTAGTTCAGGGCTATTTCGGGCTATAGTCTATATAATTAAGTGCCTACTTTATTAGATATGCAAAATTATACTAAAATAAATACGCTTATTAAAAGATCATTTTAAATGAAATTATCTTTTCGGAGAAAAGAACATACTTAATACATATTTAAAGATTTACAAGAAGCATGTTTATAAAAGGGAACTTAAATTTATCATTAAATATAAACTTTAATAATATGCTTTGCGCGCAGCACGACAGTATTTACAAACGAAAAAGAAAAATTATAAATTATGTGGTCATTTTAAAGTGCAACATATTTTTACATAGATAAGTAAGAATGTTTACTTCATAATTGCTAATTTTATCATATAAGTACAAAAAGTTATTCTCATCAAATTATTCTTGAAGCCGCTTAGCCTCGCATTGAAAAGAGGCCTGTGCCCAAGGACATTAAAAAAGGCTGAATGGTGATGATGATAACGACAATGCGAGAAAAGATTAAATAGTTTTATCCCTTTCCTGGCATTGTGAAAACCCCATCCATTATGTTCTTGCTACGTTACATAGGTACGTATATACGTAATATATCGCAGCAAAACATATAAGTACATATTTATGCTCGTGACTGTACCTACCAAAGATACAATAAAAGCTCTATCGCTATTTTCTACGCGTCCAAAGCACTGTTATATTTAGTGTTGCGTAATGTGGGTTAAACAAAATTACACTTGGGTGAACTTTTGACACAATAACAAATAATATATCAGAAAGTGTATTTACGTACAACTATACATAAATATCTTTTTAAGAGTTCGAAAAGTTAACTGATAATTATTAACAGCACTTAAATAGTGTTATGCATTAACAGGTATAAGTAGGGCTAAAATAAGAAAAATATCTTTACGCAATCTGTTATGTATATTAAAATACCGATCAGTTACATTTAAGCTTTTACGAATGAGAGAACGTATTACTAAGAATTAAAAAAATAAAATGTTGTTTGTCAAGTCATGTGTCATTCAGATGTGCACTGTAGTGTCCCAATATCAGCTCCTTTTAATCTACTGCACGTTCAAAATGCTACGTGCTATTAAATTATTAGGTAAACTTATTTCGGCGAAATATAAATCTTTAACCAGAGTAACATTTAGCATTTATTTCATTAAAATTATTGACCTAACCAATCGATTGGGTTATTTTGAAAATTATTGATTTTATTATCATCTTAATTACGTAAATATAATCTGCATACCATACGCACGCATTAAACCCCAAAGATTTGCTGCAACTACTTATTGTCGGATTTTTTAACAAAACGTTATTTTTACACCGCGTTGATTTCTTTCGTCATAACAAAAGTTTCATAAAGTTTTTTCAGTTTTAGAATCTGATATCCTTGCACGAACTTGCGGACAAAGTTCATGCAGTTCATTGTTATGTATTATTTTACATATTTTATTATGTAAAATAATACATACTCTTATATAATATTATGTATTATTTAACATATTATTAGAGGTATAGGATTAACTTTTTAAAATAATATTATACCTGGTCTATACTTTAAATGAGACCCTATTGTTTTTTACTACTTACGTTACCAACACTTCGCTCGGGTTCGCTCTAGAAAAACACTAATAGAGATCTATTAGTTCCCATGGGAACCGTTCATTTTTCCGGGATGAAAAGAGAACCTGTTGTTTGACCGGCAATATAAGGTATCAGAATGTTAAATTTTACTAAATTAGGTGCATAAGTTGTTGTGTACTAAGCTGTATAAGATAATATAGTTTTTTAAGTATCCCACGGGAACTCTTTAATTTTCTGGGATGAAAAGTATCTAAGATGTTGACCGGGGATATAAGGTACAACTATACAAAATTTCATTTAAATCGATTCAATTGTTACGGAGATTAGCCCGTACAAACAGACAAACAGACAAACAGATAGAGAAACAAAAAAATTGAAAAAATTCTGGATTTGTTCTATTTGTCTTTTTACATCCCCCTGACTCGGTTCTTAGAATTTTTTTTCTATGTACAGACATTCGACCTTTACTGTTTTATTATAGTATAGATTATAGTATTGTATTCAGCCCCTTTTTTTAATGTCCCACTGATGGGCACGGGCCTCCCTTCAATACGAGGAGGATCAGGGGGGCGGACTACACATGTCTTCTTTCACCGTAAGGCAAGTGGTAATCGTGTTGGAAATGATTCGCACATGAAAATATCAGAGGTGTTCGACCCGGGATTTGTACCCGCTTCTCTCAGTTTCCCAAGTAAGCGCATTACCACTGGGCTACCACTGCCTTCCTTATTTCCATATATTATTATTCCTTTTAAATATTTATATTATTCATTTTAAAACTAACTATGATTTCGTTATTTTTCCCGGATTTATTTTTTATCTTTTCTCGTGACCATAATTGCAAAATATCTGAAAAGATAGTTTTAAATGTAAAATTAGGGACTTACCCGCGCTTCATTCGGTTGCGTCCCTAGGTATGTAATAAATAGATTCATGTGTACATAAAAAAAGTTATTAGCTAGCGTTAATCGTGTTATATTTTTTTCGTGAATTGTTCGGATTATTTATTAGTTATTCTGCTATTCGGGGCGGAGAAAAAACCAACAAATCAAAGATCATAAAATCTGGTCCAGCTGTTTTTGAGTTATAGTTTAGAGATTATAGTTTTTGAGTAAATGGTGTAATTAAACAGACTTTATTTTAATATTAAATGTCAAATATTCGTGTAATTCAAGTCTTATATAATACTTACTAATTATTTTTTTTCTTAATTCATTTAGTAATTTGCAAAATGTCCACTGTACTCATATGTATGTACCTACTACAATTACCGAGATTATTACTTACAATTTATACAAAGCGCAGAACACGCACTAACATAATTATTTTATTTCAAATGTGCCAGGTATATAATTAAGATCTTTCATGCAATTTAGTTTATGTCTATATATAATTTTCTTGAGATTTCTTTATGAGATAAGTTATACTTATATAAACATATTATGTGTATATTATGTGTGGAATATATATTTATAACAAGTAAAAATATATTCATTAAAATATACATCGCGCCTATTTCACAACTGACATTTATTTAAGTAGACAAAATAATAACAAGCGTAATATTTTTTTTGTACCGGAAGTGGCGCGAAAATTTAATTTTCGCTCTTGAAAAACTTGGGGAACCTCATGCAATGTAGTCCATGTATGATTCAGGAACTTCAGAGTCATCCGTCTCTTTATTGCATTATCAAAATAGGGATGGAAAAATAAATATTTGGATTATTATAAAATAATTATTTCAAATTATTACAAAAAGCTTCTAAGGAGCGCAACTTTTGTCTGTATCAGTAAAGTAATCATACATATTGTTAATGTTTTTATACTACTTACTATTTTTTTTGTTTAAAATTAATATAACGCATATAAAATAAGCTTATTTTTCTATCATATAGAATAAAGATTTAAAAAAAATCGAAGCAATTAAAAAACTCACCGAAATTCAAAAATCCAATCGATAAAACCAATAACGTTAATATTTTGGAATACATTTTACTTCACTAAAATAATATCACATAAGATCACAGTCAATAATGGCACTTTCTTAGCTTTGCGGGTCTTGGGTGAGAATGTCTGGTGCCGACTAAGACTGGAGAAGGCAAATGATGCCGCGAGCTCGGTGGTTGCATAAGTACTTGCCGCTGTTGATTCAGATTATCATTTGGCGGACACAAATACTTTCGCTGCACTTTATTGCTACAGTGTGCTTGCCCTCTTTAGCTGCCTAAATATTAAATAAGATCAGATATAATATATTCGCGTCTATAATTAAGCCCATAAATTAAATACCTAAATATTTAAAATTAGAAATTTTATTACTATTCAAATTAAAGGTACATAAATAGGTCAATGCTATTCGAGGTTGCGCACCGAGAGTTCCCTACCGTCACAATTCTCATAATATATGTACAATCTACGGAGGTATGTTTGAGTATTGGCCATTAAAATAAGAAGAAAAGCGGTTAAAACTCCTGGCACGAGACCAGTTCACATTTGGCCTGTTATTGATTTTTACCGTAGAAATCAAACTTTGACGGTTATATAGGTATACGTATTACCTTTTTTACGACAAGACCTTTATATTCTTATGTAGAGTCTAGATGTACTAATGTAGGTACATCAATCTTTAACGTTTTGATTTTTATTATTTAATAAAAAAAACTGCCGTATGGAAAAAAACATATTTTGTAAAAATGCAACTGGTTAACCGATACGGTAAAAAGATGGCAGCTATTTAAAGGTAAAAAAATTTTTTGGTTGTCATGACCCCCCCTCCCCCAAAGCCAAATATACTTTTTTGAGAAGTTTGAAGTCTAAGAAAGGAAGGAATAAACGGATAAACATTTCGATTTTAAAAAAATGGTTATTATATGTATTTTGAAGATTATATTCCCCTAGTTTCATGAATATCAAAAAGTTTTTGCAGAAATCTATATACATACTAGCGGACCCGACAGACGTTGTCTTGTCTACACGTCTTTAATTGGAAAATTTCAAACTTTTTTTAATAATTTTTTTGATGAAAATTATTATTCAAATTGTGAATCTAAACCATTCCCAGATCCCCTTGAACACACACAAAAAATTTCATCAAAATCGGTCCAGTCGTTTGAGAGAAGTTCAGTGACTAACACACTCACAGAAGAATTATATATATAAAGATAATAAAATTGTAACTAAGTCGAATCTGTACATTAAATATTTTTTGGAAAATCTAATTGAAATAGACATTATTATCGTTACAGAGTCTTATATAAATATTTAAGAAGATATATATATATATATATATATATATATATATATATATAAATATATAAGAAGATATATATATATATATATATAATATATATATATATATATATAAGGGATAAGAGACTTGAGAAATGATTCCCCATACGAACTTTCATCCCCCTTTAACCCCCTTCCGTGATGATTTCCTGGATTAAAAACTATCCTATGTCCTTCTCAGGGCTTCAAACTATCTCCATACCAAATATCATCTAAATCGGATCAGCGGATTAAGCGTGAAAAGGTAACAGATAGGCAGAGTTACATTCGCATTTATAACATTAGTATGAATTTAAAATATTATGGTACAAATAAATGTAAATATTAATTTATATTCGTTTTTCTATAGTAATTTACTTTTGTAAGAAAATTAATAATGTTAAATAATGGTGACTTACTTATTTTATTATTAACTTTATTTCTTAGGATTTACTGACTCAAAACATGATTTTATAAAGCGTTTTAAATATATAAAAATAATTATTATTGCTAGTGTACCTTAGGAGATAGACATACGTTATGACTCTTTTGTAGGCCTTTTTATGACCTAATGTTTAGCCGGCGTTAGCCATGTAAATTTCTAAGAACGACTCGACACAACCATTTAGTGTGTTTTCCCAGGGGAATGAAAGATTTTCTTGTAGTAAAAAGTATACTAAATGTTATTCCGAGTAATAAGTTATAACTACTTTAATTTAATAAAATCGTGACATCCGTAGAAAAGATAACTTGGCCATCAACCAGTGATGATTATATTTATTTACACATTCTTTAGCTATATTTGCCCAAACTCTTTTTTCCATCTTTATTACATCTGATTGTATTAATGTTTGGTTTAATCTTTCATTCCCGGGTTGGATAGAAGCATACCGATAGTCTCCGTTTGCGTACATTCATGACTAGTTCTATAAAATCATTTTCATTTTGAGTATTAGATGTAATAATAAAAGCGTATCTAATAAAGTGGTCTACTAATTAATAATTATAAGTATTTTTGGACGATCTTAAGCCGCTCGCTCTTAAATTTAGCTCTAAAACCTCCAATTTTGTATCGATAAACATTATTTCGAAAGTCCAAATCTGTCATGTCGGATGACTAATTGTCTATGTGCATTAGCGCAAGGTTGCCCAGACATTCGTCAAATACTTAATTGGCCATCTTTATATATATAATTCTTCTGTGAGTGTGTTAGTCACTGAACTTCTCTCAAACGACTGGACCGATTTTGATGAAATTTTTGTGTGTGTTCAAGGGGATCTGGGAATGGTTTAGATTCACAATTTGAATAATAATTTTCATCAAAATGGTCCAGAATGTTTTAGCTTATTAAAAAAAGTTTGAAATTTTCAAATTAATGACGTGTAGACAGGACAGGTCTGTCGGGTCCGCTAGTATTCTATATAAGTCAAAAACTTAATTTGCCAAATTCGCGATTCGTCATATTAGTTATTGTCAAAACATATATTCGTTAAATACGGGATTAGTCAAGTTATTGTACAATCTCACACATATGATTTATACATAGGTATTAGACTGATTCAAAAAAATGGACTATTATTATTATTAGAAATCCCCTCGGAAATAGATAGTGAGAAAAGATGCTTGTAAAAAGCGGAACTCTTAATAATACTATTTAGATGTCGCGCATCGCGAATTTCCATTTTCCATAGAAATAGTATGGGAATAGTTATTTTTCATTTTCAAAATTTTATATCTTAAAAACTAATAAATGAATTCGTATGACTAAAACATATTCTTGTAGAGCATTGAACGCTCTATAAAAACGCTCCTTATCATTTTAATTATATTATAGTTATAAACCTACTGGTTTAAAAGTTATTCAAACTGAAAGTTAAGTATACCTATTTCAATAAATAAAAATGGCTGTTGAAACCAATGTATGATAAGTATGTAGCCCTTTAACAGTTCCACAAAGAATCTGCGACATCTGTCGTTCTATTCTTTGTGGAACTGTTAATAAACTGTTATAGTAGACTATATACTTTCAAATTTTAGCACACAGTAGCTTTTATATTAAACCCACTTTCAAACAGGAGGAGGTTCTCAATACGTCGGAATCTTTTTTTTTATGTATGTTCACCGATTACTCGAAGACACCTGAACCGATTTGGTTTTTTTTTTGTTTCAAAGGGTATACTTCCCAGGTGGTCCCATATAAATTTTATCCAAAACGACTTTTTTTAAATCAACAAATAATTTTTTTTTTAATAAATTGCTCAGTCGAATATGTTATTAAAAACTTTCTTCTTACAAATTACCTCCTTATTGTGTCTACACTAAAGATGGAAAAATAAAAAGAAATAAAAACCGACTTCCAGGCACTAAAATGTAAAAAATAACTAAACGGGGGTTTTCATTTAGAATAGATATTAGATACCTAATCAGATATTTTCGAAGTCGGTGCCAGCCGACAATATTTTAAGATATGAATATCTAATAGGTAAATATGTATTTTACGTATCGAAATATATTAGATTTGCTTTGCATCGACTGGCACCGACTTTGAAAATATCTGTTATGTATCTATTACATTTTACTGTATGTAGTTCTAGGAGCTTTATTTTATGACAATCTTTAATTTTTTTAAACTATTTGAACTCGTAACAATCTATTTCCTGGTGAACAACTATATAAAACTATCTATCAAAAGTAAAATATTGTAAGTAAAATATCACAAGTATATATTTGTCTATTATGGCTTTCAGGCGTGTAAGTTGGGCACAGTTTACTTCGCTAATGTGAATTGTCACATATAATGCAGAAGACGTTTTAACTATCTATGTATTATAAATTGACGTTTGACAGTGGCAGTAGATAGAATAACATTTGCTTACAAAAAAAATAATTTTAATACAACGTGCTTTTTAGTTTTTACTTTTTAGTGTTTACAATCTTAATTACTTATTTTAGATATTATATAAGTACATAAAACAGGATTTAAATATAATAAAAATGTCACAATTAGAAGAAAAGCCAAGAGTATTTTTGGAAGAATTTCGTGTAAAGGTATAAAGCCTATAATGTATTTATAATATGTTAATTCTATATTGCATTCAGAACATACAAACAATCATCTACAACATATTATTATATGATACCCATTTTTTATATAAAATAAAATAACTTTATATATATTTTAGAATTCCCCTGATGATTATGGAATGGCTGATGAAAAATGGAATTTCAAAAAATTTGTTAAGAACTTTCGCATAGTTATAGTACGGATGGACAATGCCGAAATGGAATTTGATTTAATTGGAATCCAACCTGCATTTGCAAATGCTTTCCGCAGACTTATGTTGAGTGAAGTACCTAGTATGGCTATTGAAAAAGTATTGATAAAAAATAATACATCAATTATACAAGACGAAGTACTAGCACATAGATTGGGCCTAATTCCTCTTAAAGCAGATCCTAGATTATTTGAATATCGCCCAGAAGGTCAGTCTTTTATTTTTTGTTTACATTAAGTTTAATCAAAAGCTTCATTTATCTATAAAAAATTTTTATTCATTACACAGATGCCACTGAAGGAACAGAATTTGATACCTTGGAATTTTCCCTAAAAATAAAATGCACATCTAATAAGTCACAAAATAAAGATTCTTTTAGAGCTGAAGATCTGTATGAAAATCATAGTGGTATGTAGCGGTTTCAATAAAGCTAAATAGTGATTTGTTATGTTTTTAAATGCTAATGAATTTGGACATAAAAAAAGGATGAAATAGTGTTTGAATATTATAAATATTTCTTTTATTGTGTAGAATTGATTTCATCACCTTAAATATAAAATTTTGTTGATTGATTAGGTAAAATATTTTAAAATTCTATTGCATGCATCATTAGAATTTTGCCAAAATATATAAATAATACATATTATATTGTACTTTGTACTAAAATAAAAAAAATCATATTACAGTTTATTCATCAGCAATAAAATGGAATGCTATTGGCAACCAAGCATCTGTTCATAAAGAGGCAGATATTGGCCCAGTACACAATGACATTCTTATAGCCAAGATGAGGCCTGGCCATGAACTAGATCTAAATTTAATTGCGGTTAAAGGCATTGGCAAGGATCATGCAAAATTTTCACCTGTTGGTTAGTATTAACTTTTTTTAAATCTGTGTAATTATTTATTTCTGATTGAATTTTTTTCACATATATCGATAAAAAAATAATTTAATAAAATAAAAACAACCCAACTGCATAATAAGCGAACTAAAAAGATAACAAGTTGATGAAGGAACACAATATTATGCCATAGGAGACATACAAATATACATGTTTTGTAATAGCTGCCTGTGTGTTTCCGACTGCATAATACTATGCTCCTTTGTCTACTTGTTCTCATCTTTTTAGTTGGCTTTTTACGAAGTCAGGTTTTTTATTTCTGTTAATATTTTTTTTATTTACTACTTTTTCCTTTTGGTGAAGTAGACATTTTTAGCTTAATTTAAAAATTTGTTATCGTAAAAAAAGTTTAAACATATAAGTTGTATATATTTTTGTAATTATCTCTTAAAAACCTGTATTTTGATACCACACTTCTTTAATTTAAAAGAAAAAAAATTTTAAGACTCAAATTGGCACCTCATATTCGCCATTTTGATTTTTGACAAAATCTATATATCATATATTTACCGAATATAAGACATTCTGTCCGAAAAATTTCTTCGCGCATTATTTTTGTAACTTTTAAATTAACATTGCGGCCTTGTGAACGTGTTCAGGCTGACAGTGTTTCAATAGAACCAATCGAAATATACGCTCACTTTGCAAGTGAGATTATATTTACCGAGACGGATTTCGTACGCCAAGCCGATATCTAGTAGCATGGACGAATTAGAGATAATTCGTTCATGTCTAGTAGTATTGTTGATCGAAGACACTCGCGTTATCAAGATGAATCGAACGACTTATGAATCATCAAAATCGGTTTAGCCGTTTTGTAATTACGAGGGAACACAGGATCAGACATACATACAGATCACAAACATAACCCTCCTTTCGGCTTTCAGTCTGGTAAAAAACCAAAAGAATATTTATGTATGTCGCAGGAAAATTGTAAAAACTGTTAAATTATAATTTCACTAGTGAAACGTCTTTTTTGATGCACAGCATGGACTATAGACTTAGTATATAAAGAAATAGAAATGTAATATTTTTTATTATTTATCACGTACCTATTATTTATAGGTTAAGAACTTGGAATTATTTGCATTACCGGCGATAACAGTTTAAAATTTTTCCTTGCCCACAGTCAAAATATCATATTTATTTTTGATAGTAGGGGTTCTAGGTTTGGAATAAGAAAGACCTAACGCTTCGCTCCCGCCCTAGCTTTCTCAGCGAGTCGAATCTGTCACCCAATCGAAAATTAAGAATTACTTTCATATAATTTTCTCGAATTTAAAGAATAGTCTACTTGGATTTTCTACATCTCTGGTCAAAATTTAAAACTGTGTCTCATCTGATATATACAAGACCCCATCTAGAACATTCCATTCTTTTTTTTTTATACCACGTCGGTGGCAATCAGGCATGCGGCCCGCCTGATGGTAAGCGGTTACGGCAGCCTATGGACGCCTGCAAACACCAGGGGCATCACATGCGCGTTGCCGACCCTTTAAAGACCTATTTACTCCCCTTTTGAAGGACCCCATACTGTAGCCCTCTAGGAAAACGTCGGCAGGGAGTTCATTCCACAGCGAAATGGTCCGTGGGAGGAAATTCCTCTGAAACCGAACTGTACGGGACCATTTGGGCTGCAATGTGTGAGCATGAACTCGCTGTCGATGGCGAGCGGTGCGATGATAGAAAGTGGCCGTGAGCATCATTTCAAACAATTCTTCGGAACACAACCCATTGTACAAACGATAGAGCACACATAGGGACGCAAAATCTCTTCTTAGACTTAAGGGCTCTATATCGCTTGTGAGTATTGGATCGTCGACAATTCTCACAGCTCTCCTTTGAACCGAGTCAAAAGGCCCAAGCTGGTATGCCGGTGCTCCCGCCCAGAGATGTGAGCAGTACTCCATGTGGGGACGGACTTGCGATTTATATAAAAGCAGTCTTTGTCCCGGCGTGAAGTACCGCTTCGCTCTATTAAGCACACCTAGCTTTTTGGATGCCAACTTGACCTTGTCTTCCAGGTGACTTCGGAACTGGACGTCACTGGATATGTCGACACCATTCTATCTTACTATCTCATGCCTACAGTGTATAAAGTAATTACAATATGACTGAATGTGTTTAGTGAAATTATAATAAACCTAAAATTGTTCCGTGATCTTGTAAAAAAGGAGACGATCCAGGTAATTATTATTTCACTAGTAAAATTACAATTTCACGGTTTTTACAATTTACCTGCGACATACATATATAATTAATTGCTTTGAAACCGAAGTATTAATTGATAATTTACCTGGTTTATTCAGTATCTTTGGCCTTAGTTTTGGTGAATGTTAATTTTGATGTAGTGCTTGCAAATGTAAGATATGATTCGATACAGTTTCATTTATTTCATTTAATTCGTAATAACAAAAAGTTTGTTTACATTGTCAACTGACATATTTTTAGCGACAGCATCCTACCGCTTACTGCCAGACATAACCTTGACACGTGAAGTAACTGGAAGTGAAGCAACACTTTTGCAAAGCTGTTTTTCACCTGGAGTCATTGGACTAGATTCTAATGGCAAAGCACACGTAAGAGATGCGAGATACGACAGTTGTAGCAGAAATGTATACAGATATGATTGTATAAGAGATGCTGTTATATTAAGCAGAATTAGAGACCATTTTATATGTAAGTTTTATCATATAAAACCTTTTATGAAAATGAATTATAAAAGTGCAGTGTAATTTAAAGTGTTTATTTGCTTGGTGTTTTTTTTTTTCAGTTAATGTGGAGTCAGTTGGAGCTATGCCACCAAACATCATATTTGTAGAAGCCATTAAAATACTTAGAGACAAATGTAAGACATTGTTAGATGAATTAAACAATTTTTAATTTCTTTTTCAATTTGTTTATACTTTATATCCCGACCTGAATTTCTTTGTATTCAATAAAATCATAGAACACATGGAACACTCAATAACAATAACATATGTATAGTGTATCTATTTGTCACTTATTCACATACCTTTATCTTGGCTATCTTACTAGCAGGTTTTAAGTTTAAAGTTACATTAATTACAGTACTTTTGTAAGATACAGACAATATCATGCATATCCAATTTTATATAATTTTAACTCGTAAGTTATGAAGCAAGTAGAACTAGGGAATCCAATCCCGCATACGCGAGATCCCGCACCTTTTTTGCGGGATCGGTGATGCGGGACTACACATACAGGATCCGCTGGATTGAAATAAAAAGGAATTTGAAAAAAATAGGCGCTGACGTTTTTCTAAATATCTCTTAAATTATCTAAGTAAATATTAATTCGTCCCGGTCCCGGCCTCATTAATAAATTATAATTAAACAACTTTCTTAAAGGAACTCATAATTTTGCCTCCCTATAGCAGCGGTTATGCGGCTACTGAGCCGATAAAATGATAGGTTTTGTATGGAAAATGATTGTTTTATTAATTTTTGGCATGAGTTTTTTTAAGATAACTTTGTTGTATTAGAATCACCTGTTAATAGAGTCGGGACTTAATATATAAATACTTACAAAAAATACATCTAATTAAAAATAAATATGTTTAACTGATAATGAATTAAAAAAAGTGTGTGTGTATGCAATTCACTCACGGTAGAAGCACGGTAATGTAATGCATACAGTATTCCAACTCGGGCCCGTCCTTGAAATAATTACCTACACCCGAGCGGCACGTACCCAAGCAACAGGACTGCCCGCCGTCCTTTATTTTAATTTCATCTACCTACTTGAGTTTCTTTCTAATTTTGTGATTTCAAATATTATATTTTTTATTAAAAACTATTATTAGTAGATTTAATTAAAAAATCTCAAATTTATAAGGGTGGTATGCCCTTATAAATTTGAGATTTAAAAATATTTACTTAATAAAGACTTAATTTAATACACCTCTTATACAAACCTAATATATACCTTTAATATTTATAAAAATACGATTATTTCTATGTTCTACCTATTGATAGGTTCGACGTCGGTGCCTTTAGTATAGATTTCTCAGATCGCGGCGAGTGTATTATTGGCAACTTACGATAAATATTAGTCAATTATTTGTTTAATTAAAACATTTGTTGATTATAATGATGATGATAATACATTTTTAGAAAATTGAAAGTTATTCAATATTTTTTTGGTTTTGCAATGCCCAATGCTTTTTGCCTAATGGCCTTTGTAAAATTAAGAATTTTCTTTTAATCCTCTCGCGGAAACAATGAATCCTTAGCCTTTATACTTAAATTAAGAGGTTATAGTTTTAACGGTTAGTATGAAATACAAATCTTTGTATTTCTCGGCTTTTCTGTACTATAATATGCATGTATAATACATAGTATCTGGGCAACCGAGCCATGCTCGGAGATTTTGGCCAAAAGAACAATTTTCTTTTTAATTTGGCTTAAAAACAAAAAAAAACTAAAAACTTGAATAAATACAAAAAAAATTAAAAACTTTATTTCCGACCAGGCTTCGAACCCGGACACCTATGATTGTCAATCTTGCGCCTAGGCCGATTGACCACAATGCCGAATGCATGCGAAGTCAGAGACTATATTATGCGTGGAATAATGCGAAAGAAAACCGCATAAAAACTCGGAAACACACGTTTTCCCAGACATAAGACTAATCTAGATAGATTTTTTGCCCCCGAAAACCCCCACATGCGAAATTTCAGCGAAATCGTTAGAGCCCTTTCAAAGATAAATAAATAAATATACAAGAATTGCTCGTTTTAAGGTATTAGATAACCCTTCCTTTTGAATCACTATCTATTGCTGAAAACTTCATTAAAATCCGTTGAGTAGTTTAAAAGGTCTACGCGAACAAACAGTAAAAGCGACTTCATTTTATTCTATGTAAAGATATTTCATATTTATATATTAAAATCGGTTACGTAGATCCAGAGATTAGCCCTACAACGTCACAAACTTTACCTCTATAATATTAGTATACACTATACATTTATTAGTTGTTTTATCTTTTAACACTGAACTTAGTGCACTCTGGTGGTGCACTTGAAAACTAATTCACGTTCCAATTAAGCATTGACACACTTCGGCATGGTACGCTAAAGTGCGGCATTATGTTCTGTAATTGGAAAACTACCTTAGTGGAGGGTGCATTTTGCATTAGTTACCTAAGTATATAGTTTACTATATGTGGCAATCGCAATATACTCTATGTAGTTTACGCATCTGTGATATTTGACGTTTGAAAATATCTTTTTATTATTAAAAACAAAAAGGAAATAACTTAGATTAGTAATATAAATTAATATTTTTTCTTACATTTCTATAAAGAGTTTCAACAGTCAACTTTAAATAAAACGATGGGTAGTCTGGATAGAGGAGTGTTAACAGGATTTATATGTCGTTTGTGCTCGGAAATGCACCGTGTTGTTCTTCACATTTACGGAGAGGAAGGAATTCGATTATGTATATCTGAAAAAATCAATAGATATCTTTCAATAAATGTGAGTATTGCATTTGTTATAACATGTTTCACTCTTCCACGTTCGTTGTGTCAATGACATAATATATTATTACTGAGACAATACATTTATTTTAGGTGTCTCGATCAGATCCACTACCCAAAACCATTTGCAAGAATTGCTTAGAGCGATTAGAAAATCAACATAGATTGGTGATGCGCATCGAACATGCTGCAAATATGTTAAAAGGACAAAGACGTGCACGCGTTGGACGGGGATGCTATGTCAGCCTTTGTGATAATTCAAATGGACCACCACATCCACCTATACCAAAATAAAATATTAGTAGTTTCTCAGCACCTAGTAGGTATTTATAATTAAGCTAGAATGTAAAGGCAGTTTTGAATATCTTAAAATACTAAATTAGTAATGTTCTCAATGTTATGTTTTCTATTTACAATTCTTCAAAAAATCTTTCACTGTTCACACTATAAAGAACTATTTTAATTGAAGCATTTAAATACTTAGATACAATCTGGCTAAGTGCAATTTTATGTTATTTTAATTATTTTATTAAACATTTTAACAACAATAGGCATTTGTAAATATTCTTTACATTTTTGTTTAGGTAACTGATAGTTATAGTAATTTCTATTTAAATATTATAAAATTACTTGAATGAGTTGTAGAAATTTAGCAATAATAGACACAAAGTAATGACATATTATAAGTTTATTGGATATATGCTATGTATATTTGTTACAATACATTTTTTGAGTTATTTCTTTAATATGTAAAATTTATTAATTATGATCTTAATTATTATATAATCACTAAATTATGTTTAGTGTAAGGTATTTAAATAAATATTATGAGATCTAATTATACTTTTTATTAATTCTATAGAGAAATAAGAAACAAATGACAAACACTGATTCTCTGGAAGTCTTCTCTTCATATTTGTGAGAAGGTTATCTATTGATAGTTGCATAGTTGTTTTTAATTATTTTTATACTTAATATTATAATGTTAAATTTATTATATTTAAATAACACTATTTTTTGTAAGTTATTTGTATTTTTAGTCATGAAAACTAAGTAAAATATTGCAGTGATGGGAAAACCTTATTAAAATTTGTTTCACATAAACCTTACAAACCATAAGGTTACATTTTTAAAGTAACTATGACTAAAAAAGACTGATTTAGAAGTGAAACTTCTTTACAATCATTGTGATTTGAAACTCGATGATACGGATATGAGACAATAAAAATAAAACAATCTTTTTCTAAAATAAAAGTAGCCTATGTTACTCCCTATAAAATTATTTAGCTTTTCCACTGACATTAATATTTAACTGATGATGACATTCTCCTAGCCGATTCCGGCCACGGTGGCCAAGCTCATTGAGACTAGTCAACTGCACAGGAGATATTATAGTGCACAAGTGTACGCGCAGACACAACGTGCACTCCCTATTCCTGTCACTCTCATACTCTGGTGGGACGACTGCTCGACACGACCAGTGAAAGTTAAGGCGCAGGACCGACGGCTTTACGTGCTCTCCGAGGCACGAGGGTGAAACAACGCCCAACCTCCCAACTCCGGGCTGTTAATGAGACTTACTATACAGAAAGACTCAATAACTAAACTTGGCCCGACCCTGGACTCGAACCCAGGACCTCCGAGTGTGCAGCCGTACATGCTAGCCACTACACCACCGAGGCAGTTAATAAAATAACAAATATAAATAATAACTAACAATAAAAACAAATATAAATAATAAATAACAAATAAAAATAACAAATGTAAATAATAAAATAATAAATATTTGACTATTCTATAAGAAACGGTATTTTCCCAGAGGAATGGAAAAAAGCTCGAATAGCAATTTTCAAGAAGGGAGATCGTGCAGATATTAAAAACCAGACCAATATCTATTTTATTGTGTTTCTCTTGCTTTTTAGAGCCTTGTTTATCCCACACTAAGTAAGCATTTTAAAAGCTTATTTAACAGTTTGCAAAATGGCTGGATTATCAGTGCAGACTAATTTAACTATCTTTACTTCGAATTTAGCACAAACGATAGATAAGGGGGATGAAATTGATGCTATACATACAGATTTTAGCAGCGTATTTGATAAAGTAAACCATCATATACTTTTAAGCAAACTAAGCCAGTATGGCCTTAATAGTTCTTTGATTAATTGGTTTAAATCTTATCCATAGACCACTAACAGTTACCGCAGTTGATTTCGAATTTGAGGAATATTTTGCCAAAAGTGGGCTGCCTCAGGGTTCACACCTTCCCGGGGCAGAGGCTGACTGCTACCGGGCGCGTCCCCCGGGTGGCGGATAGGGGAATGCCACTCGCGACTGTTCCCCCAGACAGGAGCTTGTGGTACCGGAGCAATCCGGCGCGGACCAACAGCCAGGAGGGGCAGGGGGAGCGGTGTCAGGAGGGCGCCGTCTCCTCCTTGGAGGTAGCGCGGTGTCTCCGGCCGTTTTGCGGTAGGAGGCGCTGCGCGGGCCGTGCTGCCGGGGCTAGCCCGTCGGTGCGGCGGCTGGAGCGGGGCCATTTCGGTGGTCCTGCGTCTGGCGTGGTTGTCGGCAGCCATCTTGGTCCGGAGGTGGGCCGACGGTAGGGGGGCCGCGGGGGAAGAGGAGTGTCGGTATGGCGATGCGCCGCTCGTCCCTATCTCCCGCGGCCTAGCGGGGCCACCACCGTTAGATGGTGGACGCGGTGGGGCTGCAGAGGAAGAGGAGTGTCGGTGTGTCGTTGCCGCTCTCCCTGTCCTCTGCAGCCGATTGGAGGTGGCCTACTTCGGTGGGCGGAGGTTGGATTTGATGGGGCTGCTCCGGGTACCTCTCTGGTGTAGCAGAGTTGACTGTGGAGCAGCCTCATCGGTATGGTGGTCAGCCATCGGCAGACCTGCCGCCGGGGCGCCGTAGTAGTTATGCGCGAGCGATCCTGCGGCGTCCCATTAAGGCGGAGGGGAGGGGAATGTCGGGTTTTAGTGGGTAGTACCGGCTCTTCTAGCCGGTGAGCCCCACATAACCACCTGGGGGGGGAGGGGGGGTTTATCAGGTGGCATGCGTAAATGCATTTCCCGACAATAAAAAAAAAAAAAAAAAAAAAAAAAAGGGTTCACACCTTCCCGGGGGAGAAGCCAACTCCTACCGGGCGCGTCCCCAGGTGGCGGATAGGGGAATGCCACCCGCTTAGGGCGGCGGGTGGTACCGGAGAAATCCGGCGCGGACCAAATGGCTTGGGTGGGGCCGCTCGTCTAGGACTCGAGCCGAAGACGTTGCGGCCACCGGTGGTGGGACCGCTTGGTCCCACAACCGGATGATGGGTGCCGGTTGCGGGACTGTGGTCGCAGGCCCGCATCCGGCGGAGGAGTAGGCCGCGGCGGGAGAGGAGTGCCGGTATTTCGGTGCGCCGTTCTCCCTACCTTCCGCGGCCTAGACGGGGCCGCCACCGTTTGATGGCGGACGCGGTAGGGCTGCAGGGGAAGAGGAGTGTCGGTGTTTCGTTGCCGCTCTCCCTGTCCTCTGCAGCCGATTGGAGGTGGCCCACTTCGGTGGGCGGTGGTTAGGTTTAATGGGGCTGCTCCGGGTACCTCTCTGGCGTAGCAGAGTTGACTGTGGAGCAGCCCCATTGGTTTGGTGGTCTGCCTAGCGCTTAGGCAGACCTGCCGCCGGGGCGCCGTAGTAGTTATGCGCAAGCGATCCTGCGGCGTCCCATTAAGGCGGAGGGGAGGGGAATGTCGGGTTTTAGTGGGTAGTACCGGCTCTTCTAGCCGGTGAGCCCCACATCACCACCTGGGGGATCAGGTGGTATGCGTAAATGCATTTCCCGACATTAAAAAAAAAAAAAAAAAAAGGGTTCACACCTTCCCCCCCCCCCCCCCCCCAACGTGCGTTCACCTTGTCGTGGTGGGGGGGCTCAGTAGTGCCCGGCAATCCAACCGGGCGCGAAGCTAAGAAACGCACAGGGAGGTTGCCCACTTCGGTGGGCGGTGGAAGGTGGCCCTCTTCGGGGGGTGGTGTACCATGCGGGTTGCTCCTGGTACTTCTCTGATAGCAGAGTGGACCTTGGAGCAACCCCATGGTTGTGGTGGTCTGCTTCGGCAGACCTGCCGTCGGGGCGTCGTAGTTGAATGCGTAAGCGATCCTGCGACGCCCCATTAAGACGGGGGAAGGTTTTGTTGGGTTTTAGTGGGTAGTACTGGCTGTATTACGCCGGTGAGTCCCACACGTCGTGCGTAAATGCATTTCCCAACGTTAAAAAAAAAAAAGGGTTCACACCTTGGACCTATCTTATTTCTTATTCTGTTATGTACACTTGAAAAGACATACATCTGATTAATTAATTATTATTGTCTTCTAAATGTATGTAAATGTTAATATGTATATTTTTAGTGTGCTTTTCTAAATAAATAAATAGTATGACCGATGATCATCCAAATGGAAGTGCACGGGACCAAACAAGCAACCTTTCTATAGAGTACTTATATTAGGATATAAAAAAATTGTACTTTTAAATATTAATTTTTATTATACATACTATATAAATACATATAACAATAAAAACCTATAATATTATTGCATATTCCCACTTGCCAATAGTTTCTCTATTCTGAAGGTATTTTTATTTATGATTATTTTAAGATCATTTATCTTATCGTGTTTCTCTTCTATATCAACTTGCAGTTGTTTTATTTTTGTCTGGAGAGGCAATAAAGATTCTTCATTAGCACTGTAATAAAAATTAATTCGTTAGTAACAATAATTACTTACTCAATCTTTAGAACAATGGTTGCTATTACGTGAGGCGAGGCCCTTAAAGAATAACTTTAAGTTACAAATACGTATATGTTTCTAGTAATATACTTACGCTTTTTGTTTTAATAAATGCTTAGAAGCTTCCTCGTAGGCTATTGTCCATTGTTGAAGTTCTTGACGCATAACTTCGGCATCTTCTTGAACATGATCCAACAGTTTCCCCAATGGATTGGCAACTCGCGACAAAGCTTGTACATTAAACCTTAACTGTTCAATTTCTTGGTTAACTACATCTCTCGACCTTTGAACTCCAAATTGCCATTCCTTAACATAAAGCAACATTATTAATTTAGATACATTTAATGGTTAGATATCATATAAATGTTATTCTTGTCCAAAAAGTGGAACAATTTTTGTACACTAGCAACTCACCCTCGCTTCGCTTGGGTTCGTTCGGTTAACGGTTAGTACGGTTATCCCAGGGGAACCGTAAATTTTTACGGGATAAAAGTAACCTATGTGTTATTCCAGACTATAATATCTCTCTGTGCCAAATTTCATACAGATCCATTCAGCCGTTCTGGCGTTAAAGAGTGACAAACATCCATACATACTCAGAAACTTTCACATTTATTTATAATAATAATATTAATACGGATACAGATGGTATTAGGTACATATGTTATGGTATTTTAGTAACGTGATCTTCTAATAATAATACTTTCTTAGATTTACGCGAATGTTTGACATTATTAAATAAAACTATCTTTTCATTTCAAAATTCATCATAAACTTTATAGCCGATTTTTGCCTCTTCGGCTTTTGCAAATCGGCAGATTATTGAATTGGACACTTTTCAGGATGCGACTAGCCTACCACACCTTAATCCGTCAGATTAAGATTTCAAGTATTTCTACCTTATCAAAACATTTTTTAAATATTTTGATCGGCTTCCCTAGACGCGCGCCTTTATATAGAAGACTTATATTATGGTGAAAGTACTCAATAGAGTGCAAGGTAACCTCTTTTATGTTAATCTGCCGCGCTTGAGTAACTACAAAAATCCCCTTTTGGGCTCCCCTACTATTATATTTCACAGGAATGTTAGAGTTAAAGGAATAAAGATGGCACTTGTGTTTACGCTGTACGCACACTATGTGCACTAAAATAACTCCCGCGCAATTTAGTCCCATGAAGATGGGCCGCCCGCCGCCCTAAATTGTCTAAGAGTAGGTACATATAAATACATTTTATTATTATTTTGTTACATATTCCGATTATGCACTAAGCTCAATACATTATTTACATTAACTTACGATGTTAGTTTTGCCAGCGACTTCAGAAAATTCTTTTTGAGCATCAAGTATTTGTTGAACAAGATGACCATGTTGATTAGAAGACAGCAATTCTTCTTGATCTTGTGATTTCGTTTCTGGTTCTGTAGTTTCTACTACAATAATACTACTATCTTCCTCCTAAAATATATTTCATGCGATTATTTGAAGAAAAATATTGTATGATATTCATAATAAATATGTATGCAAAATTCGTAATAAATACCTCTTCTTGCGTAGTATTTTCCGCTATTATATTTACTTTACCAACTGCAAGATTATCTGCAGTTGATAGAAGGCTTTCATGTTTTTCTTTGAGTCTTGGAGCACTAGGTCTAGAAGAAGACGGTCTCACACTTTGCGGCCACACTACATTAACTAATTCCTTAACTTTGGTTTGTAAAGGTTGTGTAGGTTGTAAAGGTTGTATATCGTTACCGTGAGAAACGATCTTTTCATTATTACTTGGCAACTTTTCATCTTCATTTTTAGATGTAGGACTTTTCTGATGATCCTGTATATCACTTTGATCCAAATTGTTATTTACAACAATATCTTCTTTGTTCGTACTAATAATATTTTCAATATTATCAATAGGTTCTGGAATTAAAGTCTCGGGTTTTTTTACTGGAGATTTATTATCCTCTATATAAGGATCTGAACGATCATCAATATTTTTAGTGTCTTCAATATGCTTTTCGGGATCATTTACAGTGAAAGCAGTCGGTGAATCATCAGCTTCAGCATAATCATTTTTTGAATTATCGATTATAGGTTCAGTAACTACAGATTTTTCAGAATTTAGTACTGGCTCCTTATTGATATTGACGACTTTCTTTTGAGTATCATTTTTAATATCCTGCTTTTCCTTGTTTAAACTTTGGTTATTAATCGGCTTAGACAACTGCGACACTTTTTTAGTAGGGGATTCCTTTCTAATGTTGTTAACCTGCTTTTGTTTACTTTTAATAGAGTTATTAGACTTATCGTTCTTTGCCAACTTTTCGCTACTCCTAGAAGTTAGTTTCTTGGTTTCTGTCGTTTTCTTTACTGATTTTATTACAGGATCCTTCGTTTTATTTTCAACAGATTTATTCGATTTAATTGATTCCTTATACAATTTTACAGCTTCATCAGAGGAGAGCTTATTATCTAATGCAAAAGCCAAACATTGCAATAGTTCATTAGTTTTTTCTGGCTCCTGACCAGCCACTATCTTAGACGGTTTTACAGTTAATGATTTACCTGTCGTGCTAACTGTAATAATATTATAAAAAGTATAGAAACAACACGAAGGTAAATATATTCAATATTATGGTAAAAATGATTTTTTTTCAAAATTATTAAGTCTTACCAATTACTGTTATTACTTTATTAAGAAATAATATTTTACTATCTCGGTCTTTTACTTTGTCTGATATCAATTCTTCTTCTTCAAATAATCCATTAAAAAATCCTGTATTTTTCAGCACCTGATATTAGGAAAATTTTTCTCATTATCTTTCTACTTTAAGCTATTGTCGATATATTTAATACTTACTGAAGTTATAATATCATGTAAAAATCTAAACGGTGGTTTCTTTAGCAATTTATCACTAAGTGGTGGACGTTTTATATATTTTCCTAAAGAAATTTGTGTAGCTTTTATAACATCGGGACTAATTTCATCATCCATTGCTCATAATTTATTTAAATAGTAACTGATTAAGTATGATTACAGTGAAAAATAATTAATTTACGCTTGTTAAAAAGCACATTTCTAACATAGAAAATTTTGTTTACATTTTCTCCATGTAATCGGTAACTATAACAACGACAGACGCTCTAAACATTTAAAGTGTACTATCAGTAATTTATGCAAAAGTATTTTAGAATTAGCTATATATTATTCTAACTTTTAATTTATACTTTTAAATAAAATTTTATAAAAAATAAACTCTTTTCTATAACAAATAAAATAAATAATTGATAATCTTATTTATCTGCAGCAGAAAGATACGTGGCTGTATATAACTATTGACAGAATGACAGTTGACAATTTAATAGACCGTAAACTGTAAACGTAGAATGACAACTTGAAGAATTTTGCAAGCTTCTTAATATAGTAGTGTTATATTAGTTGTGTAAAGTAAAGTAAACTCTAATACAAATGGATTTGACTCTTTTATCTTATGCTGGAATATTATTGATATCTATGCATTTTCAATAATGAACTTTCTTGAAACATTATAAGAGTTATATTAGTAGAAGATTGTTATTGAAAATAAGCCGGACATTTTATATTTTACACGTACCTACTTATATTAATATATTTAACTTGAGAATGCCATACGGCCATACTGCTTGTCGTAACAAAATCAGCGCCTGAGTGAAAGTAATATCAAAGTATTTCTCAGTTAAAACTTGCAAGCTAAACCCATCGTAAAGGGGCAAATTACATTGTTATGTTTTTTACAGAATGCCGCGTAAACGTAAAAGTAGTAAAAGATTAGGTCGACCTCCGGGTTCCAAAAACAAGAAAGCTAAGAAGATAGAAAACCTAATTAAAATTGAAGGAGATTCGGATGAATCTACACAGGCTGATAACGTTTGTACTTATTGCTCGCAATCATTTGATACAAAAATTAATTTTAATCGTCATCGTAAATCGTGTTTAAAACGAATTACGCAAGAAGTTCAAACTGAACTAAAGGTAAGAATTAAGGCAGACGAGTGATACTGTCAATTTCAATGCAACTGTTTTAACTTTTTCATATTTTTTAGCCTACATATAATTGTAAGCAATGCCACAAGAAGTATCGATTTAAGAAAAGCTATACTAAGCATCTTAGAGATGAACATTCAGAGGCACCAGGCAGCATTCCTTGCTCACAGTGTTCTGTTGTATGCCCTAATCTTGAAGTTTTAACTAAACATATACAAAATATACATGAAAGAGAGATTTTTGAATGTGAGCACTGTGGCAAAAAGTTTGTAAGACGTTCTCATGTTCTACGGCATATATTGCAAAAGGGTTGTGATGGCAGAAATGTTGCTGTATACCCATGTGAAGTAGGCATTTAATATAACAAATGAAATTATTCTATATTTCAGTAATACTATTTATAATTATTGATAATTTTTAGATTTGTGAAGCAACATTTTCTAGAAAAGATAATTTAATGGTACATCTCCGTATGCAGCATATACCAACTAAGTTTTTCAGCTGTAAATTATGTAGCTATCAGACCAGAAACTTTTCAAAATTAATTGTCCATAATCAGTTAAAGCATACAGGTAAATATGTTTTTTAAATACTTTTAAATAAACTTTAACTTGGGTAAATAAAAAATATAATGATGAACTAATAATAAAAAAACCCTCATGACGAAAAAATACTTTCACTAGAAACACCTCAATTTGAATGTGACCACTGTGGTAAAGTGACAAGTTCCCGTGGTGCTATTGCCAAACATTTGGAAATTCATGGAGAGAAAAAGTTTGCCTGTGATGTGGTAAGTAAATTGTATGAGTCTGTTTTGTATGAACTTTGGGTATATCCAACAGAAATTGTCCAAATTAATTTCAATGTATGATACCTAACTTCACAATCCAGCTGATTTCAATAGTATAAATACAAATATACTGGCCACGGCAGCAAATCCCACTGAGACTAACCAGATGTGCAGGAGATATTATAGTACACACACAAGTGTACATGCAGACTCAAGTGCACTCTATTTCTTTTACTCTCAAAGTTTGATAGGAAGATACTTTGACATGATCGATGAGATTTGAGAATATTGCCAACTTCCAACTCCAGGCTACTACTAAGAGGATCTTAACAGAAAAACTCTAAATTAAACTTGGCCCAACCCGGAACTCGAACCTAAGACCTCCAGATCTACAGTCATATATGCTAGCCACTATACCATTGAGACAGTAAATAATCATACAATTTTGGTTCTTGATTTAAATTTTACTGTTATTAAATGGCTCTTTCTCTAGGTTGTTTCATGTTAAACAATATATGTATATAAAAGAATAAAACTTATTAATTTTTAAATGTTTATCCATTTATTTTAAAAAAAAACAAATAAAAATACATTTATTTGGGACTTGTAAACAGAGTTAAACTTTTCAATTGCTTACATTATCAAAATAATAAATATAATGTAAAATTGTTTCATTGACTTATTAATATAATAATAAAAGTTTTGAAATTCATGTGTTTTTGGTTTAATAAATGTAAATTATGTGTTTAAAAATATAAAATGAATACTAAATGTTAATTCTTATAATTTTTATGCTGCATTTCAAGAAGCAATGTCGTAAGTACAAAATAATTAAGTTAAAATAATATCAAGTATAATAAATTTACTATTAACATGTAGTCTCATCAGTATATGTATATACTAGCGTTTTCCTGCGGCTCCGCCCGAATAGTATATTAATCACCAACATAACATCATATACTAAAACTTTCTCCGAAACACGCTGCATCTTATGGTATGAGTATTTATCGCAGTATATCTTAAAAAAAATCGGCTCTCCATTTATTAGTATAGATTTGTAATTGGTGTTTGCGAAAAATAACTAAACGAAGAAGAAGGGGTTAATAAACCTGAAGAGAACTACGATTGTTGAACTCTAAAATTACAATTCCGATTTGAAAAATTATTATACTTTATCGCCATTTTTATTGACGAAGGTGTCATATGAAACCACTATAATGTATGAAGGCTGTCACACCACGAGCCGTAGGAAATTAACGATTATATATGTAGAAAAATAACGATTATATCTAACTAGCATTGCCCGCGGCTCCGCCCGCGTTCAGATGACCAAAAACTAAATTCTTAGGTGTTACATATTAGTATACTCTTACATTGCAGTTTTTGTATTTTTCCTCAGAAATAAGATATTTTCCCGCGGTAAAAAGAATCCTAGGATCGCGCGCTACATCGCCCGGTTTATATAGCTTGAGCAGGCGGTCGAGCGATGCGGGGCAGAGGGGATGGACTCGCCGTAGGCATCTCAATGCTCGCCAAGCATTAAAAATGTTTCGCTACTAATTACTTCTAACAACGATATCTCAAAAACTATTCATCTGATTGATTTAGTGTAAAGAGCAATTTTAATCTGCATTAAATGACTAAGCTAACTAAAATATTCATTTGGATAAGGATTAATACCGAACTAAAGAAAATAACTTTGAAAATAACGTAATGTTTTTAATTAAAAATGTTAACATAAAAGTGGTTATTGTAAGTCAACCGTAAGAGATAGAGATATGCTATCGCGGACTTTTTTGTAGCATTTTTATAGATTTTGAATTCTCTAGTACATTACTTAACTGTATCTTTGCTAGTTTACGCGGCGTTCGCGTGGAAAGTTCCCATTTGGCGAGATTTTTTGCGACCTCTTCAACATTTGTCGCCGTATTTCAGCTAATTTACATAAAAGCATAATAAATTATATACCTAAACCTTCCTCAAGAATTACTCTTTCTATTGTTGAAAACCGTATAAAAATCCGTTCAGTAGTTTTCGAGTTTATCGCGTTCAGACAGACAGGAGGACAGACAGGAGGACAGAAAGACGCGGCCGGGGGACTTATTTTTATAATAAGTATAGATAATATTAAATGAGCAAATTTCGTAGATAAATCACTAATCGAAAAAACACGATTTTACAAAAAAAAGAACGCCGAGCAAAGCTCGGTCACCCAGGTACTGTATAGATAAATAACTCGGGTTAAAGCTTGTTAAATATACGGAAACTTTAAGGTAATTAAATGAACATTATCCCTATTATTATTAGCAGTTGTAAAACATTGGTAACGCGCTGACTTGGAAAATCAAGTGATGCGGGTTCAAACCCGAGTCTTGCATTTCTGCTCGTATACATGCTAACATGGTAGAGAAAAACGTCGTGAGGAAACCTATAATGGTTTTAATCCCTCCACGACCGCGGACTCGCCGGCGTGTCAGTTAACAATAGATTTCTTAGAATTTTAATTAATTTCTTAAAAAATTTCCTGGAGCTGTTAAAAGACAATTTCTAATTTATATTTTTATCGTCTAGTGTGGCTACAGTACATTCACGATAGAGGTGATGCGCCGCCATGTGTTTACGCACTTACCAGAAAAACCATACAAGTGCAAGATGTGCGGTACCTCCTACATACAAAAAGTGCAATTGCAACGTCATCTTCAAAAGCACGTCGGCAACCAATGCTTGAAATGCGGCGAAGCATTCCAAACCAAAGCCAAGTAAAAAAATATTTCTTAATTTTATTCATGCATCTTTATATTAGTGTCTGTATTGTGAAGCAATACTGCCTACTTAATCACATTTTAATTTATAGGTGTAATTCTAGGGAATATTGGTTACTCATGGGTAGTCTATACTAATATAATATAAAGAGGTAAAGTTTGTGAGTTTGTGACGTTGTAGGGGTTAATTTGGTAAGAAGATAGTTTGAGACTCTGCGAAGGACATAGGATACTTTTTATCCCAGAAATCATCTCTTAAGAGGGGGAAAATGGGGAAGAAACTTTGTATGGCGAATCAATCTAGGGATGAACCTGAGCGAAGCGAGGGTGAGTCGCTAGTACCTACATAAAGAGAGGAGATCTTACTCTCGCTTACTCGCTATATATTTTACAAAAATATAAAAAAGAATTATACACCTGTATTAAGTTGTAGAGCTATTGTATTAGTTTGTGGTAAATATAGCCATATAATATGTAAGTCACGAAAATGTTGAATGTGATGATGTGCTCCTGACCGATATCGTCCACGGCAGCCTATCTTAATGCAATGAGCCAACTGGGCAGGAGATATTATACTGCATAAAATTACGCGCAGACCGCTCTATTATTTTCACTCAAATTCCGATGGGAGTCCTATAGTTCGATATGACCGATAAGAGATAAGGCGCAGGAACGATGGCTTTACGTGCTCTTCACGGCGGGGGGTGAAAACATCGTCAAATTCCTAACTTCGGGTTGTTATTGTGACTTTCTTAATAAAAAGTTTCAATTTAACTAAACTTAACCCGACCTGGGGCTCGAATCCAGGACCGCCGGATGTGTAGCCATACATGTTTGCTACTAGGCCATCGAAGCAGTTTAATATTCATATGTATATAATAAAGGACTTTGTTTTCAGGCTCTTAATCCATAGTCGGAAACATATGGGCCTAAACAAACTGCTTTGTCCAGTAGACAACTGTATACATGGTAAAAAGGAGTTTGCTAATGAAGAAAGTCTTCAGTCCCATGTGAAAATGCATTTAGATGATAAGCGTAAGTTTTAAAAAATCATTAAATTTAAATCTCTTTTAACCTTAGATTATTTATATTTTAATTTTAACCATAGAAACTCATAACTAGTAAAATACATATGAAGGTTATGATTTTTTTAATATAGAATACATAATATTATGATCTATATCTATATGTATTTTATACAGATAAATAAAATTGAAGTGTCTGTTTGTAATGTCAAAATAACAGCTTTTTACTAAAACTTATTTTAAAAACACAATTTTAAAATTTTTTGTCTATTTGTTTCGGCTTATATCCGAAACTGCTGGACTGATTTTGACGGGACGTTCACTAGCAGATAGTTGATGTTATAAATAGTAACAAAGTTAAAATAGTAAAAAAATTAGATTGGTATAAAATGTTCAAAGTTACGTAATATGACTAAAATAAATTCGCAGCGGATTCTTAGACTGCGTAAGACAACTGCAAGGTTAAATCTCGATATTGGTTTATTATTAATAAACCAATATCCACTTTGTAAGTGTCATCTGTTTGTCCATATTTCGGGTTTATTATGTAACAATAAAGAACATTGAGGCTGCATTCCTAGCAGGCGGTAGAGATGGAAGTATAATGTTGTACGTGTTGTGTATGTTTGTGTGCGTGTAGCGTTCGCGTGCGAGGTGTGCAGCAAGCGGTTCCACAACGAGGCGAACATGCGGCGGCACACGAGCACGCACGCGCTGGAGCGGCCGCGGCGCTGCATGTACTGCGTGGCGGCGCGCGCGTACGTGCGCGGCGAGCAGCTGGTGCGACACGTGCGCAAGACGCACCCCGCGGTGTTCCGCGAGCGACTGCTGCACGTGCGCAGCGTGCTCGTGAGTTTTGGTTTTTTTTTGTATAAAAGAGGCAAAAGCTAAGTCCACGAAGTGAAGAAGGTAAAATCGATGCAACCTTTATAAGCTCGTTGGTTCAGATTCACACCTACTAAGGGATTGCTGACAAAGTTAAGCACTACAGAAGAATACGGAACAAATATATTCGATGCCTCTTCATTTTATTTTCTTAAACGTAATATTATATAATTTGTCATTAAAAATGAATTAATCCATCATAATTGATTTTATTATTATATTTTTCATACAATGCGCAACAGGGTTCCAACCCAGGAGTGGAAAGGGTGAAGAAGTCAGAGTTGGAGTCGATCTTGAACGTTTTGGACGCGGAATCTGACCGCATCCTGGAGGGCTACGGGCACGGCGTGCTGTACGGCGGCCTGCAGGAGCAAGCCTCGGACGCGGAGGAGGAACAGACGCAGGTAAGCTACGTACATATTATGTATTATATTCGATGACACGTTTGACTCAGTTTGTAGTGATCCTACTTGCTGTGCTAGCGGTCTCGGATTCGAGTCCCGCTGGAGGCATTCATTTGTGTGCTGAGATGTTTGTGCTCCAGTCATGGGTGTTTGTATTTATAATATGTATTTATTTAAAGTTATATATGTGTAGTGTATCAACTTAATGTCTCAACATATTTATTTATTCTTTATTACACTTAAACTAAGTAATCCAAAAAAATTACAAATGTGAATATATATTTGCTGTTGTTTTGATTTGTCCTTTCAAGCAGTATTTGAGCAATGGATTGAATTTTTCCATACTCTTAAGTCACTTTTATTCATTATACCTAATGGTACCATTGAAGTATTGATTGTAAAAGATATAATATAATTAGTAAAACTTGAATATATTCGATAGAAAATATAAGTACGCTTTGTATTTATTATGCAATTTAATTGGGCTTTTAGGAAGAGGAATCATCTCCGTTGATGTCAGAAGAGGAACTAGCTGACAGTCTTAGAAAACTGCTGTCACAGCTCATTGATAAAGAAATGTTGGAATGCTTTGGGTGGCCTGATGAGAGTGTTGATGAGGTGCGTAGTACATATATTTTTGGATATATATAATGTAGAACTTTACGTTTATCCAACTAAAAAGATATTCACTCAATTATTAATTAATATAGTCAGGAAAATTGAAAGTTACAAAAAAAAGTTGGCCGTCACGGGACGTCCGGCAGATGGGAAATATGTTAATATTAGAATTTATAAATAATAAAAACCTATACTCGGCGCGGCGAACTTTGATCCCTATGACAGTTCGTGTTAGTGATGGTCGTGTCTTTGGTCGTGTCGATAATTTCTTTTTTAGACAAAGGTGTTGCTTGCATTCAGCCACGTTGGTAAACATGTTTTAAAAAATATTATAATGTGCATTTTTAATGTCCATTATGTTGTTGTTGTATTAGCCCAAGTGCCGGGGAGTTTTTTTTGCAATGTATTAGACCTGGTATATTTTTTTTGGAATATGTTCAGGGGTGACCCCTGAATGTAAATCCAAGTTGGCGCGGCGGTGCCGGGCCTGCGTCAGCCGCCATCTTGGAAAACGCGTTTTATCGAATATCTCGCGAACCGCGCATCTTACAACAAAAATTTTTCAGATCATTATTGTAGATTATAATATTTTCCATCTTTTTTATTTGAGACTTTTTTTGTTTAACGCATAGGTTGTTAATTATAGCGCTCCAAAGTTTTCTCAATATGGTTTTTGCTAAATATTTTGTTAATGGTCAATGATAAATTAAAAATAGTGGTAACTAAATCGTAGAACATAAAATTTCCTATAAATTTCATTGGAAACTTTTCCCGTAGCGTTTATAGTTTAGGAGCTATTACGCTGTAAATGCGTTCGTGTTTTATATCCGGATAATTGGAGAAGTCGTAGAATCGTGAAGAGTCGTATAAAAGACCAAAAAACTTTGCTACGATGATTGGGATCGAGATGTGCGATACGACACTCTTGAAGATCAACCATTATTGATAAATGTAGGTGACTGCAGTTGCAGTTCAGATTCCGAGTCTGAGACGCAAACACTCATGTCATTATCAGATTCAGAATAAAATACAGAGTGTAACAAAAGTAAGTGATAATACTTTAGGGTGTGTAGTGTCCCTTATATAGAGTTCACTGGCAAAGTAGCAGCAAAAAGCAAAAATTTTTTTTGTGATTTGTATGAGGAAGCTCATGTGGCGCTTGCCCATACAAATCACAAAAAAAAATTCGCTTTCAGCGCTGAGTACTTTCACTGTAAACTATATAAGGAACACATGCAAACCCTAAAGTATTATCACTTACTTTTGTTACACCCTTGACCCTGTGTATGTAAATAAATAATTGTTAAACAGATTTTGTTTCATTTCATTTTGTCCTATAGCTGTTATTTTTTAATTTTCTTGGGTATAAATTAATATAATCATGTGTGGATGTATGAATGGTATGATCGTAATATTCTGTTCCATTCCATAATATATGAACTAAAATGTGAGTATAAAAAAAAATGTGCATTCGTATCCATTACCGACATTTTTTTATCGATACTTGCCGCCCTAGTCGATAGACGTCACACGACGTAAGTTTTGCAGGATGTAAACATAAATTCAGATTGAGATAACTTCTTGTAAATGTTAAGAATTGTTAAAAATATCAACGGAATATCATTACTAATGGTATAAAGCTACGTAAAATTTATAAATGGCATTTTAAGACGCCCCCAATATGATCCCAATTAAATGGTGACGCCACTACAATGTTATATGGTGACATTAGCTGTCGGTGTCATAGGGATCAAGGTTCGCCGCGCCGAGTATAAAACGAAATATGGTGTAAAATAAAGAAAAAGAGTTTCGTTATTAAAATTAATTTAAGGGACATGATGGCATGACAGCGTCACGCCGCCGTTTGTCGTCACGACATACGAGTCGCTTTTACTGCCAAAGCGCGCCAATGGATGTTTCATATCAAAAACATAAGATTTTCATCTATACAAGTTCTATACTATAGGTATCACGTTAAGTCTTATATATGAGTTAAAGAATAAGTTTCAGTATATTTACAACAGATACTAGAAAAGGTGATAGAAAATTGTGGTGCTCGTACTGCGGACAAGCAGAAATGGACTCGGGTGCAACGTCTGAGGGAGAACGCAAAGCATCTCTTCTTATACGTGATAGAGGACAAGAACATAGCGCGGATGCTCGACACACACACCATCGACCAGATCGTCACCCACATACTGGCTCAAGTCAGCCAGTCTGATGATGAAGAGGACTCCTCGGATGACACGAACGATAATGTTAAGGCTTAATATTTTATTGTTTTGTCGTTTTGTTATTATGCACTAAAAGGGGCCATTCATTAATTACGTAAAGACAATTTTGGACATTTTTGATCCCCACTCACCCCTCCCCTACCTCTATGTAAAAGCACATAAAATTTCTCAGATTCACCCTCCCCCTTCGTATGTAAGATTTTATCTAACTTTAGAAAAGGATCAATTGCACTAAAATTTAGCATTAAATATTTTGAAAACTTAATAAAATTCTAATAAAAATATGTATAAATGAAGCTGTACATTAAAAACGAAAACTTAGATCTCGGAGTTGTCTTCACCAATGCTAATAATAGCTCTCAAATATCCATCATTCTGTGTTAGCATCAGGACTCTTTATGTAATTAATGAATGGCCCCTAAGATGTTATATGAATTTTAGAATGGAATATTTGAATTAGGGTATAATTGAAATAGGAAATCGTGTGAGGTTTGAAAATAAATCATGGAATAGGTATAATTATAGATCTATTTTTGACAGATAAATAATAATTATTGTAATGTTTCATTTTCAGCATTGAGTGTATGATTAATATTTACTTTTAAGTTACTGTTGAACAAATTTTAAATATTTACTATATTGCATACACATTTCCACATCGATACCTTAATTGGCAAACCAGCTAACTCCACATGAGCAAATTTTTCAGGAGACACAAGTTAAAATTTAATATTTTTTGTACGCTACTTATTAAAAAACTTTTTAACAAAAAAATAAAAACCGACTTCAATAAATCACAAAAAAGTAAAAAATTAATGATTGGTAGTTTTCATTTACTATACATACCTAATCAAATATTTTCGAAGTCGGGGTGCTTTGCTTTGTATCGGCTGGCACCGACTTCGAAAATAATTGATATTGATTAACATTAAAAAAAACATACAGCCGAATTGAGAACATCCTCCTTTTTGAGGAAGTCGGTTCAAAAATCTAAAATACCGTCTGTAGGTAATATCGTAAGCTGTTAATTTTGATACATTATGTAAAATCCTACTGAATTATGTTGCATACAATCTGACGCAAAAAATATTTTTTGTTGTGGTAAATGTGGAGCTGGCTGGTTTGCCAATTAAGGTATCGAAATGTTATATTTTCATATCTTGTTTATGTTTAGAGAGATAGACTTAATAAGGATTATTTGTTAATTTTGAAGGAGAGGTAAAGGTTAATTATGTCATTGATATACATTAATTAGACTAAAAGAAGTGAAAGTGATACGTCATGTCTCAACGTGGCATGCGTACTACGCTCGAAGTCAAGGGTTCGAATCCCGAACGGGACATGCTTGCATTGAGTATGCAAATATTTTTCCTGACGGTTATAATATTAATATAGCCGATATTGGATATTGCCACCTAACATACACCGCCTAAAAGCAATTGTAGATGTCAGTATATCCTTTCATCCAGCTAGAGAAAAAATTCAATAGAACGAAAATATATTAATGAAAAATTATTTTCTATGAGGTTAAGGTATGAAATTGAAGCCATTCTTGGTTCGATATTCGATACAATATATTTTTAAATTTTAATTTATTTATATTATATACAATCAAAAATATTATCCATTAAGTTCTAAGAGATTTAAAATACATTATTGTTAAGCATTTATTTTTCAATATAAATTGGGTGTAGGAGATCAAAAATTCAACTTTTTATTACGTTTTGTGTTATATATTGTTTAAGGGATATAAAATGTATTGTGAAATATATATAAATATTTTTGACTGGTTTAGGGTTTAGAAGATTAGGTTTTAGCAGTAGGGAGGCAAATTCTTTTTATCTTTCACATATTTACTGCAACATTAGAATTTATGAATGTTCAATTTTTATAATGTCGTCATCTTAAACCACTAGACTTGATAACTATATGTGATATTTTTCACAAACATGATTATCTAAAAGATAAAATGTCATGCAACATGTCATGAGTCAGGCAATAGCTATAAAGTTACTGTTAAAAGTGCCTTAAAAAAATATTGATATCATTGGTAATAAATTTTTGTATGCTAACTGATATTTTTATTAGGATATCTAATTTTTATTATGTATAGACTTATATATTTTGTTTTAAGTAATAATTTCTTTATGAGTTGAATAATATTTTTAAATATACACATTGAATTGAAAATAAAGTTTTTTATTGGTTATACACTAGATGCATAGACATTACATTGTCTGTGATTAGATGTAATCCATACTAATATTATAAATGTGAAAGTGTGTTTGTTTGTTTGTCTGTCTGTCTTTTTTTCACGTCGAAACGGCTTGGCGGATCAGCGTGATTTTTTGTGTGGAGATAGTTGGAGAGCTGGAGAGTAACATAGGCTACTTTTTACCGCGGGAGATTATCTCATTCCCACGGGAAAACACGTTATAATACAATTAAAAAAAATATATTTATGATCAGAATTACTTGAAACTTGGTATAAATGCTCTTCAATACAATTTTTTTTTTATATAAATGTGTTGGCATAAACCTGTCATTAATTATATGGGGATGACACTGGCGCCTGCAACACAGTTTTTAACGCGCGCTGGGACTAGGGAAATCTTTATTACATGTGTATGTATAAAACTATATCAATAAAGAATTTATTATTATTAAATACGTATTTAAGCATTTTTCGAAATTCATCCCTTAATATATAGCGGCAGGATAATAGCGGATGAAAGTTTGTATGAAACCTACAATTTTAGAGTTTTTTTTGTAGTTTTAGCGCGAGGGACGTCGCGGATTCTGCTAGTTGATTATATTTTGAACAAAACTGAAACTTTTCTGTAACGACGGTTTGCTTAATTACATGTGTATCGACTTAAAGTTTGTGCGTTAAAAGTTGTAGTGTGCATTGGCCCTAAAGTTGCTTGGCCTGACTTATTCGTTATCGCATAGAGCGTAAACCAAATCCAATATTTTTCTATAATTTTACTGGATATTTGATTTAAATATTGCTCATCGACATTATTAAAGTAACATGTATTTGGTCTTTTAATAAAAAATAGCTCAAAAATAGCTCCTTCGCCTAAGATGGAGTATTCTAAGCTGACTGCCAACCTTCGCTAATCGGAGAGGCACTTAAAGAAGAAGAAGAATAAAAAATAAACCTCGGGCATATAAAAAATAAGCCTGTTGAAGCCGGGGCAGAGCTGTTGAATGATCATCATAAAAATTTGAAATGCAATAAAGAATACACGCGCGAATCCGTGGGCAATGCCATGTTTAACAATAATAATACGAATCAAATAAATTCGAAACGATAAGGATGTTTATCTATCTTTTAAAAAGCCTATCACTTCATCTCGCCTCTTGACAAAATTGAGTATATCATTGAGAGGTACATTACATATTTCGTATAAATTACAAATCGGTGGAACAAAAAGTTGTGTGTGTGTATGTGTCAGTTTTCAATAAAAGCCCTGAGTAGGGATTGTGCGATGTTTCACTCTCGCGTCTCGGAAAGCACATAAAACCGTCGATCCTGCGCCTTAACGACAATCCGACATGACATGTGAGAACATGTCATGTCGGATTGTCGTTCACCGCACCGAAGTGGGAGAGTGACAGGACACAGGAACAAAAAGTGCACTTATGTCTGGTCTTACACTCGTGTACGGTACGGACCATGGACAGTACTGGCTCCGGCACACATCTCGATCTCAGTGCTCAACGAGACTGGTTGCTGTAACCGAAATCGGTCAAGAGGACATCTAAGTTGTGTTTGAACATAATTCCCTAAAACGCTGACCATAATGCCATGTTCACTTCTTTTTGAACTTGCGGCGACACTCAAACGAATAAAAAAATAAGAAATGTGGTGCCCTAAAGTCTTACGTTTCGTGAAAAGGATGACAATCATTTTATTTTTTCTGTTTTTTAGTTTTTAGTATTTCTTGTTAAAGCGGCCACAGAAATACATCATCTGTGACAATTTCAACTGTCTAACCATCACGGTTCATGAGATACAGCCTGGTGACAGACGGACAGACAGCGGAGTCTTAGTAATAGGGTCCCGTTTTACCCTTTAGATACGGAACCCTAAAAATGAATTAATTACGAGTATTCAAATAATATATCCTATAGTTTTCATTTTGAGATCTTTAACGTAAAACCTAAAGGCACCAGACTGCTGATGTTGTGGTTGGTTTAAGTATCCGCTATCAATTCATACTAATTTTATCAGTAGTATAGAAGGTAGAGGTAAAGCGAACAGTCTTATATGGGAGACTGGTGAAAAAGTGTCCACCTGTAAGCGGTAAATAACAATTCAAAAAACTACCAGAACGGCGCGGCGCTAGCGTAAGGAGTAAGACATGAATTTAGCAATTGTAGACGGAGTGAAGTAAAAATATGTTACGTGTATGTATTAACGTGTATGTACGTAGTATGCAGAGTTGAGTGACTAGAGAGTTAATGAAACTGCAGTATGCAAAACCTCATCTATTTACTTAGTCTAAAATAAGTTATTAAATATAACTTTATAAACTGCTGTGCTGTTGCTGCTGCTGTGAGATAATGTATTATGTAATTCTATTCTAATAACTTAGGAGCTTTTTAAAATTTACCACCCATTTGCTATAGTGGCATCACCCTAATTTACAATTTTACTTACAATTTTTCATCACAGAGATAATTGAGATAATTCTCTTTACCTCGACCCTTCAATGATTCCATCTGATGGAGTCCATCAATAATGAGTAAAAAGTAAACACAATACATGCGCTTCTCAGTAAAAGTGTTTTGTGCACGTGTGGTAGTATTTCTTTTTTAGTTTGTGCATTACACACGGCTTTGGTAAAACTATAAAGGTAGAGTGCCTATTAAAAAAACTGTGAGCGGTAAGAATAAAAAATATCACTATGAAAATTTAGTCAAAATCGACTCTAAAAGTATAAAACCTGAAGCGAATATTCAAAAAAGGCAAATAATATATAAGGTTAAAAGAAAATAATAAAAATAATATTTTTCAGTGAGCAGACCATCTTTATTGTAATTTCACAGTTTAGAAGAGTGCAGCAGTAAAAACAGTTAGGTACCGAGTACCGACGGAACTAATTCATCTATTTTATTTGTCATCCATGGTACCGACACCTGATAAAGTACACACCATGGATGACAAATAAAAGTACACACCTGTCTGATTTAACTTCTCTTTACGTGTCGTATTGACATTTGACAGTTGTATCGCGCATTTTCTGTAAGTTAAATAATTAACTTTTATTTGTGATAAAAATGTCAACAAGTATTCCTGTGATCGTGAAGCTATTAGCATCATCTGTTTCCGTGGCCGGTCGAGCAGGAAAAATTGTAAGAGATGTTATGAGCAAAGGGGAACTTGGTATTGTAGAAAAGGTTTGTATTTCATCACTTAAAGATTGTCTTTGAATGCATAGCATTATTTTATTTCATTAATTACATGAAGTCTTGACTCTCTTCTTTGATTGACAGGGTAAAGATGATTATCAAACAGAAGCTGATAGGTCAGCACAACGATGTATCATAGCTTCTTTATCAGCACAATTCCCCAAAGTTCATATTATAGGTGAAGAGGACAATCCAGACACAGAGGTAAAAATGATATGAAAATATTATTTAGAAAAGTTTCTAATAATTGTGTTTTAACAAGTAATAATCAAAACAAAACCATTAACTGCATTTAAGGTAAACTATAAGTAAACTGTCACTTGATCCATTTTAAACAATAAATTAAACCGTAGTATTTATAATTAATTTATTCTTATTCTTTATTAGGGAAAATTGTATGTAATGTACTTGATAAGTTTTTTATTACAGTAGTACAACAAAAAATCTGACATTGAACTATCAATATAAAGTTAATTATTTTCAGGGTGAGGTACCAAGTGATTGGTTAGTAATAGACGCAGACAAGGAAGTGTTATCTCTTGAATGCCCTTCTAAACTTCAAGGTGTAAAGGAAGAGGATATTGTAGTATGGGTGGACCCGCTTGATGGAACTTCAGAGTATACCCAAGGTCAATATTAACATTTGCCTTTTTTTAAAGTATTTTAATATGAGCAATTTATTTATAATTTAAATTTTGAATATTTTGACAATTTCAGTCAAAAATGTATTATTATTAAAAAGTTCATTCAAAATGGGTTAGCAAACATTATTAAAATGACATTATATTAAAATGACTACATACTTTAAATTATTTGGGGGAGTGTATGTTATTAATAAATTTTAAGCACATTAAGCCTAATAAAATTTTAGGTTCCCTCATGTTGAAGAAAGATCCTTGGGAAAGATGGAAAATGTATTTGACTCATCCATTTATAAGTATCAAGTGGTATTTAAGTTTACTACAATCACACTATGGTAAATGGAAAATTTGAAAGTAGTAGGTAGTATCTTTTGAATGTAAAATAACAATATCAATGAAAATATTTTTATTTAACAAAGACTCATTAAATATAAGAAAACCATTGTTTTGAACTAAAATATCACAAATGTTTTTGGTGCATGCATCACAGATAGCTTTCACTTGATTGTTTATTATAATGACAATATTCTCAAGGAGAATTTTCATATTTTTAACTTTATCATCCATATTTATTCATAACTGTATGAGATCTTGCTTCCTACACTTATCTTTGGTATGTATGTTGCTTTTACTTCTCCATTTAATATAGTAAATAAAAATAGTCTTTTATTAATTTGTCTATTGTTGCAGGTTTCCTGGAGCATGTAACAGTTCTGATTGGTATATCAGTAAATGAAAAACCAGTGGCTGGTGTCATACATCAGCCATATTACAAAAGTTTAGTTGGTGGAGAAAAGAAAATTGGAAGAACTATCTGGGGTCTGCAAGAAGTTGGTGTTGGAGGGTTTACTGCAGCCCCGCCGCCAGACTCCTTAATTCTCACTACTACAAGAAGTCATTCAAACCCAGTTGTAGAGAAAGCATTGCAAGTGATGAATGCAGCACAAATACTAAGAGTTGGTGGTGCTGGTTACAAAGTAAGATAATTTAAATAAGTGCTACTAATTATGAATTAAACAACATATGAAATAAACAATTAAATTAATAAAAATTATACATCAAATTATAATTTCAATATAAATGCATTAATATAGTAAACTTTATAAAATTTACTATTCTAATGTTGTGTAATATATAACATATACATTTGGGTAAAGTGTAAAATTTCTAACTTAAATGTTAATTAAGAACTTAAAACATGTTTTCAATTTGATTATGATGATTTACAATTCCATGTAGGATAACATGTAAGAATAAGTAATAATTTGTCAATAAAAAATGACACTGTCCCTATAATTTGTAGGTTTTACAATTACTAGAAGGAGCAGCATCGGTTTATGTCTTTGCTAGTCCCGGCTGTAAGAAATGGGACACCTGTGCTCCTGAAGCGATCCTCAGCGCAGCTGGTGGAAAGTTAACCGACATCCTAGGAAATTATTACAAGTATGGGGCCTCAGAAGGAAGACCAAACAAAACTGGTGTCCTAGCTGCCGCAAATAGTGAACTCCATGACTATGCTCTTAGCAGAATCCCTCAAGAATTAAAAGATAAATTAGCTAATAAGTAAAAGTGTAAAACACATTAGTTATAGTAAATTGTTATTAATATTTTACATGTTTTATAATAATTAATATATACCTGTCACTATCAATGTTTTTCCTTAATCTATACATATAATAAAATTCTAACAAAGTCGAATCTGTACATGAAATATTTTTTGGAACGTCTTATTAAAATTGTCATTATTATTGATACAGCAATATTATATATTTTAGAATTTTTGTTTGTCACGCGTTCCCAACGCGTTACGAAAAAACTACTGGACAGATTTTGATGAAATTTGGTAGGATGATAGCTGCTTATCCAGGCCAACATATAGAATATTTTTATTGCTGGAAAATAGCTCATCTCTGAGAAATCTATACTAAACGTCAAAATGTACCTAGGGACGAACCCGAGCGGAGAGAGGGTGAGTTGCTAGTATTTTATAATAATAATAAAAAATACCAAAGACAAGCTAACATTTTTTTACCCTTTTATAAATAGGTATACATATGTCATGGAGAGAATTAAAATGAAAAAGTCCAAATACATTAATAACATTTTCGACATCAAAATTTTACTCATAAAATTACAAAGAAGTAATATTGCTCATGGGAGGCACATCATAATACTAGGAACTAGCTGAACGGTGACGGATTGACAACTTGTCAAAAGGTCTTATTTTGGTATTGAAATTGGCATAAAAACAACATATGGCGCTGTTATAGTTTACTCTTAACTTTGGCAGATAACATTTTTTTCAGTTCTCTTCTTAAAATTTTACCTGATGGGTTCTTCGGTATTTCTTCAACAAATATAACTCCACCTCGTAAATGCTTTGCGGGAGACACCTAAACAGAATAATCTTTTTGATTATGAGATATATTTAAATAGATGTGAAATATCTTACATATTATGTTTCTCCGTTCATAAAGTCTTTATGAGCGTGAAATTTACTTTATACTCCTTATATAATTTTATATTTATGTACTAGTTTTTACTATTACTTTTTTATACTAATTGTAACTTTACTTCAAACAAAATCTTCCCGAAATCTACACAGATAAATAAAATTGAAGTGTCTGTTTGTAATATTAAAATAACAGGTTTTTACCTAATATATTATATAAAATTATATACGGTACTTATAAGTAAAACACAATTTTTAACATTTTTGTCAGTCTGTTTGTTCCTGCTAATCTCCGAAATTATTGGACAGTTTTTGACGGGACTTTCACTAGCAGATAATTGATGTTATAAGGAGTAACTTAGACTACCTACTTTTATTTTAGAAAAGGATTAGAGTTCCCCTAAAAACATTAAAACGTACGTACGGACGCACCCGAGCGAACCGAGACTGAGTCACAAGTTTTAAATATAGTTATGTATTACGTCCACTAATACCCAACCATAGTTTTTATAACCTAACCTAATTGAATGAATATTATATACATAGTCTAATTCTAAGAATACTTTATTTTATAATACTGCTATATGTACATTGTGAATTAAAAGTTGCCTTGTAAGTAAAGCAATTAAAAGTGGCCTTGACTGCATTATAATTTTGACCTTGAAACCGTCTTATAAATCACTTTCGTTGTAAGTTGCGAATGAACCTAATCGATTGATCAGTCGGCCTAATCCATTGAGCAGTCCGTGAGCCGGTTTTCCGTTGCAATCGTGCTAACTGATAACTTTCGCAAAAATCTACATTAATTGTTTTCGTGTAATTAACAAACTCACACAATCTTTTGTACCTACGCTACACCGTGATAATCTTACATTTACTCTTATAAATAATTTTTCACAAGCAAAGGTAACTAACATAAATTAACGAGTAGGTACCTACTTGAAACAATAAATTAATAATTTACTTAAAGAAAATGAATGGTACACGGTAAATATAAAAAATAGCAAAAACGTTTTTCAATAAGAGTAGGTAGGTTTTATTACAGAGGCTACAGTTATTATTTGCGACCTCTCGACACTTTATAATAAACGTAATTATGTATTCAATTTCTAGACCTTTGCAGGTTAATTATATAAGATTTTTCATGAAAAATTAAAAGTAATGGGTATTTACTTTGTTTAATGACATATATAACTATATTAACGGCGAATATTTAATAAGGAAGCAAATACTAGACTCGCATAAATATTTGACTATAATATAGTGCAGGCGGCGGGTGCTAACAGAACTGTACTTTTAATTCCTTCCACTCACAGTGTTACGTAAGATGAGAATTTGGATATTCGCAGTAACTGAACAAGCGCAGGACACATCCTTATAGCAGTCTAACGAAGGCGTCTAGATAGCAAAGGGGATGAGGCTCAACCCGACTGTCATACTTACTTTTATATAACAGTTAGGAAACGGCTTTAGGGTTGACGGATACAATTCTTATCAGCCACGAGATGGCATTAGAACGCGTTAGCCTTCCTTTAGCTCAAACTATTCCTCATAAAAATTGTTATTTTCTGACAGCCCTTGCATTTGGCCGCATTTCGTTAAAATGAAAAGCGATCGCATACTGTGTGGATTTTTATACTGTGTGTGTGAGTGACAGCGTTCCTAAGAAATAGTAAAGCAGTCAGCTCAGTCCCGCGCCTATCTCGTGCAGACTGCAGAGGCACAAGCCTGCGAGTACATTTGTGTGCACTATAACATCTCTTGCGCCGTCTCAGTGATGTTTTTTTTATTAATGAAACTACATCCACTTTTAATTGCCCGTGCCCTTTTTATTACATTAACAATATTTTTACTTGTTTGGCGATTACATTTTATATTTACTTAGAATTCACGATATCGGCTACATCGACTAATCTCACTGAGATTAGTCGATGTGGCCGATATCGTGAATCAGTGAGGACTGAGGAGTCATTACCTTGGAGGCGACATACGCGACGAGATCGTAGGCTTGCAGGCGGGCGCCGGGCTGCGGCACGACGAAGGCGACGGGCAGCTCGCCGGCCGCCTCGTGCGCGCGCCCCACCACGCCGCAGTCAGCCACGCCCGCGTGCCGCAGCAGCAGCGCCTCCAGCTCCGCCGGTGCCACCTGTGGATACCATACTCTATATGTCACCTGGGGCATAACTGGTTACTACATAGTATAAAACAAAGACGCTTCTCGCTGTTTGTCTGTCCTAATGTATGCTTACATCTTTAAAACTACGCAACGGATTTTGATGCGGTTTTGTTTAATAGATAGTGATTCAAAAAAATACAAAATAGGTAGTAGAAAAAAGTTTTACAGTGAACCCTATTACTTTTTCTTTCATGTTTATTAGTTCTCTCTCTCAGTGAGACCCAAATCCCATCATATTTTCGTGGTACTGGCTTCGACAACCTTGTTCGAAGTCCATCGTGTCTTGATGAAAATGTTCTTCTTGTTCTTCTGAATAGAATGAATTCGCGTTTTTTTTGAAACATCAGAACTATTGAGCTTTTTTTTCAAACACGATGACTCAAGAAGAAGAATTTACCTATTATCATAACTACCGCAAAAGCAAACTTTTTAAGGATATGGGGTACTTTTCGTTTATTTTAAATCATAATGAACAGATAAATCATACAATAAATTTTAAGACAAGACAATTTATTTTTTGTAGAGCTGTGTATATAATCAATTGGGCGTCTCTCTATACATTAAAATTCTGAGTGGAAACTGTACTTAAATATTTTTTGGAAAATCTTATTGAAATAGACATTATTTATTATACATACAGAGGTCGAATATATATATATATATATATATATATATAAGACGGAGGAGGATTTAGTTACCTTTTTCTGTTATTAACCTTATTATTATTTAAAGTCACTATGTTCTTTAGTTTACTTTTTATTGATTTTGAATTTAGAGCAGAGATTTAGTCTCGAGCGGGGTCGAGACGCCATCACGACATTCTTTGCAGATACGTGGTTTAGTAAAGTCGGTTGATCATGGTGGATCATAGTTTTGCTTTGATATTGTAGTTGGAAGTCGATGATCGGTGACTGTGAACCCGCTAGCTCTAAATCATTAGAATTACCGTTTCAAGTTTATAACATTGTGACTTCCCTGATTAAATTGTGTATTGAGCACTGAATACTTTATTATTTGAGCCCTGATAACGCCCACAAGATGAGTAACCACCAAAGATGATGTTTGTAGTATATGGATAACACGACATATAGTTAATAGTTTTAAGAATTTTTGTCTATCTGCCTGGGACCGCATCACAAGAAAACTACTAGACAGATTTTGATGAAATTTGGTATGTTGATAGCTGCTTATTCGAATCAATATATAGTATAATTTTTACTCAGGGAAAATATCTAATCTCTGAGAAATCTACACTAAACGTTAAAGCGTACCAAGGGACGAGCGGAGCGAAGGTGAGTCGCTAGTTGTATATGAATTCTTAATAATTTATTCTTTGGGCTAATTTATGCCTACGTCATTGCTCCTGTGGTAGGTACGTTATCGATCAAAGTAGTCTACGTGCTAATCTAAATACGCTCCATATCCCCATTCTCAATTGCACTGAAATCTGTTGAACTGTTGCAGCATGAAAAAGTATACAAACTCTATAATATTAGCATGATTACTTTCAGATGGGTACCCGCTAACATAAACCATAGTGTCCTTCGCTTAAATTTTACTATAGATCCGAAGTTACACTCTTCACTACTTTATAAAACAAAGGTAAACGTATACTATTAACTATAAAAAAAAAAGTCGTTGATTCGATTCCAATTTTTGTACATACCACATACTAATTAAAAAAATAAAAATTTTAAAATAAAAAATATATATAAATTACAATAATACCTGAAAGCCTTTATACTTGATGAGTTCCTTCAGCCGATCCACAATGTAGAAGAAGCCGTCCTCGTCGTAGTAGCCGATGTCGCCCGTCTGCACGTAGCCGTCGGCGTCCAGCAGCGCGGCGCTGGCGGCCGGGTCGCCCATGTACCCCTTCATACGGAGTGGCGACTTGATCCATAGCTCACCTTCCTTGTAAGGACCTAACTTCTCATCTGTTTCCGTGTTTAACACCTGCGGTAATGATTATTTTTTGAAGTGAAATGCCTTTAAAATAACACCGAAACATACGGGTACCAGGTCAGAAAAGGTTGTATTGGGTTACCATAATAGCCCCCAACAACGTGCGTTCATCTTGGCAATACAGCCGGCCGCGAAGCCAAGTAACGCACAGGGAGGTGACTCACTTCGGTGGGCGGTGTGCTATGCGGGTTGCTCCTGGTACTTCTCTGATAAAGAGTGGACCGTGGAGCAACCAACACATGCCGTGACAGCAGAGAGCTTCAATGTTATTAATGAAAAAGTTATTAAAATCAAATTTCGACTACTGGGCGAACATTTATTTTAACTACTAACTAGTATAATAAAACTAAAATTGTGGTGTTCGGCCCCAAATTAAGCGTCTTAATTTTTTTTTCTCTCAAAGCTTTTAGAGGGCAAATGAACAATATGCTAAAGATAAGTGTTTAAGTATTTATCTAGTATAACTATGCAAGATATATTATGTAGTTTAGAGTTTAATCTATATTACACTTTAATCCCCGCCTGATACAGATATGAGAATTCATTCGATAACTAATACATACATTAACATATATAGTTGAATAAATTTTACAGAAAGAGATTTCTATAAAATACCCTTTATAAATATTTCTATAAATTTTCTCTTAAATTTTCTACTTACTTAAATCACTTCAGTTTATAAAGTACCTACAATCTTCCTCTAAATACATATTGCATCAACGCATATAAAAAGTGGTCTTGTAACTTATTAAACATACTAACATTTGTATGGAAAATAATTACTTTCGAATGTTAAATTAAAACAAGTGCGAGTCGAATTTGCATACGAAGGCTTCCGTACCATTGTACCTGTACTTTTTATTAATATAACTTTTAGTCGACGTATGCAGTATATTAACTTCGATGATCGATTACGAACGTTAAAAAATGTTTCTTATATTTTTATTTTTTTTATTATTTGTCGTTATAGCGGCGTCGTATATAGAAATACATACTCTGTGATCAATTCTCTACTTATTACGGTTCCTAAGATACAGCCCTCTGACAGACGGACGGACGGATGGACAGCGGACGCTAAGTAATATTGTTCCGTTGGCAGCCTTCGGGTACGGAACCCTAAAAAGGGTTAACTTCGTATATACGTAAAATAATATTTACCTTAATCCTCATACCAGGCGCGGGGGTGCCGCAAGAGCCCACTTTTTCCCCATCAGTCAAGTCCACACAACAAGCCATCGTGACCTCCGTGAGACCATATCCTTGCCTTATATACGATATACCCGTTCTAAAAGGTCAAGTTTTACATTTTCATGATTGCTCCCAAATCTTCGCCAAAATGAAACGATGTTTATGATTGAATGAGTGTTTGCACTTTTTAGTTAAAATGTACGTAGTTCTTTATGATATACGTATACAGTGATAATTTTTTATTTGTCAATTGATTCTATGGTATCTACAGTAAAATTTCATATTTTATGGTACATACAACTAGACAGTTTATTTTGATCTATAGGATTAAAACTCAAATAGCAAATATGTAGATGTTAAAGTACAGTATACCTTTTAGATACAGCATCCTGAATTTCCTTAGAAAGTGGTGCGGCTCCACACCACACTTCGTTTAAGGATGTTAAATCATATTTTTCCACTAGCGGGTGTTTGGCCAAGAACACCGCCAATGGTGGGACTATTGTTGTCATGTTAATCTGTGAATAATTGAAAAAAAATGTTCTTATCAGTATTCTTTGTACATTTCGTCAGCAATAAGCTTGAAATTTTTAGGAGTTTGTACCCAATTTACCTTAGTGTCCATTACTACTGAAGTAATGGTCACTATGGTGCATATCATTTGCAAGTCCTGTCAGTTACAACCTTTTCATATGAGACTGCATAGTAGTTCAACCATAGGATTAATTTTTCAATCTACCCAAGACATCAAAAATACTATATGAAACGTATGAAATTGAACCAGTTGACTATTTAACCAGTTACTATAATATTGTATTATATATGCATACTGCATGTATATACATATTTAATGGATTACCTTATATTTCTGAATAGTTTCAAGGAATTGTTTCTCCTCAAAGCGCACTAAAAATATAACTTGTACATTGAGGCACATAACAGCCAGGTTCGTAATGAAACCATATGCATGGAACCAGGGTATCAAGGACAGGGCATTTATTACTTTATGCTTTTTTCTCTGTTGTGAAGTTTCCAGATAATATCTGTAATAAGTTATTTATATACTAAATTAAAAATATATTAAGCTAAGTTTTAGATCCACAATATTATTCTTAAATCAAATATGAGTAATCAAATTAAAAGAAATATTATTACAATTCAAATACCTTTTTTATCTATATTTCAGTAAAATATACTATTAAAAAGTATAATAAAATGGCGACTTTTGTTAATGTTGTATAAATTGATAGAATTATGAGGTTTATGTAATAATTTATAAGGCCAGTAATATTTAATTGAATGCTATGATCAATGTCTTCAAATTTACTTTAAAAACAACTAAGCTTTAAATTACTAATTCTTTAGTAAAACTACTATATAAGTAACAATTTGTAAACAAGTTTAAACTCACTTCATATGAGCGGTTAATGTTAGAAAATTTACGTGGGTGAGCATTACGCCTTTTGGGAGTCCAGTAGTACCCGATGAGCACATCACTGCCACTGTGTCTTCAACACCATTTACATCCACCAAAGTAAAACTATCTACATCCACCTGCTTTTTTACTAAATCATTGTAGAACACACCAGGTACTATCTCATATTCACCAAATAAAATAATTTTCTCAACATAAGGCCGATCTTTACTACAATCATATAAGTTTTGTGCACTAATTGGTGAAGTTATAATAAATTTTGGTTTAGTTATGTGAAATATATGAGTGATTTCATCTGAAAATAAATATTAGTTATTAAATTACAATGCGATAAAACACATTTCGAAACTTTTTTTCGCAAGTCGGTTAACTCCGTTTCAGTGCACTTTTCAGGGGTCACTCGAACCGTTATTACCTCAATAATAATAAGAATTAGGAAAACATGGAATTTTAGATAATTTGAACATATTATTATTAAAAAAAGGAATACTTATACTTCACAAATTCGTAATAAATATAAATTTGAAATATAAAGTAAATACAGCATACTTCATTATAATGAAAACCTCCCTATAACGCAGAAATTACTACAATTTGGTTGGTTTATCTTAAAAAAAACGAACATTGATACACTCTTTATAGTGCCTAAGTCATTGTCTATTACGAAAATGCATTCTTATTCGTGTGTATATCTAAGTCGTGTCCAAAAATAAAAAGAAACATAATATGATGAAGTGGAAAGAGAGTGTAGAATTCTTATTGTTTCATAAAAATGATCCCACATCGCAAAATATGGATAAAATTCAAAACAAATACTGGCATAGCAGAAAACATCGAAGTGTATATTATGCAGATATTTAGAATAACTCAATTACCTATATAATATATATATATATATGAGTGAGAATGGGGATGAAAGTTTTTTATGGGGAAGCAAGCTAGGAACGAACCCGAGCGAAGCGACGGTGAGTCACTAGTATATGTTAAAACAAATCTCTCCATAATGAAAAAAATGCTTGATCCCATTATAAAGTATTTACAATTAACAATATAAACATTGTATTTATGTTTTAGATAGCATTTAAAAAGTTCACTACAATGGAGTTAGCAAACTTGCAACTTAAAGTGTCTATTAGAAAAATGATTATTTTTCAATAATATCTGGTTATATGCATACTGTGTTGCATTAATTATATATAAATATATAAAGCCACAAAGATTTTTTTAAGAATGATAGAAACATTAAATATTTATTTATTTTAGATTATGTTCTATTGAACTAAATTAAATATTTGAATTTGAACTCCCATTCTAGCATTTTAAATATAAAAGCATCCCCAATGACCCCTTCTAGATACTATATACCTATAAATGTCTATGTATAATGAAAGAAAGGACATAAGTAATTTCTTCTAAGCAATCAAAAAAATGAATTAAGATTTGTATTTAAGTCCTATTTGTATAGGATTTTAATACAAACTTGACTGATGTAAATGCATCAACGCATAGGGCAAACCCTTAAGGCTAGAAAATTGATATTTCGCACATGTATTCCTCATATGAGGAAGGCATTTTCAAAGGAAGGATTTTTCAAAATTCAACCCCCGAGGGAGTAAAATAGGGGATTAAAGTTTGTATGAAACTTTTTATTCCTTGGAAATATTTGCATGAAATTTCATATGAATTGAGTAAGGCAATAATAATGAGTTACATATTTCATTGTTTTCTAAAATTCAACCCCTAAGAGGGTAAATTGGGGATGGAAGTTTCTATGAAACCCACTATTAAGAGTTTTTTTGTAGTTTTAGTGCGAGCAAAGCCACGGGTTCTGCTAGTTTAATAATATTTACTATCTGATAAATACAAATATAAAAGTATGCCAGCTACATAAGGCTTATATGACTATAATTTTATGAAGGATAGTGATTATTCATACCAGGTGAATATGTAACATTGAGAGTTGATAAGATTCCTCCACAATATATAACAGCTAGTGATGCAACAGTAAACTCGAAACGATTTTCACTGCTCAATGACACTACATCTCCTTTCTTTAAACCTAATTCTTGAAGTGCCACAGCTAAATTAACACTATTCTGCAAAATGGTCTTGAAAGTAACAGAGTTTCCTGTTTCTGCACAAATCTGTAAAGTAAAAAAAATGTGTATATAATATCTACTACATTTTTTTAATAGGGTTTAGAATTATAAACTTTAGAGTACCTAATACAAAAACTTATTATTAGTAAGAGATATCAACTTGATTAAATTTTATGTAAATTGGCTTGACTAGATCTTTAACACGATTATAACTCGAAATGATTATCATTTGTTAGAAACTTTTAGTTTCTACCTGATATCTAGAACAAAATAAAAATTCACATATGAAGAGGTTTTTATATTTTACATGTATTTCTTATTTTTATGTGTAAATTAATAAATTTACATTACGTACAGTAGTACTTACTTGTGCAATTTTGTCACCACCAGCTTTAAGTTTGTCGAATATAAATTGACCATATGACAAATGAGCGGGAATAGGGCTTTCTTCTGGACCACAAACTATTTTGTTATGTATTGACACAGCCATTCTAATTTAGGAAAGTAATTAATTCTAAATATTTCTAATTGTTTCACTCTTTTAAGTTCGTCCTTTTTGATTTCTTAAATTGCGAATTACATAAAGTGTGAAATCGTGATAAATAATTATCACACTTCAATTTTTTGAACAAACCTGATAGGAACACGTAAAATATCAAAGAATTAATAATTATTTCATATCAATCATTGATTATTTAATTCAAAGATAACCTACACAAGTATCACTGCCGGAAGCCGGTCGCCGTGACCTGACATTTGAATTTTGACAATTAAATTTCAATTTTCACAGACAATGTTATTTTTGCAATGTCGCACACCTAGATCTAAACAGAGCTAATTCAAAAATCTCATCTTTTTAGTTACGCATACCATCGGATTCCTTAACTTACTAGCTAGCGACCAATAAAGCAGATACAAAAATAGTTACATTTCTCAATGCTAGGTGACACTAAAACCTCTTTTTGTTGTATGAAAGAGCCCGATTCTCCTCCACCAAAACAGGAACATAGCTAGTTACTGTCAGTATTACACGCGAAATGCATGTACCTGTCGTAAACAAACTAGAGTTATTTTGAGTTAATTCTGTATTGTTGAGGTAAACCAGAAAATTGTAAAAATATTATTAAACTTGTCGCCATTTTGATGGTTAGTGCTAAGTAAAATAAAGCAACATTTTGACTTGAACCAGTGTTCATAGGAAAGTGAGTAAAGTTTTCGTTTTTATTTAGAATTGTTGTTGTGTTGTTAAATCTTTTTAAATTTTTAGTTAAGTCTTTTTTGTTGAGTCATTTTTTAAACTCTTATATTTCTCTAAAACCCAATTTAAAATTAACTTTTTTGCTAGTGTTGATTGGAGTTTTTTCATCTAAATATTATTTTATTTTTATCCTAGTCATTACAAAGCTTGTTGTGTTTTAATAAACATTTTTCAAGTTAGAGCTTTTTAGATGAGCTACGCTACATAAAATTTCACTATATCGAAGTTCATCAGTTCGCAGACGTAATTGGGTTCATCAAATCGATGTGGTGTAATGGATCAGATTTATTTATTTAATTTAACTTTTTTTAGAAACATTTTTTAGAAAAAAAATGAATCGTGGAGCATTTTTAGTATATATGATTGAGCAAGGGACACAGAAAATATCGGCCCTAGCTTACTGACTCAATATGAAAATATGCAACGAGATACTAGACCTTTATAACAAGAGCTTGAACTAATAATACAGAAGAAGACGGTACTAGAAAATAAGCAACAGCAAAAAGACTATTGTACATAAGGATATCATCAAGCATATCCGTGGCCGATAAATCTAATCCGATAACATCTAAACAACTGAAATGACAACCAATCCGAAGTGACGAAAGCGAAATTGACAACTCAGATCCCAATTTCGGATTTGTTCATAAAAAAAGACATCATCTAAAGTCGTTCTTACTAGTACATCGTTGTCTTCGTCCAGCACCAATAGTAGCAGCTCTAGTAGCTCATCAAGTTCTGGTAGTTCGTCGGATACCAAAGATGATAGTGCGCATGTACAACTCGACTCTCAGAATGCAATGGGCTTAAATAAAACTATCTTTTCGGATTTTTTCGCGAATTTATTTTGATTATTGGTTCCCGACGTTTCGAATGCTTAAAGCAATCATGGTCACGAGAGAGACTCGGTCTCTTAGATTTAGATTAGTTATAGTTTTATTTAAAATGTCAAATATTCGCGTAAATATAAGAAAGTATTAATGCAATGGTTGCTGAAAAAAAATCCTAACAGCCCGTGATAGAACAAAAAAAGAGTACATAAACCCGAAATGTGTAAAAATAAGTGTCAGAGAAAAATGTCGGCTACAATGTAAAGTAAATTAGGTGGAAGAACTATCAAGGCAATGGCTTTTTGATGCATTTTAGAGAATTCGTAAATCTTGAAAAGCAGAGAGTATTCGTAGTACCTACGAGACTCAAAAATATTTTTTTTAAGTTATATTTTTAATTATTAATAAAAAATATTGTCTGATTGAGTACTTAATTCAGTGTTTTCTTCCTAATTCCTAACAATCAGCCAATCTACCCCTACTTTTGGTCTCAGACCCTGTATTAGTCAGGTTATTATAAATACATTCAAAATGCTGTCCATTTTAAATTTATAATGACTCTTCAAAAGAGAGACAACTAAACACTAAATTCACCAACACAGGTTCAACTACAAATAACAAAAAATAAACTTACAATTTGTTAAGCAATACAGAAACAACTACAAAAATCCAATTTTTAGGCCTAATATAGAACTGAAACACAAGATTCCTATAACATCTTTCATCTATTTTAATTTAAAAAACATTAATCAATACAGAAAACTTCTGGAGTGCACATGAATTCGGTAATCAGTCTTTCACGTTTTCTGAAAAAAGTGTTTTTTTGAGTTAATCGCTGTTTAGATCTATATGTGCGATATGACATTTCAAAGTTTGCTATTCAGCTATACATATAATAAAATTGTAACTAAGCCGAATCTGTACATTAAATAATTTTTGGAAAATCTTTTTGAAATAGACATTACTATCGATACAGAGACCGAATGTATCGTTTTTAGAATTTTTGTCTGTCTGTCTGTAGGTATGTTACCGCATCACAGAAAAACTACTGGAGGGATTTTTATGAAATTTAGTATGGTGATAGCTGGTGATATCCGGGTCAACATATAAGTATACTTTTTACTGCAGGAAAATATCACGTCTCTGAGAAATCTATAATAACCTTAAAACGTAATTAGGGACAAACCCGAGCGGAGCAAGGGTGAATCGCTAATTTTAAAATAAATCTTTTTACTTGACATTGTACGAAGTAATCTGCTCAATTGGCACTTTTTTAAGCCATTAACAAGATAATAAGTCTTGACAACGCAAGTTGTCAAGTAATTCGTAGCTTGAAATTAGAGATCCACGGAAGAGAAAAAACAAAGGAAGTGCGCGGGGGCGGCTCTACATACAGGCTTTTTGGACTGCAGCCTCAGGGACACTCAGATATCTATCATTATAGATTTTTTTAAAACATAAAAAAATAAAAAATAAAGGTAAAAAACCACTGATTGGTAATTTTCATTTAATATAGATACCTATTATGATATGTTAAACGCCTTCTTCGAAGAAACCTGTAGTCTCAGACTGCACAATATTTATTTTTCAGCTCTACTCTTTGCCTTATTAATTTTATAAACTAGAATTGTAATTTAAAGACTTTTTATATTGTAACTATTATTTATTTGTTAACACACATTGTTATTTCTTATCTAGGCAACGGATGGCAATTGTTTTCCGACGCTTATTATCCTCAATTTCGAGTCAAAATAATATCTATATTCTTAATAAAATAACTATTTAATTCTGAGCGGAAAGTGTCATTTGAGATACCAAAATATTCATAATATATATAGTTTCGTGGTCTATTATATATAATATTTACACATATCCGCTCTATTGAATACTAAAAATATCTAAAGTCGGTAACAACTCGGCCATCCGAAAGCTTTACGAGTCCCTCGTAATAAATAAAGATAACACAAAAAAAACATAAGAAAAGCAAAAATAAACAAATTCAATAACCGATAATTACTCTTAACTATAATAAATTCAACAAAGCTAACCTTTCATTTTAACCAGCTTAATTCTAATTTAATTTTAATTCCTCACATTATATATTTATAATACATAAATATTATATTCTTAGTATATCTTTTATAAATTTACAAATATCTATCCAATCATCATGACTTTAAACAATATAATTCCAAACTATTTCATTCGAAAGATCCATGACATTGATCTTTCCTACTTAACTAAAAAAAACAATTATATTTTGCTGATCCATGACATTGATCAACCTCTATAGAAAAGACGGAACAATAACACATTAGTTGATCCATGACATTAATCAACTAATATGCCTCTGATACGACCCATGACATTGGCCATCTCAGAGATGCACAAATCCATGACCTTGATTTGTACATATTACGCCGTTACTTTCCATCGTTACATTATAACATTACATAATAATCATAACAACAGTTCATAAGAAAAGACGGAACAATAACACATTAGTTGATCCATGACATTAATCAACCAATATGCCTCTGATACGACCCATGACATTGGCCATCTCAGAGATGCACAAATCCATGACATTGATTTGTACATATTACGCCGTTACTTTCCATCGTTACATTATAACATTACATAATAATCATAACAACAGTTCATAAGAAAAGACGGAACAATAACACATTAGTTGATCCATGACATTAATCAACCAATATGCCTCTGATACGACCCATGACATTGGCCATCTCAGAGATGCACAAATCCATGACATTGATTTGTACATATTACGCCGTTACTTTCCATCGTTACATTATAACATTACATAATAATCATAACAACAGTTCATAAGAAAAGACGGAACCATAACACATTAGTTGATCCATGACATTAATCAACCAATATGCCTCTGATACGACCCATGACATTGGCCATCTCAGAGATGCACAAATCCATGACATTGATTTGTACATATTACGCCGTTGCTTTTCATCTTTACATTATAACATTACATAATAATCATAACAACAGTTCATGACATCGAGCGAAGTTATTATTTGTTGAATTAACATTATTATTAAACTTATATAGATTTATTTACTTGATGACTTTTATCATGACATGACATTCATCATTTATAAAATAATGCAACTTTGTAATTATGTTAATAAGGTAAAGTTATTTAACATCATTATAATTTATTATTTATTTTTCTTTTACATTGCTAACAACATTAGGTACATTTACCTCATCATTCATGGATTCACTATCAGAAGAGCTCTCATTATCAGAGGATATTTGATGAGTAAAATTTAACCAAGGGAATATTTTATCAATTGCCACTATCGATTCATAGCGTCTACCCTTTCTTGTGATTGGAGTATCTTCGAACCTCGTGAATATTATGCGGAGTAGGGAACTTTTCTACGGCTTCAGTCTTGAGAGTACCTGGTCGTATACTAGAAGAACTAACCTCATACCCAAGGTAATCAATTTTATCGTAGAAAAAGTGGCATTTACTTAGCTTCAAAGTTAAACCATTTTCCTTTAATAGGTTAAGAACTTCCCTTAGTCTAACTAATGAGCTAGTAATAATCAAATGAGCTAGACGGAATTAATATATCGTCCATGTAAACAAGAACATATGAACGAACGGGGGATTTTTGTATGTATATATTTTTGTATATATTGATTGTTGTACATTGTATATATTTTTGTATTATAAATATATTTGTTGTATAAATGGCATGCGATTGTATTCATATTGGCCATCGGGTGTCACGAAGGCAGTCTTTTCACGCGATTCTTCAGCAATTGGGATCTGATAATAGCCCGACGCAATATCTAAAGTTATATAAAGAGAGCTACCAGCTAAAAGATCGAGTTGGTCTTCTATCCTAGGTAGGGGATAATGTTCCCGCTTAGTCTTTTTGTTTAATGCGCGATAGTCCACACAAAGCCTTTTTGCCTAACATTTCGGTGAGAAGTTCAGCATAATTTTCTCGCGATGGGAAAGATTCTTTAAGCCTAAATTTCCAGTCAGCCCATGATAATAAAAGCGATGACAACCCCTGATACCATGACTTCGCTATCCCTGTAAGTTTTGGCAAAGCATAGTGAACGATTTGCTTCTCGTCCCAGCTATATATTTGAGCACATTCTTCTATTTTATGAATCCATGAATCAATTGTTTGTTCTTTACAAAGTGGATCAAATTCGGGTACAACATTATTAAGAACTGGGAATTTGTCACGTTCTACAGTACCTTTGTCCTTAATACCTTGCATTACTTTAATAAACTGTTCGAAAAATAATCGCTGAGTATCCGCATACCTTGATTCACCTGTGAGGTCTGTAGCAACTGGAGTCACGCCTGGTGAAGCAGCAGTCTGCGCCATATGAGCCGTATGCGCCACGCCCGTGGATGCCTGGGGCATGACAGGAGTATAGGACCTTACACTCCGCGAGCGTCGCGGCCGTCTCGTTTCATCGCGACCATGATGCCTTAAACGCCTGGCACCGCTACGACTACGGTGCCTTGATCGGTGGCGCCTGTTACTCTTGCTACTCTTGCCACTCTTTGTATGCCTGCGGTGGCGAGAGTGATCACTACTTAGTGAAGAGTCACTCTCAGTAGACTGTGTTCTTTTCTTTCGTTTAGGCATTATCGTAGTTAACCTCAAAAAGACACAAAAACGAATATTTAAATGACATGAAACTATACTCCAAATAAAGATAATAATCTAAAAAAATAGTTATAATATTAAAACTACTCAAATGTTACTTTCATAGGATAGGTATCGAACTAATTCATTAAATTCCATTTACATTTCTTTTACATATTATGTCTACGAACATACTATAATAATATTAAAATAAAATATATTAAAAAAAATGTGATTTTGATACCTATCAAAATGTGACCATAACAATCATATCTAAATTGGTATAATTAATAACTATCCTTTATTTTTATATGACAAAACCTTACAATTTCATTAAAAAAAAGAGAGGGTAAAAAAAATTATCCTTATATGAATCTTTAAAGAAAAGGGAAAATATTATTATTTCATACTCTTACACGTCCTCTTTTTTATTGATGTGGGCAGAGAGGGATCACACCGAAATAATATAATATCTCAGTGCGATCCCACTTCTGAGATGTTAAACGCCTTCTTCGAAGAAACCTGTAGTCTCAGACTGCACAATATTTATTTTTCAGCTCTACTCTTTGCCTTATTAATTTTATAAACTAGAATTGTAATTTAAAGACTTTTTATATTGTAACTATTATTTATTTGTTAACACACATTGTTATTTCTTATCTAGGCAACGGATGGCAATTGTTTTCCGACGCTTATTATCCTCAATTTCGAGTCAAAATAATATCTATATTCTTAATAAAATAACTATTTAATTCTGAGCGGAAAGTGTCATTTGAGATACCAAAATATTCATAATATATATAGTTTCGTGGTCTATTATATATAATATTTACACATATCCGCTCTATTGAATACTAAAAATATCTAAAGTCGGTAACAGATATTTTCGAAGTCGGTATTACCGTGCTCACAAGGCTTATTTTTTTTTTAGTGTCGGGAAATGCATTTACGCATACCACCTAATCCCCCAGGTGGTGATGTGGGGCTCACTGGCTAGAAGAGCCGGTACTATCCACTAAATCCCGACATTCCCACGGGACCATGCTCACAAGGTTGGATCCGAGCTACTATGTTTCTTCGTCAACAAACAACTAAAAAGATGAGAACAAGCTCATCTTTTCAACCGACTTCCTCAAAAAGGAGGAGGTTCTCAATTCGCCTGTATTTTTTTTTTATGTTTGTTACCTCAGAACTCCGTCATTTATTAACTGACTTAGACAATTTTTGTTTTGTTTAAAAGTGTATACTTCCAGATTGGTCCCATTCAAATTTCAAAAAAAAACCACCCCTAAGGGTGGAAAAATAGTTAATGATGAATTTAACCTACTCCTAATTGTCATATTGATAGTACAGTGGTTCGATATTGTTGACCTGATCTGATGGTAAGGCCAGAAGGTGGATAGGTGGAACTCTTCAACGGCTAATAGTAGATACTCTGAGTTTGGGCTTATTTTGTTTGATTTGACAAGCCTAACACGTTAGAATTCTTACTTTGCTACTACTGTCTGCACTAAAAAGGGAAAAATAAAAACTTTTTAACAAAAAAATAAAAACCGACTTCAAACAAAAGCACTAAAAAGTAAAAAATAACTGATTGGTAGTTTTCATTTACTATACATACTTAATCAAATATTTTCGAAGTCGGTGTGCGTTGGCTAAGTAATTAAAGCCTACCTATTAAATACATACCTAATCAAATATTTTCGAAATCGGTGCCAGCCCATACAAAGGAAACATTTATTTAAAACATTTATTTATGTTCGATCAGTAGTTTTCGTATAAGTATGTAATTCAAGAAAAACAAAAAAATACAGATACGACTCTTATTATAGGTACGAGTACTAGCGGCTCACCCTCGCTTCGCTCGGGTTTATCGCTATTCGCTAGGTACGTTTTAATTATATATTTTTTTATAGAAAAAAGGGGCAAACGAGCAAACTATCCACCTGATGGTAAGTGGCTATCGCCGCTCATTGACATCTGCAACACAAGAGGAGTTGCGAATGCGTTTCCGGCCTTTAGGCACGGTAGTTTATCTATACTATAATAAAACAGTAGATTTCGAATGTATGTACATAGCAAAAAAATGCTAAAAACCGAGTCAGGAGGATGTAAGAAGACAAATAGAACAAATCCAGATTTTTTTCAATTTTTTTGTTTCTCTGTCTGTTTGTTTCTCTGTCTGTTTGTCTGTTTCTACGGGCTAATCTCTGAATCTATTGTACCGATTTAAATGAAATTTTGCATGGTGGTACTTTATATCCCCGGGCAACACCTTATATTGCCGGTCAAACAACAGGTTACTTTTCATCCCGGAAAAATGAACGGTTCCCGTAGAAATTAATAGATCTCTATTAGTGTTATTCTAGAGGCGAACCCGAACGAAGCGAGGGTAAGCCGCTAGTGTTACATATAACATTACCGTGCTTTAAGGGACCTAAAGACATGTCTCTCTTACGTTTGAAATAGTTATTAGCCAGTGTTAGCCATATAAATATATTTTTTTCGTATTTTTTTTTTGATGTTACAATACTTATTATATATTCCGGAATAAGAGAAATCCAAAAAATCCAATATCTTAAAAATTGGTCCAGCCGTTCTTGAGTTATAAATGGTGCAACTAACACGACTTTGTTTTATATACATCATACATATTATATAGATATACTATTAAGATAGACTATAGCCCTACAAGTATTTAAATAGCTAGTCTTTGCAAAATATATAATACGTAATATATTTAAAGTTTAGTACATGTTTTGTAACAGTCGTAGATATAAATTTTATAACATTTTAGCAACAAAATAGATGCCTATCGCCCGAACAGGGACTTGAACCCTGGACCCTTGGATTAAAAGTCCAATGCTCTACCGACTGAGCTATCCGGGCTATATAAATATTAATGTAACAGCATATCACTTACAATATTATAAAATTGTTATTTCAAATAGCAATGATATAGTGTAATGTGTGTGTAATGAGGTACTACAAAACCGCGGTAAATTCATCAAAGTCCGGCTATGTGATCCTCCAGCGCACCGTTAAGACGAGGAATGTTCCATTGGGTTTTAGTGGATAAAAGTACTCAGGGCTGGATTCACCCTTAGCGCCGCCCCTAGGCATAGTAAAAAATGCCGCTCTATTATCAAAATTTTGCATAAAATGGGTAATGTTTTGATAAAGTTTTTTTTTTATTATTTTTTTGAAAAATGCAAAAAATAATAATTTACACTTAAATGATTTCTATTTTTCATAAAATGTACAAATTATTTTTTTTAATTAATAATTTTTCGGAAAATAAAGAAAGTGTTTTCGATAACGCGAAGAGATTTTTTTCCCACACTCCGAATTTTGGCGCCCCTCAAAATTTGCCGGCCTGGGCACTAGCCCCGAGTGCCCCTAGTGTAAATCCAGCGCTAAAAGTACTGACTAATAACCGGTGAGCAACCAAAAAGCCACCTGTAAAAAACAAGTAGTATCTATGTGTAAATAGGTACATTTACCAATTCGACTTTATTAAAGACCACAGTTTGACCATATCATATGGTTCTATCAGGTAAATTTACTATACCTAAATAAGATTAGGCTATTCGTGCGCACAATAATACAGAGCTGTAATACAGAACTGACCTTACATTGTGACCTAGTAAATTAATTATGTCAATATTTAATTAAATACAAAATAGCTAACATAAGGCAATTGCTTATCAATTTTCAAAATTTGCTAGTATACTAGTGCATTGGGAATTCGTCCATTAGAGATAATTGGATCGGTGCTAGCAATATCATTGCCTTAGCATAATAACGGCTCCCTACTTATGTTCTACAATCTATAGTAATCAATCATCCTCGTATGTCGACTGTACCTATGTAGAGCTATGTTTCGCATACATATCATACATACTTCCTTATAGCAATAATATTAAATTGATTGGTATTACAGCCATGCAAGAACCATTATAATATAGTTTTTATATATTTTTTTTGTATTATTATTATACTTAGGTGTATGTATATTTGTATACGTGGAACATATTTTCACACAAGAGTTTTTAAGAGTTACTTAAAATTAATTAACAATATCAAGGTACGACACATCTAACACCAGTTCCAGGATCTTTTAGGCATGTCAAATTCTAAAACATTGTGCGTGCTATCTAACGATTTCTTAAACGGAGGCATCCCTTGTAGACGCAGTCTGTACAGAGAAAGGTCCTACTAAAAACTAAAGGTCCTACGCACCTCTACGTCTGTAATTAAAGAAGAGTACCTACACCTAAAAATGTCTTAATTCCGTGTAGTAATTATGACATTGATACACTTAAACAGACAGCTTTATTAAAACCTATACCTACTTGTCTAATCCAAAATATTGTACCTATTTGTATCACGCACCTACCAACCTATAAAACCTATGTATGTATGTATGTTTGTTAAGTAAGTAAGAATGTTTAAAATAAATGTAGTCCCTCAATTGTAGAAGCACTTGAATTTAGATTAGACAGTGGATGCACCTGCACTATTTCACTTGTTAAACCATGTTATTACCGTAAGTAAACTTTGCCGTTTTCTCATAAATAATTAATTCATTAGGGAGTAGCGGGAAGGCGTACCTACATATATTCAAAGTGTCATATCAGTTAACAAAGCTTATAAACTTTATAAAGTAATTAGCTAGTTTCTGTTTAATGTTAAAATGATACTGTTGTGTTCTAATTTACTATGTTAAGTTAACTCTGTTACATTATACATGCGATTTTATCGACATCAGTAGTTAATTATCTAATTATAAAAGTAATTGTAACGTTGATAGACCAGGGTAGAAGCCTTTAAAAATAATAAAAAGTGAAAAAAAATAATAGTAGGATGCAACCCATTAGAAAAGGAGGGGAATATTATAAAAATGAAAGGAAAAATAATTTACGGGCGATCTGAGGTCGGGAAGGGGATGGGGGTCCGTTTTTAAGGGTAAAAAACGGTTTTTCTCGATTTCCGGCAAAACTAAAAGTCCTATAGAAAAAAGTCATATGGCAAAGTTGTAGGTAATAAAAAGATCTAAAACTTTTGTATTCACACTTTTTTCACATAACCTCAAAATTTATGTGAAAAAATAAAAAAAACCAAGTTTTTGGTTTTTTATTTTTATCTTTTACGAAAAAAATTTTTTTTAACGAAATTTGGTGAAAACATACCTTTTTATGTCCCAAATACGCTGTAATTTATTTGATTAAAAATATTTATTTTTTCACCTTATTTTGAATTAATATCGAAAAAGCACCCTCATTTTCAATCGAAAATTCACCCGTCAAAATATCAGCTTTTTTCAAAAAGTTGGTATGTTTTCTGTTCGTTGAAATCTCTACTTTCCGATGGTGAAAAAAAATTATATGTTACTATAGTAAATCTTCTGAGAAAATGCAAAAAACAAAAAACCTTTTTTATTTCATACACTTGCTTGATACAAACAGATTCATGCATACTGATAATCTGAAAAGACAAAATCGAATTAATAATGCCTTCACTATTTTATCGTGAGTATACCCCCATGAAAAAAAATATTAAAGAAATAAATGTCAAAATGTATAAAAAATATATTATAAGTATAATAAAATTCTATGATAAATGTATAAATATATAAAAAATATGTATAGTAAATATATTTTTAATAACTAACTTTTGGCCGATTTTCATGTAATGTGATATAAACGGGCGGGGATAAAATAAATTCCCCAATAAACAGGTTATTTAATGCAAAAAGAATTTTTCAAATGGGATTGGTAGTTCCTGCGATTAAAGCGTTCAAACAAACAAACAAATTCTGCCTCTTTATAATATTATTGATTAATATAGATTTCGTGGTGCTGTTTGCTATAGTTTACGCGTAACCAGTAAAGCTCGTATTTAGCATGATTTTTTCCGAAATCTTCATAATTCATCGTCATATTTCAGCCAATTTACACAAAACCTTAATGAAATATACACCTAAACAGTAAACCTTTCTCATGAATCATTCCTTCAATTGGTGAAAACCGTACAAAAATCTGTTTAGTTTTAGAGTTCATCGCGTTCAGGCAGACAGACAGATGCGATTGAGGAATATGTTTTATAAAATGTATAGATTCCTTACCGTACTAAAATCAATTTCCTTAGTTACTAAAATTACGGATGGCATCTTAACATGTAAGAGGCCTGTTACATTACAACCGTGATTTTTCTACATTTCAAGATGGGTAAACGCCCATCGCATTTACCCATCTTTGGCTTTCTTATTCCGAGAAATTGAAACTCTGCGACAATTTTGACTTATTGTATGGTGGAGAATAGTTATTAATATTGTTCATAGCGGCCTCATTTTTCGCCAATTGTCATTAAAAGCCAAAATTCTGAAGCAAGTTTTCAATAAAATGCGCGGCGGCACTTTTTTAAGCTCGTGGATTGAAATACTATACTAATGAAATGAAAAATATTTACAAATTATATATAGTGTTTGAGTTTATAGCGGCCTCGGAATTTGAAAATATGTAAGTATTAGATTTCTACAAAAAATATCATTTTTAAAAACCTTAAAAACTACTTAAAACGTTCAGTAGTCAATTTATACCAGAATATACGTCAGTTCAAAAGAAACGTAATTACATACATATTTTTTTAAAACAATTTATTACAAAACTTTACCTAAAAGTAATTACAACTGCACAAAATGCTACAAAATGCGATGCGCCGGCCGCTCGAACTCAGTGCCGTAGAGCTCCAATATATTATAAATTATAATACATAAGTAGTTTGACACATTAGACGGAGAAACATTTTTATTTGTAAGTATAGATACTCTAAATAATTGAAACTCTCTGTTACGTAAGTACTTTTATTGTTCCCAAACAGAAAACACCATAAAGATATGTTTTTTTAAATATCTATTCAAAGTAGGTATAATTTTGACCCTGCTAATAATTAGGTGCCTTTCCTTACATTTATTTATCTTTCTTCTTTTCTATTAGCTAGTACTATTCTACCTCTAAAAATATCTGATGAAGTTAGTAAATGAAAAGAACGATCGTTAGGATATATGTATTCTGTAAATAAAAAAATTGCAGATACCTACTTATAAATAATACTTTTACATCGCAATAACAGTTTTAGCACCGATGATACACATGTATGTATGTACGAGTACGTATGTTAATAGTAGAAAAGATTATTGCCGTAATCCTAGCTTTAAACTTACAATTATCATTAAGTAATTATAGACTACCTAATTACTATCTACTATCCCGACCGCTTATGACAACTTATAAGTTGTGTCTTATAACTAATCTAAGTAGAATTAATAAACATGTCTGACTATAAGTTTATTAAAGGAATTTGAATGAATAGAAATTCATAAAGGTTTATTGAATATAATGAATTTTCGAAATATAAGAGTTCCGTGCGTGCGTGCGTGTGTGTGTATGTGCGTGTGTGTGTATGTGCGTGTGTGTGTATGTGTGTTTGCATGTTTGTTACGCCTTCACGATGAGACGACTGGAAGGATTTGAAAGAAATTGAGTACATACTTGTAGGTATACTAGTAATAGATATTAATAATATAATTATAAATATATAGGTACATTAATAACATTCTCGCATTGAAGTTGTCAATTATATTCCTACGTGCTTTCAATTTAATGTTCCTTTTCTAATGTGTAGGTGAGAATAGATTGCATTACCTAGCGATAACATTCGAGAAATGAAATGTGAAATTAATTTCAATAGATTTTGCATATCTAAGAACGATATCGTAGGATGGTGAGTGATTGGTAAATATTAGATATTTTTGTATCAGCCCCACGTCCACAGAAGCAACACTAAAAATCGCTTACACTTGGGTTGTTAATAAGTAAGGTAAGTTGATACCATACAAAGTAAATATAACTGAAATATTAAATCTCATAATCAAATTGTGTGTCACGTAATATGGCTCAGAATATGTATGGAAGGGTACACCTACATAATTCAATTTACCCACACTATTGGTAATGCTATGCAGAGCGGATGTTACATGAATTAATTATGGTACGTACCATTTCAATTTCAGAAATAGTAGTCGCATTAATCAATAATTATTTATTTGTATTAAATAGGTATAAAAACATTATGTGTGTTGTTGAGCTGGTTAAAGCTAGGTATATCTTGGCATAAAAAATAATAAATCTATTTTGGCGCTTCCGCAATATGAATGGATTTGGAATGACGACTGGAACCATCTTCTGTGAGGTATAAAATTTAATACGACTTGTAGCATTCGTAAATCAGTGACGTGTGCGGTTAATCGGTTTAACGCGGGAGCAGTGCGCGCACTGGACGGCGGGACGCAACCGTTCACCACATTCGCTCGGCCCAGCCGCGGACCGCCACATGTTTAGCTTTCACGTTAGTTTCAAGCGGGACATGTTTAGGGAAGGATAGTTTGTGAGACTATGTATCGGTAGCGAGATGTCGGGGAGTGCTCAGGAGGGAGACGGTGCATCAGTGGAGGCTGGGCCGACGCCGTCTCAAGATCTCTATAGAGAGAAACCAGCGAGCACTGTGGTTCGGGTCCTTACAGTTCTCGCGTATCTCCTCTCAGTATCCTTGGCAGCAATTCTCCTCTCAGTTTACTACATATGTGTGTGGAAGTCGCCGGATCTTCCGCTAAACGAGAGCTATGAGATGCTTAGTGCAAGACGTGGGGATCACCATGATTATCATCCAGCACTGACGCTTGACAGTTCTCCGTACAATCATATAGGTAAATTAATTATTATTTCATCAAAAACCTATGTATTACTTTATTACTTACCTATTATTACTTATATATTATGGTTTAATACTTATATGATAAAGTTTGCTAAGGAAGCTACATTATTATTTTTATTGGATAATACCGATCCGTAATGAAGCCTTATTACTTATATATTTCTTTCTAAGAAGGTGAAGGTAGTGGCCTATATTAACATATAATAAAACTTTTTTATTATGTACTTATTTAGCATCTCCATATAATTGAGTATTATATACAAACTATACAAAGTTTTAATCAATGCCCTTAAAAAAACCTATACCTTAAAAAAATCTTTGAATGCCTTTTATATTTAAAGGACAAATTTCGTTATGTGGAGAAAAAATATAAAATTAATAATATAAGGCCATGAAGAAGTCCCATTGCGTTTGTAGTTTATGGGAAAGGTTCTCAACTAAACAACCTATTAGCAATAATTGATATTATTTTCTTTTTATTTAATAGTCCCCAACCTCAAGTGTTTATAAAAGCTTTTCTTGGTTTAATAGTTAAAAAAACCTAATGAAATTGCATGAAATTTTACCCAATGCTTAATAATTTATAACTTGTAGTCCAATCGGAATCCGGTTTGGTAACAAAATATTGAAAACCAGAAGTTTTATGATTTTAAAATGTTAGCAGGTATTTATGGAATAGAAATTCATAACATGCCCAGCTACCCCCGAGAAATGGGGAGACGCAAAGCGTTGATAAATAGTTATTTTTCAATTTCCGGCTTATTGTGATGTTCTATCGAAAAATGTTTTCTACAAAAGTTGTAGGTCTAGAAAAAATCTGCAACTTTTGTACAAAACACTTTTTACATTAACCTCAAAGTTTTCGAGATATTTACAAAAAACTCGGTTTTTAACTGTTTCTTGGGTTTTTATGTTAAAATTTCTAGAATAATCTTTTGATTTCCATGAAACTAAGGGAATGTAATCTTCAAAATAAATAAAAAAATTAAATTGAAATGTTTAGCCATTTTCGAGAAAAGTATGTTTTATGGTCTCGTGAGACTGAAAATTACCCCCGACTTCAAGTGGGCGTTTACATTTAAAAAAAAGTTCATTCAATTTTCAGATAGGGCTCATTCTTTTCGTCATGAACTCTACTTTTTGAAAATATAAAAACATTGTACGGTCATCTTGTAAAAATTTCAAAAATTGGAGAAATCGATAATTTTTACTTTGTAAAATACATTTTTTTCAATTATCATTGAAGAAGTGCACTTTATTGACCAAATTTTTATAAACCGATTACACCAATGCATTTTTAAGGAAAAAATGTAAATGGTATCTTAAGTTTTTAATTTGACGCTTATTACATATTTATACAATGTCGCCGTAAACATTCCAACTTTTCAATTTGATGAGTCGTGAAATAATAATAAAAGTTGGAATTCACGTAAAATACACCAGTGTAATTATTACGAATTTATCGATATTTTATTAGTTTTTAAGTTCATTTTATAGATTTTACTGAAAAATTTGATTTTAGGGTAATTTCGGAAGAAATGAAATTCATTCATAGTCTAATCTTGTTTACTTATTCGTTAGTTAAAAAAATGAAGTTAATATTTATAAAATTTAGTCATACAGTACCTACGTAATCTTAAGGTGAATAAAACTATCTTTTTACCTTTTTATAACCAATTTTAGACCAACCCAACCTCAGCATAACAAACCTCAGTTTAACGAATTACTTGATATAACGAATATTTACTTGTTCCCTTCCGATTTGTTATATCGAGGTTGCAGCGTATTGGGTTTGGTGGATAATAAATAATTAAATTGAACTAAAAAAACCTTAAACGCCCTTATTTTGTTCTACTTAAATTAGAATATTGCATAAAACACACTGTACAAATCAGGTCAACGTACTCGTTGCAAGGGTGGTTTTTAAAAAATCATCACATTTAATATCTATCTAATCTAAAAGCCTAATAGACATAAAACCTACAGCCCACGAAAACGAAGAATTCGTAACAAATAGCATAGTGGTTAAAAGCAAAATCGTATCTTAATTTAGGAATCTTTTATAAGCTTAACACATGGATGCTGCCACGGAAGAAAAAAAATCTTCCTGCTGCGTCATGATGCTGCATTACGAAATTATCCACTTAAAACACTCTTTACATATACATTAAGCGGCAACTGGCGCACGTTTATGAGATTTTTTTTTTTACGTTGGGAAATGCATTTACGCACGAGGTGTGGGACTCACCGGCAAAGCCAGTACTACCCACTAAAACCCAACAAAACCTTCTCCCGTCTTAATGGGGCGTCGCAAGATCGCTTACGCATTCAACTACGACGCCCCGACGGCAGGTCTGCCGAAGCAGACCACAACAACCACGGGGTTGCTCTACAGTCCACTCTGCTATCAGAGAAGTACCAGGAGCAACCCGCATGGTACACTGCCCTCCGTAGAGGGCCACCTCCCACCGCCCACCGAAGTGGGCCACCTCCCTGTGCGTTTCTCGGCTTCGCGCCCGGTTGGGTTGCCGGGCACTACTGAGCCCCCCCACCACGACAAGGTGAACGCACGTTACGTTTATGAGAATACGATAACCTTCTAACAAATAATTTAGTAGTAATATGGACCAAGGAGGAGTTAACGAATACTTCGCTTCATACAGGATGTTCGCCTTACCAAAAGCTAAAGTATAAAGACAGACATATAGACAGACATCGTAATCTAAGACTTTGGGACAGCAATACAAACGATAAACGTAAATTTGCAGTATAAACGTAAATTAGCCCAGTACTAAACAACGTCACAGTGTCAAGAAGTTAATCTCTTGTCGATGGTTCAATTAAGCTGCCATTGATATAATCTACGTACTTTAGTATACGGAATCATAAAAACCTGCAGTAGTAGCACATTGGTAACACGCTCGCTTAGGAAATCGAGTGAAGCGGGTGCAAATCCCAGGTCTCGCACCTCTGATATGTTCATGTGCGAATCATTTCTAGCATGATTATCACTTGCCTTACGGTAAAGGAAAATATCTTGAGAAAACCTGCATGTCTGAGAAAGACGTGAAGTCCGCCATCACGCACTTGGCCAGCGCGGTGCACTATGGCCCGATCCCTCTTGTATTGAAGGGAGGCCCGTGCCCAGCTGTGGGACGTTAATAAGGGGTGAATACACAAAAACCTACCAGGTTCTTGCTTATAAAATCTAGAAGATTAGAATCCGTTAAGCCGTTTAGTAATTACGAGAGTACATAGGATCTGACATACATACATACAGGTCAAACACATAATCCTCCTTTGGGATTTGTCTCAGGCTAAAAAGGTTGACAGATCCTATAAATCTATATGTACAATATATATGTATTTGCATGTTTATGATTTTGACTTAAAATATTTATTTTTTTATTTTTAGAGAAACCTTCCGAACTTGAAATTTATATGCTTCCTAAAGTAGGTATGTGTGTTAGTTGGTTATCGTCCGCTTTCAAATTGATATAAATACAGCCAATAGTATTTAGTCAGCCAGCAAATTATACTTTCAATTGGAAATTCTGTTTATTTTATGAGTAATGGAAACATTGTATAAAAACAATAAAATATTTAGATATGACCTATAAATTAATCTATGTATTAATTTATAGTTCATATCTACATATTCAATATTCATGAAAACGAGCGCTATATTCATACGTTTGATAAAATAAACTTTTATTAGACAGGAAAAATGCAAATAACAGCACAAAGTTGCAGACAGTCTATACAAGTAAAATTGTAGAGCTTACAAATCTTATACTCTAGTTGAAAGATTTCTTATACCAATAAAGATATCTTGTTAAAATTTTAACGGACTATATTTTTAAATGGATTATTTATAATAGATACATTTCAACCAATTTATTAAGCTCTGGCAGAAAATGAAGTTTTAACTAGTAAGCTTAATTTTAAACACATATTTCTTTGTTTATCTTTTGGTGCTGCTCGTATTGCCTTGGTGGTCTAGCTAGCATGTACGGCTGCAGATCCGGAGCTACTATGTTCTAGTCCCGGGTCGGGTCAAGTTGAGTTATTAAATTTTTCTGTCAAGATATTCTCAGTAACATTTTCTACTGCTAATCTTAGTGTGATTTGCCGCCGCGCCCGCGAAATCGGTCAGGAGGACCTTATTTATTACCTATTTTATCAAATGACTGACTGAACTTAACATATCGATTTAAAATTTGGTTAGCATATTATATCCTAAAGACAATACAATAATTTGATACAAACGAGGAGCTTGTAAATGTGCTCTTTAATGGTTAACTGTAAAACCTTTCGGCTCATTTGTTTCATTTTAACCACAGAACCAAGTATTTAGCATACATTTTGATGAATAGTTTAATATATAAACAGTGGTTAATAAACAACAATTAATATTTTTATGATGTTTATGACCTGCTGGTGATCTAATTGATAACGTATTGCCATTTACCACAGACTAATACTCCACGGGAGCTACTTGATGTACCGGAATAAAATTCGGACAAATGTCTGTGACTCGAACTTCGATTATTTCTTGCCATGAAATATTAAATTTGTGTTGTTTCACTGTTAGTTATTAGGTTAAAAACTAAGTTAAAATAAAAGTTAAAATATTTTATACGCAACTAGGGACTTACGCTCGATCCGCTTGGATGCGTTTAGCGTTAAGGTGGTTTTGTATTTATAATATTACTAGCATTGCTCGCGGTTCCGCCCGCGTTCAGATGACCAAAAATCAAATTCTTTAGTTTTACATATTATTAGTATACTCTTACATTACAGTTTTGTATTTTTCCCAGAAATGAGATATTTTCCCGCAGTAAAAAGTCCTATATGTTGACCCGGATAACCAGCTATCACCATACCAAATTTCATTAAAAACCTTCCAGTGGTTTTTCCGAGATGCGGTAACAGGCCGACAGACAGACAAAATTCTAAAAATTATAGATTTGGCCTCTGTATCGATAATAATGACTATTACAATAAGATTTTCCAAAAAATATTTAGTGTACAGATTCGACTTAGTCAGAATTTTATTATATATAGGTAGGTACCTATAGATGAAAATGCAGCTCCAATTTTGGCAATTTTTATTTCTAGCAGTAGCTTATGTGCTAATCACAAAAATCTCTCCAGCTGAGAGAAAGAGTACTAAACAGAAAACATACACATACAAACTTTCGCATTCATAACAGTAGTGTGATGTTTGCCGCTTTTGAAGCATATAACCGTAACTATTGGCTTAAGACTTAAGAATGCGCCATAAGACCGCTACGATTCGGATTCAGAGGCGGGATGACAAGATAATGTTCTATCGTGAATGAGAAGTATAGGTATAAATCGACAGATGCTCAACGTATTTAAGCGCCAAAACAGTTTTTAATTCATTATAACTAAATAATAAATAAATTACATATTTATAATATACTAGCGGCTCACCCTCGCTTCGCTCGGGTTCACCTCTAGAAGAGCACAAACCGATCTATCCCGCGGGAACCGTTCATTTTTCCGGGATGAAAAGTAACCTGTTGTTTGACCGGCAATATTATAAGGTATCAACATGCCAAATTTTACGAAATTAGGTGCTAAGTTGCTGTGTATGCTCGGGTATGTCCATATCTACGAATATGTTGTATTATCTCTTTAACCATTTGTCCAAATTATATGCAGTAAAAGGGAAAAGTCTTTTGTTTTAAACATTTTAGACGATAAATTTACTTATTTTGATAAGAATTCATAATTGTTGATAATATGACCAATAAACATGACCTACCGATTTAAATTATATTTTTAAAATAAAAAACTACTTTTTGTGACTTTTTTTAGGCATTATTAAGTTCTACAACTTTTCTCTAGAACATAATCATATATCTCTCATCGTTAAGGCGGCGTTCATAAGAAAGGTTTTCGTTCGACTGTTTTTTCTCCGACTTTCTTTGCAAATCCGTCTACCACGAAAAAGCCTTTCCATTATTCGTGTTAATATATAGCCTATGACACTCAGAAAGAACGTGGCTTTCTATTGGTAAAAGAATTTTGTAAATCGGTTCAGTAGATCCAGAGATTACCCCCTACAACGTCACAAACTCATAAACTCACAAACTCACAAACCCACAAACTCACAAGATCACAAACTTTACCTCTTTATAATATTATATTAGTATAGATGAGTTTATATTTCTGAGCTAAAATAGCTAACGGACTATACCTGGCGGAAGTAACGAAATATAAAAGTTCCTATTTTGCCTTTTGGCTGTGGAGCTGTAGAATATATAAAACCATAGATGCACAGATGCCTAACAAATATCTCTTCAAAAAGTGACGTCGTAACATTAAGTCGAATCTATATAGGTATGTGCTACTTATAATAAAGCAGTAGCGAAATCTGTACATGTAATAATGGATGGATGTTCACATTAGTACTGAGTCTATATTGAATTTACTTATATAACAAATATTAATTCTGATAATATTTATTTTAACCTTGACAAGAGATTACAACAGCAAAGGCTGCTGGATTCAATTACCTACATAATCGCTTAATAAGGCAGTATAATAACTAACAATCCGATAAAACAAAAACTCTATTACGTAACTTATGTTGATGATTAAAAAAGATCTTTTTAACGCTAATTTTAATTATTCTAAAGCCGTTTAAAAAAATCATGAACATCCATTAAATACATTACTATAAATATTGTTTGTTCTCAAAATCTTTTCTGTTACTTATCATAAGTAAATAAATACCTAGGTACGTAAACAAATTTTATCTTTGTTCGTATTGAGTGCCATATGTACATACTACGTACGCATGTTTGCATACAATTTGTTTTAGTAATTCGTAATTCCCAATGTTTAGGCGTGGTATTAGTTTAAGTACGTGGGGGTTCCCGAAATCCAATTAACGATATAACCCAATTGTGTCGGTCATCAATTACTTTATTTTGTTGTGTGCCAATAAGCGTTCCTGTTTATGCTGAGTCATCTATCTTAATAAATTTATTACTTATTAGTAGGTACCTTCTTATCGTTTTAGTATTCTATTTTTTTGATATTGAATTGAAAATAAATACGAAGAACAATAGCAATAAGAAGAATAATTTAAACACCATTTTGTCGTTCTTACTTTTGAGGAGGCCAAGATGGTATACAATTTTGTTAGGATCCAGTTTATGTAACTATGTAGATTAAGGTATGATAGAGCTGGCATATCTATACATATTATAATAAAATTGTAACTAAGCCGAATCCGTACATTAAATATTTTTTTGAAAATCTTATTGAAATAAACATTATTATCGACATAGAGGTATAGATATCTATAGTTTTTTTGAATTTTTGTCTGTCTGTCCGTCTGTCTGTCTGTTACCGCATCACAGAAAAACATCTAGAGGGATTTTTATGAAACTTGGTATGGTGATAGCTGGTTATCCGGGTCAACATATAGGATACTTCGCGGGAAAATGTCTCATTTCTGAGAAAAAATACAAAAACTGCAATGTAAGAGTATACTAATATGTAAAACCTTAGAATTTGGTTTTTGGTCACCTGAACGCGGGAGGAGCCGCGAGCAATTCTAGTTTTTGAAATAAAAGCCTTTAAAATAGCTAATATTAAAAAATACACATTTTTTTTAAATTTCAAAATATGTCATTTCATACTGCGTTTTTTTTATTAATTGACGAACCTCGTCAAAGTTTCATTAAAATTGTAATACGATAAATAATAATAATAACTTGATTTACTGCATAGGTAGTTATTAAGTATTTCTTTTGAATAAAGTCCAAAAAAAATTTTGGACTTCATTCCAAAAAAAAAACAATAACTTCCTATGCTGCATATCGCATAAGTATTTATCATTTAATTAAAAATAAATACTTTAAGTATGAAAGAGTTTACAAATATGTACATAAAAAATATAGGGGGAATTAAAGGATGTGTTTAACGAATGGAAGCGTTACATAATGGCCTCAGTTCAAAGGAATAAGATTAAGCGTAAAAAAACACGACGCGACGCGATGCCTAAAATATGGTACTCGTATTTCAGGCTATTAATTGCAATATCAAGAATAAAGTTAGCTCCTCAGTGCCCGGAAACTGAGTTCAATTTCTCTTTTATGGCCGGTAACTCTCTAAAAGGCGTATCTTATTCTCTTATTTAAAATAAAAAAATAAAATACATAATTTAATAAAATAATAAATATCTGAATACTTAATAAGAATAGGTATTATTCAGTCAGTACTTATAGAAATTATTTTTCGTCTTATTGGGCAATAACATCAAAATAAAACCTTGACTTCATTTTGAATTACAATATGTAATTCAAAGTGTTATTTTTATTATCTCAATAAAAATTGCAAACTTGCAATTAATATTGCGAATTTATTGATCAACTGTGTGAGTTACGGAGGCGGCCGCCGCGCCGCCGCGCCGCGGCCCGCGACGCCTCGCCGCGCCTCGCTGTCATCCCTCCCATGCTTGACACTAAACTCGCATAACCCGGCCCTATACCAAATTAACTTCGTTTGCGTATTGTTACATTCGAACATCACTTGACATAAATAACACCTGCCAACCATAACATCTGTCGGTGGTCCCGTTAACGCCTGTGCATGTGTGTGTTATGACTCAGTGCTTAATTAAGCGCGGATTTCAATGATGCCCTGTAAAAGTTGATAGTTTGTTTAAAATTAAGACTCGTATATAAAACAAGGCGCAAGTTCGAATACGAGGGCTCATGACAAACGAATTACGTTCGTGCGTGTACGTCAGAAACTGGAATAGATTCAGATATTACGGAGCGTGAAATTAAAGGATAAACAAATGAAGTCCGGTGCGAGCGCCATAATAATGAAACACCAGTCGGCATCTGAAGGTGTCAAGCTGCAGACACGGACGGCGTGACCCGGCAACACGGCTGGGCCGCGGCGCATCGGCGAACTGGGGCATATCGATAAGCGTGTCCTACTTACCCGGTTTCGTGGCGGTTCCGGTGCCGCGGTGCATTGTAGACGAAGGCGTCGCAGGAGATGTCGGGCAAGTCGTACACGTCGGGCAGCATGCGCTCGTGCGCGGGCTCCGTGCGGCTCGGCACGGCGTCCGGCCACGAGGTGGTGCTGGACGCGCTCTACGAGCGGAAGCGAGATAAGAAGAGCGTCCGCGTCCTCACCGTCATCATCTATGTATTCTGCGTGTCGCTCGCCGCGATCATGCTGTCTCTCTACTACGTGTTCTTCTGGGAGCCCAAGGACGCGCAATACGCGCAGCGCAAGGTGTCAATAACTGTCACGCCGCAAATCAGCACAACACCAATGCCCACTTGCTTTATGCCCCACACTGGTAGGTCACACAACCGACACGCTATCCCTTGTGATTTTCTCAATGATATAACTCAGCAATCAACTAAATAAAAACAATCTTATATAGTAGCTGGTGTGTACATATTCCAGCTATAAGTAGATTTGCCGTTTACCTAATCCTGACCAACTTACCTTGCACCTTACACTGTAGAAATATTACCTAATCACTAAGAAATTAAAATATCGGTAATAAATTAGCGCATGTAAATATTGCTTTAGCATTTAACAATCAGAACAAAGTGATGTATTGCTGGGTGTTTAAAATACACTTTGCAAGTAGAAATGTAACAAAAAATAAATCAGTATATATATAAAATTATATCGTGGTTAAAGTTATTTGGTACGTTGAAACTTTTATAAAATTTGTTTTTTTTTTTATATTTAATATATCTGTTGAATAACGCATAACTCTAAATTTCAAAAAGATTTTTTAATAGTATTATTAATCACAGTGTAAATTAAAGACAACCCTACAACTCATTTCAATCGATCGAAAAGATACAACTTAAAAGCACCGCGTTCTACGTTCTCTTATATAAAGCTTTGTTAATTCGAAATATATTCGAGCGAAGTTGTAGGCTGTATCTAGGATATAGTAGCTGATATAGAAATAAATAAATATAAAATTAGGCACTTAGGTCACGCAAAAGGAATGTTTTGCATAATATATACATAAACAGTCTGGAGATGCCGGAACGTATGTTATTTAACGGATATAAACAAACCTATCCCACGGGAAAGGTACATTTTTTCGGGTAAAAAGTAGCCTATGTGTTATTCTGATGTATGAGCTATATTATTGTAAAGTTTCATTAACATCCATTCAGTATTTTTTACGTGAAAGAGTAACAAACATCCATACATCCTCATAAACTTTCCCATTTTTAATATTAGTAGGATACAAAGTTTAGAAGATTACTGTAATCTTGAATTATATGTACCAATATATATGTATGTGCTGCCGTAATATTTACCCACATAGGTTTATTTATAGTAAAATACGCATTTCAGCTAGCATAGAGAAATCATTAGGTATCAATAATTCAATACATTAGAAATGTCTAACAGAAGATAATTCAATAGTAGTGGAATGTAGGTACGTCTGTATATTGTAATTTACAGTGATATTTAGATAGTTGAAACGAGGTCTTAAGAAATCTTGTCATTGTTTGAGATGTATGCTTCAAATATTTTAACTCTACTTATATGTAAAGTGCAATACATATATCGCATGTTATTTAATTTATTATTTTCATCATTATATATAAGCTTATTTGAAAAATAGACAGTCATTTATCATGTAAATTAAAAGAAACCCCACTTAGTCTATAAACGTTATAAATATTCAATAGCAATTCGAACGTAATCTTTATTATTTCCGAATTGAGCTCGATATATCGAATTCAATAGATTTAACTCGCTTTCAGTCAACGTTTCAATGCATAATAATTTAATGATCCTAAAAATTCCTTAAAATGAATTGTCCTGAAAACTGACATTATATCGAAAATTTGTTATATGACGGCGTTAAAATTGTAAGTGTTTTCATTGTATCTAATATGATTTTAACAACGATCCGCGTAACATTTACGACGTACGCATTAACGGACTGTGAATAATAAACATGACAAACCATTAAAAACGTTAGTCTTTCATGTATTCCAATATTATTATTTTTTTTTATTTCTGTTTGGCGGCTATTTATGTATCACTGCGACCATTTCTGGTCTATTGTGATCGCCGCTATTTTGTACTAGAGTGAACCACTAAACCCTGCTGATGTTAAGAACTGCAGGATTTTCTTAGGGTTACACTCTTTTATTTCATCTAGGCTTGGAAATTGTTTTCCTAGATGAATACTACGTTTGTGCATGAGCGGTCCACATTCCCACAGAAGATGCAGTGGCGTTTCGTCTGCCTCCCTGCAAATTCTGCAGGTTCGCGTTTTGCTCAGCCCCAGGTTGAACATGTGCTTATTTAAGCAGCAGTGTCCAGTAAAGGCCCTTACCAGTATTCGTAAGGTTTTTCTGTTTAGCCCTAGCATAAGATTGTTAAACCTTTTGTCGTAGGCTCTAATTAATGCCTTGGAGTGATTCATTCCATTTGATTCAGTTCAGGTCTTGTTCGCAGTCTTTAGACATGCTATCATTAGGGTTCTTTGAGCTAGGCTCTTAGGTATCCCACAGAAGGGCTCAGGGCCCTGCTGTATGCCAAGAGCTCCCCCTCTAGCGAGCTTATCGGCACACTCGTTGCCAATTACACCTGCATGACCCGGTACCCATCTTAACACTACTTTGTTACTTCTTGCTAAGAGGTTTAGTCAGTCCATGCACTGCTCCACTAACTTTGATGAGACTGTGTTTGAGTCCAGCGCTAGTAGTGCAGCTTGACTATCTGAATGTATATAGATAGTTTGATTTGTGTAGTGCTTAGACAAATTAGCTTCTACACATTCTAGAATAGCATAGACTTCTGCTTGGAAAATAGAGGCAAATTGTCCGAGGTGTATGCTTTTGCTAAACCTCGGTCGCTCTCCATATATCCCACAGCCAACCTTTGCTTCTATTTTTGAGCCATCTGTAAACCAGATAAGAGATCCGTTTTTATGGATTACCTGGCTTTTAGTCCAGTCTTCTCTTGACGGAAATTCAATTGTATAATACTTTACAAATGAGTGCCGAATTAACATGGCATCAGTCGTCATACCAAGTAGCGGCATTTCTTGCAATGAGTCCTGTAGGGTCCTCATTTTTCGTGAGAGCCAATGAGTTCTGCCTTGGATTTTAGCTCTATGCATGCTGGCTTTTGCCTTCTTTTGTATGAATAGGTCTAAAGGTGGCAGCCCGAGTGATGCATTTAGTGCCTGACCAGGGCACGTAGACATGGCTCCTGTGGTCATTAGACAGGCTGTTCTTTGTAGGCTGTCTAGTTTTTGAATGGCTGTCGTCTGCTTGGCCTTATTGGACCAGGCTACCGATGCATAGGTGATAATTGGCCTCACAATAGCAGTGTAAGTCCAAAGTGTGTTTTTGGGACTTAACCCCCAATTTTTACCCAACATGCGGCCACTTATTCCCAATGCCATCTTGGCTTTACTTAGGACTGCAGTTAGATGCGGGTTCCACGTCAGTTTTTGGTCTAATGTTAGTCCCAAGTATTTGACTTGCGTGGAAAATGCGATTTGTTTACCATTAAGCTTTGGCATGACTAGTTTGTCTAACCTTCCCTTGTTTGTAAAGGGCACAATGACAGTTTTGTCAGCGTTGACTGATAGGTCACTTCTAACACACCAGTCACTGACAATGTTCAGACCCTTCTGCATTATACTTGAAAGTGTGGATTGGCAGAAGCCCCTTGCTATGATTACCAAGTCATCAGCATAGCCTTGCGCATCAATGCGGAGTTCTGCCAGTTTGTGTAGTAATTCATCCACAGCAAGTGTCCACAGTAGTGGGGATAGAACTCCCCCTTGCGGACATCCTCTTGCTGTGGATATATAGATAGTTGTATTGTGGAGGGCTAGTTTTGCTCTTCTGCTGGTGAGCATAGATTTTACCCACTTTACCGTTGTTGGGTCAACATTTTTAGTTATCAACCCATTTATCAACAGCGAAGTAGAAGAGTTATCAAAAGCACCTTCGATATCTAGAAATGCACATAGTGCTATTTCCTTGTCTTCTAACGCCTTTTCCACTTGGTCTATAAGACTTGTAAGCACAATCTCTGTTGATTTACCTTTACGATATGCATGTTGATTAAAGTGGATTGGACTTTTAGTCAAGCTTCATGTATTCCAATAGAAAAGGACTAGTTTTTTTTATCTTTTTTATGAGCAGTAACTCTATATGATATAATCTTTAATCTGAAGGTATATTTCTTCTCGATTATGCCAATATTTTTTAAAGACACCTCAATTCAATTAATCACTATTAAAAGTAATTTATTGCAAGAAATTATATCACATGGAAAGCACTTGTTATACCGGTATAAAGTAGCCTATATTGTCACTATACGACTAATAAACTGTGTCAATACAAAACATCAACATAATATTACTTTGATCACTTTTTTATGAGTGATCGAAAACATACGAGAAGAAAAAACTGTGTGAAAAGGCTCATTTATAAACGTACCTGCTCCAAAATTAAATGTAAGAAAGAACGTATGTTATATTATGTTATGTAGGTCAAGAGTAACTTTATTCTCACATCAATTTCAAATTTTGTAAATAGGTATCTTTTGATTTTGGTAGATATCATAACATGCGTCCTTAGGCTAGATGACATTCTATTATGGTTTAGACTTTAGACTAAATGAAACCTAAAAATTGTATAGATTTTGTAATAGCCTCTTAAAAACCTGTATATTGATACCCGACTCTATTGATTTGAACGAAATAATTTTTCAAGGCACAAATTGGCGCTCATGATCCGCTATTTTGATTTTTAATATTATCTATGTAGTATATACCATATGACACTCGCGTTATCAACGCGAATCTCACGACCGCGACGTATGAATCATCAAAATTGGTTAAGCCGTTCAGTAATTACGAGGGAACATAGGGTCGGACATACATAGAAACAAGTTTATACAGGTCAAACACATAACCCTCTTTTGAGCTTCGGGTATAAAGGTTTATACTCGCATGTCACACATGAGTTTGACCCTACATATACTAATCTACCTAGGTACTAAGTATTTGCGAGATGCACAAATAAACATTAAATGAATGAAGTGACAATAAAATAGACAAATAATACGACAATTGTTTATATATACGTTGAATAGAACGTATTCAAATATTTTTCAGTTCTTCAGTTTTACATCATAAACATCTGTAATTGTATGCACAAAGTCATCGGTTTTGTATATGTAATATGTAGGTATGTAAATGTACCTGTAGATATAATAGAAAATGAAACATTCTTATAATAGAATCAGACTAAATAATTTAATTTTGCCCAAGTAGGTATACATTATTTGATAATCAAAATATATGGATGTATTTGGAGAACTTTGCCCGTTAAGAGTTTGCGAGAGCTTGTAGCAATAATTCTAAATATAGCCGAGGTAGTTACAATAACCGGCACTCGGCTATTCACTGATCATGTTTATAAGATATAAATCATTAACGATTTCGGGCGAAATAGCTTGGAATAGCTTTCAACACTATAAGTAACTTTATACTTCAAAGCATAGTTCGACCATACTTTTGGTTACGATCGTTGGAGGAATTTATTCTTTAGAAAGAGAGGGTTAAAATCCAAAAATAGTACTTTGTTTTTACAACCTTTTTCATATAATTCATTTATATTATGTCATCGTTGAAGCTTTATTTAAGAATCATTGTAACCTAATCACCTACCACATGATAATCGTAAAAAAATAAAAAAATGATATTTCTGTGATATCGAAGAGATTAAGATGTATAATGCCATATGGTATAGTCTTTATTTTCATAAATTCTTATGATATCATTTGGGTTTTTCATAAATATTTTTGTTCGAATTAAAAATATATCAAATTAATTTATTTATTCTATTTTATTCAATTAATATTTACAAGCACTTTTATAATTTTTAATTTAAATTAAGAAAAACCAGTGTGTCAGTCTGTTCAAAGCCAATCAACGGTCTGAAATTAATTCTTCAGAAAACAGCAAGAGAAACTCAAAGTAAATTGATTTTCTTTTACGAAGAATCTATCCGTGTTTATCTATCATTAATTGTGGTGAAAAATTTACACAATATTTCATTTTATTTACTTCTTTAAAATGTCAGAATTATTAGGAACAGCATTTACAAAGAAAAATCTGCGCTCACTATCTATGTACTGCACGTGTTTATTTCAATGTTCGTAAATCACTGTTAAAGCTTTAGCGCTTTTTCTAAATATTTATAAATCCTCGTCTGTATTTGCTTAAGGCTGGTACAAGTATAAATGTTAACATACATATGTGTCTACCTACTACATTTTATGACGCATTACACTTTCAAAACGAACATTAAAACCTGCTTCATACTATAACTTTTTGTCACACGTAAAAAATTAATATAACGCAAGAAATAAATTTAAAATTCTCTTGAGTTATTACTTAATACTTAATTATCTATTCCATTAGTTCGAAAACCGTATACATACCTACTAAAAACAAATGAAAAAGCTTAATGTCACAATAAGGTTGGATTAATTAAATTGCTTTTTTAAAATGTTAATTCATTTGTTCGCAGGAGGAAGCAATACCCCAGTAAACGAAACAACCACTCCACCCATACTAGATAGCTACGATAGTGTTACCAAGACCAATGACACCGTTGAACCGACGTTCTACTTCAACGAAAACTCGACCTTATTAAATCCCAGCAATGATAACGAAACCTCCACAACTGAAACCTTCAACGAAACAACGGTTACATGACGTTACAAAGATCCTGTCCAGAAACCAAACAACAAAACTAAATGTAGTTGAGTCGTCAACTACCGAAAGCCCAAGATATTGCCCAATAAGTATATTGTCTTGTGATCAAAGTAACATTTGCCGTCTAAAATTCACTAATTGAATTGTGATAGTATTTCTATTTCGATTAAGCATTGAAAAGATTCGTCATAGCATTGCGCGGAATTAGTATGGTAAAATGATTTCGTAATATAGGTAATCATAGCAAATTCTTATCTAAAGAAATTCGGCATTCTACAGGTTTCTTGCAAAAAAAATAATTCTGCAGTGAACTGCATTAATTATTTAAATTATTTTTAGCGTTTGTTTATACAGCGGTAAATAGGCCTTAACATTTTGAGCTAGCTTTTTGTAGTGAGGGCAAAACTGTATTAGCCTTGCGAAAGTGTTTTTTAAATGTACATTGCCAGAGTCGAGGGAAGTCTGAACAAAACACCAATAGCTTTAGTTACTTAACGAGATGTAAAAAGTATAGGTAATAGGTACTTTAAAACCTACAGTAGTGATAAGTCAGTATTACTTAAGAAAAATTACAATATACTTGCCATACTTTTATAAGTGTGAACATTGGCTAGACATAGACCAAAATAAATTCAAATAGTAAACAAAAACATTGCAGTGAAGTTGTTAATGGTTTTAGTTTTCTATTTCGTTTGCATGGAATTCGGTTGAATTGTTTAGATTCTTATTGATTTTTTACCATAAAATTTTACTTCTTTTCTTAATTAATTAATTCTTAATCTTTAAAATTATAACATATTGTAAGTACCTAATACATAAGTAGATTAATAACAGCTTCTAAATGTTTCATAGGTTATCTTGTAGATACGTATAAGGTAAAGTAAAAATTCAAAAATAGTTTTAAACGTAATAGGTAGTTGTACAACTTGTTATTACGATTTGTGGCTTATTTTATGTAGGATATACAGAAATTCTCATCCATTTATGATATACTTACTTCAATTTAGGGAAATCGCTAATCAAAAAATGGCCTCAGAAATTGCGGAAATCCATGCGTACGGAGTAAAACTTTTAATTTACAAATACAATGTGTTCGATATACATACGAGTAATTTAAAATCAACTTATTTTCTGAAATGAATTCCAGACTCTAGTCTAGATATTATATTATATTCACGAGTGCATCAGTGAGTGAATTTTACAATCAATATAATCCTTATCTTCTGAATCTTAAAAAGTTAAATGTGATTCTATATGGAGCAGTAAATTTTATCCGATTACTCCACCTGCTTTTATGTCACTTTTTATTATTTTAATTTATCCCATAATTATTATGAAAGCATTCAAAATAAATTCAAACTTAATACAATTATTTTATTCTCAGTTCACGATGTATCTATAGTTTATAGAACTAGTGATAAACCATTAAATAAAGAATTGAATTTAAATGGTTATATTTTTATATCCTAATGAAGATAAAGGTTATTAAATTTATTTTTATAATATTATTTGTCTGTAGTCCTACTCGATCGCGTACTTGACCTGATTGCTGCTCCAACAGCCGCGCCGCGTACAAGCGCAAAGCGGATCAAGACTTACTAGTTACTATAATAACTAAGATTGCTGAGCACCCGTGAATGTAAGAAATACAAACATAAAATTAGCTCCTATATATTATCGTACATGTAATACGTAATAACTAAACAAAACAAACTAAAAATATAATAGAAGCCTAATTTTGACTCTCGTTTGCAATGAAATATTTTGATTTATAAATGAACATCGATATCATAATAATATCTATAATTTATGGTCAGGGAGGAACTAATGAATAGTATTAAGGGTGATTTTATGCTGCTCCATTTTCATTTTAATCGATAGTGAACTCAATCGATGGAAATAGTCACCAGACAAGTTTCGGGGCTATTTGTAAGAAAAGTTACATCACAAAGAAAAAAAATAAAGCCAAAAATCTATTAAATTTACTTTAAAACATTGTGGAAATGTGTAAAATTCATGTGAGTAATCTACAACAAAGTCAAAAAAATTCATGTCAAACAAGTCATTCCAAATCAATTAAAAAAAAAGAAATTCACATAAACTTGAACCTTAACTTAATAACATCGTCTGTTCTAAAAATACATATATATACATATAGGGGACAGAACATGTGAAGGATTAGGAACGATGAGAATCAACTCCATGAATAGCTTCTTGTTCAACATTTCATGGAATTGTTTGGTTCGAAAAGACTCATTTGCAACGGTAACTCCCGAACCATTAATAGTAAAAGATATTATTACAAATTACTACAAAAAAAATTCTATACAACACCGTATACATATTATATTATTGAAATGTAATTATTACTTAACTAGAAATAATAAAGGACCTATTTTTTTTGCTTAACTAAAGAATGTTAATAAAATAGACTTTTGTTCTTTTTTATAATTTAGTGTTTGATGGAGTTTTTAATTGAAGAGATTTTAGACTTTATGTATAGGTAAGTTTGCCATAGTTCGTGTCGTTTTATGACTTTATGCATTTAGTTGTTTGCGTAGAATATGAGTACCTATCTGTGAATGGTTCATCATGTGTTGCGATGTAATAAATGTTATGTTAAAGTTAATAAAATATGAATTTCTTCAAGAAAATGTCGACTTATTTATTATACCTATCAATAAATATTTTTTTAATCTTCATCAATAGGCTCAAATAATAAAAATTAAATCAAAAAAGATGAAGGTATACTCATTTTATTATTTACAGTTTAGACTGATATACATTATTTTGTCATTAACTAAATCTGGAACTCGAATTAACTCATTAAGTGATACCTTTTAATTATATTATTATTATTATTAATTAATACTTTAAATGGAATTATTTCTTACAATATACGACCTATACTAAAACCTTATTCAATTTTAGATTAAAAAAATAAATAAATCACACAAATTATTAAAAATGTTTATTAGTCGCCAGTAACATACATATGTACAGATTTGTCTGACGCGGCCATGCGTGCGACGCGCGCCGCGCCGAGCAGCGCCGCGGCGCGCTGCATGTCGTACTTACAGTACAGAACTGTCACTGTCATGTTGCAGTCACTGCCGCCATATTTGTTCTGATTGCTTTCCTGTATAAAATAAAACTCATTAGTTACCTTATGATAATAAGTATAGTTACATAATTTACGCATACACTATTTTATATTATATAATTTTTTTGCGTCGAAATTGATAGTAATTGTATGAATTAAAAATAAGTCTTATAAGATATGAATTAAAAAGAAAGATTTAAATGGAAAAAGTAAATATATTTAAATGTCATTTATTTATTTATTGAGATGCAATTCTTACTAGTCTATTAAAATAAAAGCACTTTTCCTTCCCAAAATAACGTATGCAAATAAATGCTATATATATGATAAGAGCCTATAAGCTGCAGTTAAAGTGGTTAAGAAAGATGGACTGACTAGTAGTGTTCTCTGGCTATAGAGAAAATGGAACTGATTTTATTGGAGTCACACACATGTGCACTCACACACACATAAATACTACCTCACCTCACTTCGCTCGGATTCGTCCCTAGGTACGTTTTAACGGTTAGTATGGATTAGATAGACTATATAAATAGCATGACGATATATCTTATAGCCTTCCTTAATAAACGGGCTATCTAATGCAAAAGAATTTTTCAAAACGAATAAGTAGTTCCAGAGATTAGCGCGTTCAAACGGACAAACAAACAAACAAACTCTGCCTCTTTATGATATTAGTAAAATAAAGATTATATTTGTATGATTTTTGGAAAGCGTTAAAACTTATGGAAATTAGAAACATTTATGGAAATCAAGTTAAGATACATATGTATATCATTTTTTCAGATTTCTGTGCCCAAAGTGAGGGGATTTTTTCTACCTATTTGCTTGTCCGTCTGCTATACTTTTAAAGGATTATTTTTTCAAATATTATCCACTACAGATACACTAACAAAAACCCCTAATGCTTCAACGGTCGCGAACATGCTGGCATGGCAGTTAACAATTTTCCCGGAAACTAACCACGGAGACGTTCATCAAATAATTATTATTTTTTTGTATCTATTACTTACTTGCATGAGATTACACATTTCCGAATAGAAATGTGGATATGTCGGAGGTTGGTAAAATATGATGTGACGAATCCCCTTGATACGGAACCTCCTGAAGAAGTGCACTCTCTCCGAATATAACAAGAAGTGAGCTTCAGTGTGGAAGAACATATCCCTTGCTCGGGCTATTTTCGGATCCTAAAAAAAAATCATTAATTATGGTATTTATTAACAATGATCAGAGTTTAATATTTTACAAGATATCACAGATCACAAAAAGAATTTCGCGGTACCGTGCCGGAGCAGCGGCGGCGCAGTGCGTGCCCAATGCCTATAGTAAGATGTAATCGAGACGTTTGCTGACGGCGATAATATTGAACTGGGAATTTTTATAATTTTAAGTCCTAAAAAGGCCTACTGAAAAGTCCACGATAGTATTTCCTAAGGTACACTCACAAAAACTACTAATATCTATTTAAAACGTGCCTAGGGACACACCCGCGAAGCAAGGGCAAGTCATTAGTTATATATATTTAAAAGTACTTTTTACGTTCTTTAAAGCCTATTTATGGTTTGGAATTTTAGTTAAAAAAACAGCGCTTTCAGTTAATTAATAATAAGCTTCATACCTTCGAATATTCGCATATCTGGACAAAGCCGATATCTTCCTTCTTGAAGTAATTCCTTATTCGTACAAAATCAAAATAGCTCGGCACGTAGATGAGGGTGTGGCTCATGAGCGTGTCGCGCTGTTTTGGAAGTATCTCTTTTATAAAGTACTCGAACCTGGCGTCCACTGCTGCGAGAGGACTCGATGCGTTGAATCTGTAAAATAAGTATTTTTCTTACACCTATAACTTGCTTTTTTAACGCTTTGAAATGCATTAACGTATAATTCTTGCATAAAATTTATATTTTTATTGCATAAATAATAGGTAAATATATGACTCACCGGCTAAAAAACCAGCTTTACCCACTAAAACCCAGCGATACCTCCCCCGTCTTAGGCGTAGCAGGATCGTTTACGTACTCGACCACGACGACCTGATGCAACGGCTGCCTACGGAGGCCGATCACGACAATGCAGGGGTTGCTCTCACATTTCACTCTGATATTCGAGAAGTATCAGGAGCAACTAGCATATTACACTTCCAGCTCCCAAGTGCGTCTACGTGCTTCACGCGGCGGGATTGCTGGACGCTACTAACTTTTTCCACCACGACAAGGTGGATGTACATGGGATCAGGAGAAGTTAAAATTCATAGCGCGAGTCCCATTACACATATCAAACAGAAGTTCAACTACTTGCATTGACCTTTTCATAGTACTAAAGGAACTTCTAAAAGCCAAGCTGGTTTGCTTTAAAAAAGATAAATGCTTATAAAAGATATATAACAGCATTTATCTTTTACTTAGTGAGCCACAATTAGTTTATGTTATAATTTTGAGGCGTGACCGATTCGCATAATGTCTTTAACCGAGCTTCTTACAGGAGCTTAGCAGATTAAAATAAATGAGATACAGATTAATACTCTCAAGCTTCTTATGTAGTAAAATGATTTTTTCTGAATGATACGAATTACTTTACGAAGTTAAAAAACATACGTTTTTATACACAAAAATTATGTACTAGGTAAAATGTTAAGAGACGCGCTCGTCTCCACTCGTACATCAGATCAGATCGATCGTGAATTTATGTAATTTTACGGCAATTATGACGCCTTAAAGACAACAATTTTAATGCACTAGATCTTCCAGCCTTATAAAAGATTTAATACGTTTTCGATATGTTATTACAACTAAGCGTGCCTCTAAATTTATTGAAAGTGAATTTTAACCTACTAAATCTAACCGTCGTATTGCTTAGAACCTACGTTAGTGTATGTCCATACAAATATAACACAGCAATATGGTTCGGCCAAACTGATATGTTGGAGCCAAAAAGTACCTTCAATGGTTATTACTACCTACTTGGTTACAAACTTAGGTACTGGTAAAAACTTCCAGTTTAGGCTCATTTGACAGGTTCCACCAGTCTCGTATAAAGTCTCGTAAGTCCAAAAGCGTGTGTTTTAGATTATTACGCATTATATATTATTACAAACATTTTATTCGCAATTTCATGAGTTTAATTTTTTTACACCGAACCCTAATCCGTTTTCTTAAATAAAAACAGGCTAAATTACTCCTTATAACATCTGCTATCTGCCAGTGAAAGTCCCGTCAAAATCGGTCCAACCGTTTCGGAGATTAGCCGGAACAAACAGACTAATTAGACAGAGACAGACTAGATTTTTTTTTAAATTGTTTTTTTATTATAAGTACCTACCGTATATACTTTCATATGTATTTAGTAAAAAGCAGTTATTTTAACATTACATAGAGACATTTCAATTTTATTAGATGTATAGATGTCTTTTCTATATACCAACCTGTGGAAGAGCTGAGGAACTTGCACTAACACTTGTTGGACGCTACCTACATCGGGAACATTCGCAACAAACACTTTGCCAGCATAGTTCTGGCATTTCCTGTTCATCACGGACTTTATTTCAGGTAACGTAATAGATGAAAATAGCAGTGTTTGCCTGAAAATTTATTTTACTGTTTCATTAAATGTCAAATATTAAATTTTTTATTAATAAATTATCTTTATAGTGTAAAAATATCAGTACTAGTTTTCATATAATTTAAACAATGTGGTCAGTTATGAGCGCATCACTTTCCCTGTACAAACTATTCGTCCCAATAATGTGTTCTTGAGATAATGATTCAAATTGTATTAATTTATTATCTTCAACTTAACATTTTATTTTACAACATTTATTTACAATGAAAATTATTGAAAATATAATATTTTTGTATAGAGTTGCCTTATACCTTTGCAGTATACGAGTATATACCTTTTTAAGTAAACAGAAAACAAACACTGTTGACATAGACGAGCCAATATACAACTTAAATATATAAAAATCAATGTGTGCATGTATGGACTCCTGTACTGTACCTATGGACTCTAAATCGGCTGGAGCAATTTTGATGAAATTTGCAGTCAATCTTCGGATTAGCCCACTGGGTGAGCCTGTGAAGTTTGGTAGCGATCCAAAATATTAACGCGTGCGAAGTCGCGGGTACTGCGAGTAACATAATAAACACATAATTACCTATAATATTTAGTCCATCCATTAACAGCCCACGAGCGTACCCTTGAAAAATCGGTGCCGTGAGTTTTCTTAGGTTGTAAATGGAAGTGATCTAAAATATGGAGTAAGTGCTCCCAATTTTGCATATAACAGACATCTGCCTGGTCTATCACAAGTAACTCTATGGACGCGAGGAAGTCGTAGTCCCGGTCTTCTTCCCCCTCAGCGCCTACTATCATACGGAGGCCGAGAGGTGATGCTATTAGGATATCCGACGCATAGAAATCTGTGTACAGCTGCAAAATATTATGCTATGATTATATACATATACAAGTACTTCGTACAGTCGGCGAATGAATGTCTAGACTGCTGGACAGGGCAATCGTTTAGTGTGCGGGATGACACGCGAAAGGACGCTGGCCCTTCGGCCTCTGCCTATTATTGTTCTGTTAATTTAATAATTTTGATGACACATTTGGCTCAGTGTGTAGTGACCCTACTTGCTGTCCCAGCGATCGCGGGTTCGAGTCCCACTGGAGGAATTCATTGTGTGATGTACTTGAATAATCTTTTTATAAACTTTGTTTGAAGTAAAAACTGTCATATGCATGCCCTAATAATCATTATTTCAATATTTATTATATATCTTCCATAAAACTATAAAAAAATAATAAGGTGAAGGTAATTGCTATATAGAGTTTTTTTATCAACCGACTTCTTCAAAAAGGAACAGGTTTTCAATTCGTCAGATTTTTTCTTTTTTTGATGTATGTTCACCGATTACTACAAGACATCTGAACCGATTTGGAATATTTTTTTATAATACAAGTTATTAATTTAAACTTATATTTGTCTTATTGAATGACACTTAGTCATTTAGACATAATATTCAATAAAGTTTTTAAACTATTATTACCTTTAAAGTTTTCTTGGTTAAAGTCATTCCTAATCTGAATGTATCATCAGTATTTCCACTAAACAGTAGTTCGTAATCTTCTGGCTTTGGGTTTTTACTGGGCATTATTAATTCACCTCCCGTAAAATCTTCCTCAAACCTGTTTTTATTAACCACTTGTCCTGCTTCTTTTGGCACAACAATATCTATGAGAGTCTTTACAACTCGGTAAGCTGCATCTTTGAATGGAAGTAATATAAGTACCTACAAAATAAAATTATAGACATGTTATAATCAAATACTTTTACTACACAAATACCAGAAAGTTCTTTAGGCATGCGGCATGCGATGAGAGGGAAAAAAGATTGGCGTTATGATTTTTGTAACAGAAACGATTGTTATGGAAGTGAATTGTCAATTAAAAATTATTTAAACTTTTATATGAATATTCCATAGAATAAATTAAATATGGATAGAAGTTTAAAATAGAAAATTTTCAAAAAGTTTTAAAAACACAATTGAAAACTTAAAATTCAAAAATTTCCATATAAAACATTTTAAATATATTTTTTTTTGTAAAGATACAAAAACGAAAATTAAAAAAAAGTCGAAATTCGACTATTAAGAAAGTTACAGTAGCAAAAAAACAAAAAAAGAGCGGTTTTGAACCAGTGATCAAAAACTCTCAAAACTTACCAGGAAGCCTCTTTTGAGGAGTACTAAAAATACCTAAATATTAAGAAAATCAAAAATATTTTTTTAGGAATTGTCCGATTTGGTGTGGAATGCCCCAAAAAAAATATTTTTATTAATTACCTTGGGTCTTACTAACCCCTGGTCCCTATAGTCATCAGGTACCTCAGATTTCTTAACTAATTTTGCATTATGATGTAAAATTTTTGTTCTTGTCTTTAACATGTGATTAACAACATGTAAGCAGTAAATAAACCGAATTTCATCTGCATTAGTAAATGATCGTTCTGGGTAATACAAATCTTGGTAATTATTTATCACTGAAAATATTTCCTTTTGCAATGGAGTTAGCATTTCAGTAAGGTCTAAATCCCTCTTTATTAGATTTTTTTTATTTGCTGATACAATATTCCCACGAATCTGAGATTTTATAAATAGATCATCCCAATTAACATAATTATACACATGAGGTACTATTGCTAAAGGTGCATATGTTTTCTCTTCTAATAAAGAAAATTTCGGACTTGCTTTTTTAGCCAATCTTTCAACAGGCTGAGGAATAATAATAGTTAGATTTCCTAAAATTTGCCAAGTTTTTGTTATTTGCTTCTCTGTGGGTGGCATGCTTGATAAAGAAACAAGTAATCCATCATCTAAGTCATATTGTAAGTGCTTTATAAAGGGATCACTTGCATCCACATCATTTTCTATTTGTGGCTCTTCTAAATCCTGCAAAAATTTCAAAAGGTGGTTTTACATAAAAACAATATACTGCATTACCTATTTATACAAACTAATTTTAAAAAAGGCAGTGGTACTAGCCCAGTGGTAATAGGCTCGCTTGGGAAACCAAGTGAATAGACTTGAAATCCCAGGTCTCCCACCTCTGATATTTCCATGTATGAATTATTTTCAACATGATTATCACTTGTCTTACGGTGAAGGCAAACATTGTAGAGAAACCTGCATGTCTTAGACAACCCAGCAAGTTTTCGTAAGACATGTGCAGTCCACCAACCCACACTTCACCCACACCACACCCACACCCAAGGGAGACTTGTGAACAGCAGTGGGATGTTAAAAAAAAGTCTGAATACATACATACATACATTATTTTAAAGAAAACGAGTTTTATGAGTTATTACAGTGATTTACCAATCCTACAGTAGTATACCTATTATATTTACTATTTTGCAAAATAGTTAGTGTTTTTAGCTAGACTTCATTAAATAAAATACTCTACATTTTTTAAACCAATACCATTTAACACAAAAGCATACCACCAAAGTTATTATGTTATAAAAAAAACTTAAATACCACACTATCATTTTCTGATTCATCTTCATCCCCACTTATATAATCATCATTACTTAATTTTCTTTTAGTTTCTTCTACTAGAGTACTATTGGAAATTGTTTCACTAATTTCACTGTTATTAGACATATCATCATCACTATCAACATCATCATCACTTTCAACAAAAGAATTATTACTTTTCCTATTTCTGAAACAAGAAACTAACTGTCCATAAGCATCTTCTTCTTGTTCCTCTTCACTCTCTGAAAAAGTGGTTTGTTGTTTTTTGAATCGCTCTTCCATTTGTTTCTTTTTTGTAAATTCTTCCTCAACCTTTTGTTTATCTTTATATCTATTAAAAATAGCTTTCTTATTGGTGGTCTCATTATGTTTTCCATTTCCATTTTTTTGTTTCTTTTTATTAATTGATTTAAATGAACCTTTTCTTTTCTTATTGAAATTTCTCTTCGCTTTTCCCATATTTACGGTCTCAAATAATAACTACAAGCAAAGCAACTATTCTATTTATATATGTATAATATTTAGTAATTCGCAAGTAAAATATTTTTACTACACATATGAATAATTTAATTCAATTCTTCAATTAATGGCTATAATAGTGCGTGCCAGTTGAGCACAAATTATTTCGCCAATGTGACGTTGATTGAGGGAAGCAGTCACGTTCGAGAATCGACATTGGCCGGTATATATTTAATTATTCCACTAAAAGACTGGGTTAACAGTATCGGATTAATAGAAAAAAATAATAGAAACAATACAAAAAATTTAATAAATAAAACACATGTGCTTGAGACATTGACAAATGACATTTCACATTATTTAATATTTATATTTCAACAATTGACATTAAAATTTAAAAAACAGACTATTAGAGCGAGACAGCACAGCGACAGGCACAGATTAAAGAGACCGCGCGACAGATAAAGGCTAAAACCATAATGATGAGATGAGAGAGACCCATGAGATGATGGGTACTTTTTTGAATAAATGAAGTTATAATGATTTTATAAAAAATATTATTTTATATTTCGATTTGTTTCATTTTAATCTGCCACAGCATCAAAGAAGTTTTACTTCAACCGCGCGGTTACAAACACTAAGTTTTTTGTTTGAGCGCGTAAATCTCTGAAATGAAGAGCCTGACTTTAAACATTATTTTTGTATTTTATATATTATTGAAGCAATGACTAATAGCATTTTTCAAACGTGATTGACTTTCTATGAAATTCAATACAATTTTGTTAAAATATACTGAGGATTATAGTGATCGCGACATCTAGCGGAAGAAAAAGACAAAAATCTTTCCCATTAATCGTAGATAGAGTTTCAAGTTTGTCTACGGACTACGCCATTAATACTAAATAAATTAAGTCAGTACAAAATTTAGCTTTCATGCAACTGAAATTGTCACATCTCGCAACACTAGTCACTACTGCACATTATGGAGGATAGAAGTAAGGAGAACCGTCTTGTATGGGGGATTAGTTGAAAAAGCGTCCACTTGTAAACAGAAAATTATTGTTCGAACACTCACCGAAATAGCGCTAGTGTAAGAAATGGAAATAATATGAATTTAGCAGTTTTAAACAGAGTGAAGTGTGCTGGGTTGAAAAATGTTTGTCTGTATATTATAATAATTTCAAAAAATGCGCTGTAACCGGAAATTGTTCTTTCCTTTTTTAATTTAGTATCCTCTTCTAATAATTTGTGGCGCTCTTTTTAAAATTCTTCCACTTGCTACTATAGCGCCATCTTAATTTGCTCCCTTTCAACGGACACTTTTTAATACACTGAGATGGTCCTCCTTACTTCTACCCTCCAAACTGCAAAGTACTTAATGACTTATCATGATAACGCTGTAATTTTAATGTTAATTGTAATAGCGAACTTAATTTACAACATAAGATATTGTTTTTGTATTTGATTAATTTTACGAATTTCACCTTTAGGTTATTGTAAAATACGAATGTAACGATAATTATTGTTGAGATTGAAAGATTGCCTGTGTATTAATTGTTAGACTATTATAAAATACATATGACAGTTATGTTTCTAAAACATATATAAATAAGCGGGCAGTATTATTACTACATTCTTCCCCTCTTTAAGAAATATAGTCCCTTAAGTATTGTGGTCGGCGTCTAGTACGATCTGACCTTCGAGGTTCTAAGTCTGGACCAGTAGATGGTATTGGTTCAATTTCTTCAGATGAAGGTGTAGTGGATTCTGTGTCTGTATAGTATAAATCTGAATCCTCTTCAGAGCTTTCCGTTTCACCTCGAGGTACTAAATGTCGATTTGACACAGTTTGTTTCGCCCGTTTCCAAACCAAATAAAGCTATATTCTTGATTCGGCTCTATGATCTCTACCTCTTCTAGGAAAGAATCGTATTTCGCGGTCGTTGAATGTTTTTTATAAAATACTTTTTTGCCTGACTCTAACCATGTTGGCATGGATTGACGACAAGATGATCTTCTTGGATAAGAGAACATACGTTCATGAGGCGTTTCATTCGTTGCTGTGCACAATAAGGATCTGATACTATGTAATGCTTGTTAGTACTGTCTCCCACATTATTATAGGTAAGTCCTTAGTTTTCAAAGCAAGTCGGACAGTTTGCTATAGAGTAGCATTAAGACGTTCAACTTATCCATTCCCTCGAGGATTATAAGGCGCTGAGCGACTGGTGGCAATACCTTTATTCATTAAAAAGTCTTTTATTTTTGTAGACATAAACGCCGTACCTTGATCTGTATGCACATATGCAGGCATACCGAAAATAGAGAATAAGTCAGTGAGACAACGAATAACCGTTGCTGAGGAGGTGTCTGGGCATGCGTATGCAAATGGGAATCTCGAATATTCATCAATTATCGTCAAAATAAATTTATTACTTGTGGACGAAGGAATAGGACCTTTAACATCTAAGGCTAATCTTTCAAAGGGCGATGTCGCCTTTATAAGGGTCCCCTTGTACTTACAAAATGTTGGCTTTATTTCTGCACATACTGGACAAGATGTGACAACTTTCTTTATCTCATCGATAGAAAAAGGTAAATTTTTGTGTCTTACCCAATGATTTAAGCGCGTCACTCCTGGATGACAGAGAGATTGATGGAGTTCTTTCAAATTATTGATTGTTACCGAGGCGCATATTTGGCGTGATAATGCATCAGCAACAATATTTTCTCTTCCGGGTCTATATTTTATATCAAAATTATAATTGGATAGTTCTAATCTCCATCTTTGAATCTTTTCATTCTTAATTTTACTAGCATAACCGTTTAACATAAAGGCTACTGATTTTTGGTCGCTTATAAGATAAAATTGTCTACCCAGTAAATAATGTCTCCATTTTTTAAGACTTTCTATAATAGCATAGGCTTCTTTTTCTATTGCTGGATATTTCTTCTCACATTGATTCAGAGACCGAGAAAAGAAAGCAATTGGCCGGCCATTCTGCAATAGAAAAATCGGATGCATCAGTTTCTATAGTAAAAGGTTGTTTAGGATCAATAGCGGCTAATGAGGGCCGTGATATAATATTTTTTAATTCTGCGAATGCAGCTTTTTGTATCGTGTTCATTGAAAATTTTTCTATTAGTACAAGTGGGTGTAATTTTTCCGAAAAGTTTTGTATCCATTTGGAATAATGAGAGAACAAACCGATAGCGCGTTTTAGAGCTGAAGAATCTTCCGGAATTGGCATATTTAATAAAATCGATATATTTATCGACATATTTAATAAACGATCTGGATCAGGTTTAACGATACCATTACATATATTATAGCCCAGGATATTAATTTCTTTTAAGGAATACTCACTCTTATCCTTGTTAATAGATAAATTATAATCTTGAGCAACTTTCATAAATTTTTGTAATTTATCATCGTGATCGTTTTGATCGACCCCACATATTGTGATGTCATCTAAATATGGGTAAACACCTTCAAGTTTTGATTTTCGAATTATAGTATCGATCGCTCTTTGAAAACAAGACACACCATTTGTCACTCCAAAAGGAATAACTGATACAAATTTCCACATGCTTCAAAAGCCGTCAAGGGTTTATTTTTATTTAGAATAGGTATCTGATGATAAGCTGATTTTAAATCTATTTTAGAAAAAACGTTATATTGAGACACTTTAGATACCACTGTTTCAATATTAACTAGAGGGTATGCATCTAGATACGTGTACCTGTTGATGGTCTGCGAATAGTCTATTCACATGCGTTTTTTATGATGAGTCTCCGATGTCACAAGTACCTGAGCACGCCACGGTGAAGTACTTTCTTCGATGATCCCGTCCAATAACAACTTCTTTACTTCCGATTCTATAAAATCTGCGTCTACTGGTGAGAATTTTCTAGATTTAATAGCTACTGGTTTTATTTCATTAGACAGATGAGGAAATAAGTTTATTGGTTCTATTGCTACGACTTTCAGAGCGCATAATCTCAAAGGAGGCTTGGAACCATCAAATTTTATTTCTAAAGAGCTGTAAAGTTTTAAAATATCTTGACCTAATATAACAGCCATGCATAATTTATCTACGACTCTTAGTAACATATTATGAAATTTTTGATCATTTATTTGAAGAGTAACCAAACATGCAGATTTTATTTCAGATTTTAAGGACGTTGTTGCCATTAAAACATTTTGCTGCCAGGGCTGAGTTGGTATATTAATTTGACGAACGATATCTTTATTAATGAAACTAACAGTACTTCCAGTATCGACTACAAATTTAACCAAAATATTTATGGAACACTTTTGTAAACCTGTAACAGCCAATATTGTACTAGAAGACTGTTCGTCCGTAGTTGCTGCTGTAAAACTTTTACAGACCATAGCAAAATGTCCTTGTTTACCACACTTGACACAAGTAACGTTTGCTGCAGGACATAAAGGTCTCGGATGGAAAGAATGACCACAATAATAGCATTCTTTTAATTTTTGTTTTGACTTTATTACGTTATATCCAGAAAGTTTAGATGTAGCTGCTGATAATGATGAAGCATTTGGATTTGAATAGCTATCCGCTTGAATTTGTGCAGATTCCAGAGCCCTAGCTTGATCTACGGCATCTTCAAGGCTTAGGTATAAATTTTCGAGTATTCTTTGTGGTATAGATGATGAAATAAGGCCCGATATAAATGCTTCCCTGATAGAGTCATTTTCATTGTGAATAGCGGACACCGCTTTAAAATCACAATCTTTAGCCAGTAAATGTAGTGCTTGTATGTATTGATCTATAGATTCTCCTGTCTGTTGGATGCGTGTATTGAGCTTATGGCGAGCAAAAATTATATTTTTGGATTTTACGAAAATATTTTCTAACGTTGACATAGCAGAATTAAATGTAGTACAAGATGAGATGTAATTATAGACGTTTGATGATACATTATTAACTAACATTTTTAGTTTTATTTCATCCGACAATTGTTCTTCCGTCGCTATTTTTGATTCTTCTAAAAAAATTTCCAAGGTTTTTCTCCAATGTATCCATTTCGACGAAGCATTTGTCTCCGTGGACGGTTCGACTTCGAATCTATCAGGCTTGAGATATCGATACATTATATTATAGATTTATTTCGGCGTTCTATTTAAGATGAATAAATTGTTGAGATTAAAAGATTGCCTGTGTATAAACTATGCTTTATTCATCTTTAAAAATACTACGTAACATGTGTTTGAGACTATATTAAAATACATATGACAGTTATGTTTCTAATACATATATTATATAAATAAGCGGCCTGTATTATTAGTACAATTATATAAATAATTAAGTATATTTTTGATATTTCGGGATTTATTATTTGAAATCATATGTATACGTTTAAACAATATTTTGTGTAATGTTTATTATGTAGCAATATACTCTATGGTGTAATGAAAAAAAAATATTCGGAAACGACAAAAACAAAATTTATTTCTTAGATTTGATGGACTACCTTTAGTAATTATAATTTTAAAGACAAGCTTTTCTGCTACATATCAAATCTCTGCCAATTGGCACTGAAATCTAGATTGAGTTTCTTCAGATAATAATAGTTATAACAGCACCTGTAATTCTTTTTTTGTTTACATGCCTAGAATAAAATGGAGAATCGCTTGAGATTCTATAATGATATTTTAAAAGAAGTATACGATGATGAGGGAGTCCTGACTAATACATCATCAGATCAGGTAATACAGTTTCATTAATTTTATGAATTTTCGTGTATTTCAATGATGATGATATCATATTTTTTAATTTTTCAGTTAGAAGTTGAAAGTGTGATTTTAAGAATATACAGAAAGTTTGAAGAAAAAGCTTCTATAGATCCTGAACTTCCTCAACTCAATAAAAATGCTCATGTTATATATTTAAAAGATTCTTTGAAAAATTTACCTCGGAGCTATGCCTGCTTGGAGGCCAGTAGGTCATGGCTGGTTTATTGGATTTTACATGGTCTTTGGACTTTAAAAGCCATGCCTGATTCTGAAACTTTATCACATGTAGTGAAGTTTTTATCACATTGTCAAAATAAAGATGGTGGCTATGGTGGTGGGCCTGGACAATTATCCCACCTTGGTACCACTTACGCAGCAGTAAATGCACTAAGCATAATTGGCACTGAAGAGGCTTATAATTCTGTTGACAGAAGTTCTTTACAGAAATTTCTATGGACTGTCCGAGATGTTGATGGTTCATTTGCTCTTCACATTGGAGGTGAACATGATATAAGAGGAGCATACTGTGCAATTAGTGTGGCAAAAATAACTAATACATATACTGATGCATTATTTGATAAAACAGCAGAATGGATTGTTAGTTGTCAGACCTATGAAGGTGGATTTGCTAGTTGCCCTGGAATGGAAGCTCATGGTGGTTATGCTTATTGTGGTATTGCAGCTTTAGCTTTACTTAATAAAACACAACTTTGTGATGTTGAAGCATTGCTGAGGTGGGCTGTAAATCGTCAGACAAGTCTTGAGGGAGGGTTCCAGGGGAGAACAAATAAACTTGTTGATGGCTGCTATTCTTTTTGGCAAGGCGCTATATTCCCCATCATAAGTGCTATATTGTCCCAAGGTAAGCAAATCATTTTATATAAGATTTCTCTATGGCATTTTACAATACAGTGACCATGTAATTTCAATTTATTTTCTTGGCTACTGCTAATTTCAGATAACAAAGAAATGATAGAGACAGTTTTGTTTAGTCAAAGTGCCTTACAAGAATATATAATTGTATGCTGTCAGGCTTATGATGGAGGGCTTATTGATAAACCAGGAAAGTAAGTACTTTAATTAATAATTATGTATATATACTTATTGCATATTGTTCTTGTATTATATTATTAAACTGTATGAAATAAAAAAATATATTTTATAGTAACTTCATATTATAATAAAGGAATTTACTTTATTTTACAGGCCTCGAGATTTATATCACACTTGTTATACATTAAGTGGATTATCTGTCGCTCAGCATGGTACAGGTGCAACTGACCCATATGTTGTTGGCTCTCCAAGGAATGAACTTAACAGGATACACCCTTTACATAATATTGCACCCCATCTAGCATATAATGCTTTACATTATTTCATAAGACATCCACCCCCAGTAAAAGACAGTAACTGAAAAAGGTTGAATATATTTTTGTTTGATATTTGAAATCATTAAACATACCTCATGATTTTATGTAAGAGCATCAGGTACTACTGATGAAAGAAATCACATCAAAATGTGGTAATAAATTTAAATTACATACCTAGTTAATTACTTTTTGGTTGTACTTTCAAAGGGGGTGGATCTTTATATATGTACATAAGAATCATTTTATGTATTTTTTTTTTAATTATATAGTATTTTGTTAAAAATCAATTTTATACACAAGCACTTGTGTACAAAAGACATGCAGAAGTATGGAAAATAAACTTTTATTTCAAATCCAGTTATTTTATAATTTGTAACATTTAACAAAACAGCTTGAGCTAAATCTGTACTTAACTAAATTTCTTATACATATTTATCTCAGTCCATAAAACTTTATAACTGACTTTTATCAGTTTCGTAGTGATCATTTATCTGACTAGATACATAAATTGCCTTGACTTGAAAGTCTGGTATTCTTAAATAATTGCATTTATAGAGGACTTATACTTAAATTAATATAAAATCAATGATTAAAACAATATTTAAATACAGATGTGATTGAATAAAGATAGTTTAGTTGTATTTAAATATTTTTATAATCAATTATTGATTATTTTTTTTATCATTGACATCCATATCCATTACAAATACCCTATGTGTCTTTGTCTGTACATATTCATCTTTTTTTTTAAATATATGGAGCTTCATAAATTTATATTTTTGAAGTAGTATTTTCTTTATAATGGTATACTGTAATTGCAATGTGTATCTACTTAGTACTTATTAAATAGTAAATAAAGCCTTTCCTTATTCACATTATATATGTGCTAGCATAAATCAATTCCTGTAAACAATATTTTAATATTTATAAATATTGTGTTATTTTGTGACTGTATAACAAATAAAGTAGATGAAAGTAAAGGTAATAATTTAGTGTCATTTTATTTTTAACTTGCTATCAGAAGTAACCAAACATTCAAATTACTCTATGTAATTTTTCATTATTATTAAATAAATTATCCTATCTTTTTATTTATACAGAATAATAAGTTATTTATTTTCTAATTTAAATTTATTTAATGATTTTTCTAATATACTTACTAATCAATTACATAAATAGAGCATATTGTAAACATTAGTATAATGCAATTTGGGTTAATAGTGTATTCATTGTAAATTAAGTAAACAATTTGTATCTGCGCAAGTAACCATCATGTAAATATACAACATTCTAAATATGAAGTGTTATTTAAAAGTTAAAGCAATACAAATTCTTCTGATTCAATATCAGTATCACTATCTTGGATGTTTGGAGTAGCCCAGTGTTGTTCGGATTCAAATATTGAATACCTAATGTTAGGTGGGTTCATAATAGTGCTACGAGAGCCATTATGAAGTGTAAATATGGGATATTCATTATTTGATGAAACACCTTGTGGGGCTAGAAATGAACCAATTACATTAACAAATGTTTCAAAATCATTATGTGTTGCAAGATAAAAACCAATACAACATGATGGGTCCATTTTACTTATAGGCATTTTTCGAGGAGAACGACAATGAAAAGTTTGTAATGAAAAATTAGGTTGCCATACATCAACCATTTCTTGGCAGTAATGTGGATCTAAATGAATAAGTCTATCATCTTGATAACCAACAAAATATAAAGAATGCTTCGGCCTTCCACCTATTACTCCAATGCAAAAGTCTAATGTTAACAATGACGTTAAGCAAGGGCCATAAATAGGATTTAGTTTATCAGTACCCAGTTTTACAGGTACCAATAGAATAAGAGATTTCCAGGAACTATTAGGCATCCTGCATTGTGTGTATACATCTTGAATATATATAGTAGAATCTTGAGCAACATAAACATCCAATTTATCAAATTCATAATTTTCTTTTGATGCTGCATTCATAACTGCCTTTAAACAATGTGCAACTGACGCAGGACCATACCAGTCACCAGGTTTTTTTCCAAGAGCTTCTCCTAAGCATACCATCTGATGGATAGAAAGGGGGCTGTTGACAGATGATTTGTCACCAAACCATTTTATAATCATTCGATGAAGGCAATCTTCCTGAAATTCTCTAGCATTTTGAATAGGTTTGTCAGGTATCCAACGCCATGAGCGGCCTAGAAAATGACAAACTAAAGCTTGTGCAAGCATCATTTGGCCACTACGCAGCATACATCCCCAACCACAATCTGTGGTAAATGAAGAACCTAACATAGTTGGGAATTCTCTTCGATATGTCATCCATAGTTTGCTTATAAAATCTGATTTAAAACCTTCAATACCTTCAACATATATTTGTTCCATAGGATCATGAGCTGTCGCCTCCGTTCCAATTTCTGTTGATGATTCTAATGACCCAGTAGGACTTAACTTCCTATGATAGCAACGACCTAAAAGCCAGACAGGTGATTCCTTGGAGAAACTAGTTTTTAACTTAACTGTCCATCCAAATTTTACATTATTCCACATCGACAACAAGCGTGATTCAACTTTCCCCTTGAGATCAAGGAGATCTTCAGAACTATCACGTGTATTATCTTTCGATGTGGCGGCTTTACTAATGCCTTCGACCTTCATTGTTGTCGCACCTTGTTTAACATCACTATTAGAACTATTAAGCACAGGATTTGGAACAAACGTGCTACTCGATCCGTTCATCATTATTTAGAAAACACATAGTAGCTTCATAAACACTTTAAAAAAAGAGTCTTGTAGGTACTGATTTTATATTCAACTGAGACCACTTTTAAATAGATTCAATTTAATTTCAGAGAGCATTGTGTTGTTGATTTGTTATCTTTATTCACGTAGGTAAGTTAAACGATTCGAGATTTCTTTAGATTGTCAAGAATTAAGAAATATCACAGATCAACAATGTAATACCATGTAATAAGTAGGTACAATACGCCAATAGATAAATTATAATGTCCACAGTGTATAATGTTTTTGACATTCGGATATAGGACTTATAGACCAGGGTCGATAATTATTAAAACCAAAAAAAATAATAGTAGGATGAAACCCATTATAAAAGGAGGGGAATATTATAAAAATGAAAGGAAAAATAATTTACGGGCGATCTGAGGTCGGGAAGGAGATGGGGGTGAGTTTTTAAGGGTAAAAAACGGTTTTTCTCGATTTCCGGCAAAACTAAAAGTCCTATCGAAAAAATTCAAATGGCAAAGTTGTAGGTAATAAAAAGATCTAAAACTTTTATATTTACACTTTTTTCACATAACCTCAAAATTTATGTGAAAAATTAAAAAAACCAAGTTTTTTGCTTTTTATGTTTATCTTTTACAAAAAAAATTTTTTTAACGAAATTTGGTGAAAACTTGCCTTTTTATGTCCCAAATACGCTGTAATTTATTTGATTAAAAATATCTATTTTGTCACCTTATTTTGAATTAATATCGAAAACGCACCCTAATTTTCAATCGAAAATTCACCCGTCAAAATATCAGCTTTTTTCAAAAAGTTGGTATGTTTTCTGTTGGTTGAAATCTCTACTTTCCGATGGTAAAAAAAAAATATGTTACTATAGTAAATCTTCTGAGAAAATGCAAAAAACAAAAAACCTTTTTTATTTCATACACTTGCTTATCATCTGCCTTATTGCAGATGATACAAACAGATTCAACCATACTGATAATCTGAAAAGACAAAATCGAATTAATAATGCCTTTACTATTTTATCGTGAGTATACCACCATGAAAAAAATATATTAAAGAAATAAATGTCAAAATGTATAAAAAATATATTATACATATATTAAAAATCTATAATAAAATATATGAAATATACATGAAAATTGGCCAAAAGTTAGTTATTAAAAATATATTTACTATACATATTTATTATATATTTATACATTTATTATAGATTTTTAAAATATTTATAATATATTTTTTATATATTTTGACATTTATTTCTTTAATATTTTTTTTTTCATGGTGGTATACTCACGATAAAATAGTGAAGGCATTATTAATTCGATTTTGTCTTGTCAGATTATCAGTATGGTTGAATCTGTTTGTATCATCTGCAATAAGGCAGATGATAAGCAAGTGTATGAAATAAAAAAGGTTTTTTGTTTTATGTATTTTCTCAGAAGATTTACTATAGTAACATATTTTTTTTTCGCCATCGGAAAGTAGAGATTTCAACGAACAGAAAACATACCAACTTTTTGAAAAAAGCTGATATTTTGACGGGTGAATTTTCGATTGAAAATTAAGGTGCGTTTTCGATATTAATTCAAAATAAGGTGAAAAAATAGATATTTTTAATCAAATAAATTACAGCGTATTTGGGACATAAAAAGGTATGTTTTCACCAAATTTCGTTAAAAAAAAATTTTTTGTAAAAGATAAACATAAAAAACCAAAAACTTGGTTTTTTTAATTTTTCACATAAATTTTGAGGTTATGTGAAAAAAGTGTAAATATAAAAGTTTTAGATCTTTTTATTACCTACAACTTTGCCATTTGAATTTTTTCGATAGGACTTTTAGTTTTGCCGGAAATCGAGAAAAACCGTTTTTTACCCTTAAAAACTCACCCCCATCTCCTTCCCGACCTCAGATCGCCCGTAAATTATTTTTCCTTTCATTTTTATAATATTCCCCTCCTTTTATAATGGGTTTCATCCTACTATTATTTTTTTTCACTTTTTATTATTTTTAAAGGCTTCTACCCTAGTCTATTAAGCGTAATTGGGAAGTTTTCTCGAAAGGAGGGCGCCACACGTATTGCCTATTTACATTCAGTCTGAGGTTAAGCAATTTATTGTGATAGGGTGGTTTCACCTGTTTTCGGCCATTTAAACAAACGTATGACTACGAAACTATTTTTTTCGATGATACTAAGGTCGCAGATAAGTTTTCCAAGTATTTTCGAACTCAAAAGATAATGTAGTTTTGATATTTGTAGCCCCTTTACTTGACAATGTCATATTAAAATTACTAGAAACTAAAATCTCTGAAATTTGCTATTTAGTCTGTTTTCGGCCACTAAATTTAGTTTCCGGCCATTAATTTGTTTAGTTCTCGGCCCCCATTTAACAATTTGAAAAATTATCTCTATTTGTTCTTGAATAAGATTTATACTACAGTAAAACGAAATAATACATACGAATCAACAATTTTAATTAAATTTTCACACTATAACAATGTTTTTAGGAACATTTTTGTACTATAATAGTAGATCTTAAATTATATAAAAAAAAGAAAATAATAATATGGAAAAAAATATAGATGATCACGACTTTAATATTTTGAATTACGTAATCAAAAAATATCAAATTCGTGATCATCCTCATCTTCTTCATAAATATCGTATCTCTTAAAAGTTTCATCGCTGGGAATGGTTTTAGTTACATCTATAGCTGTTTCACTTTTATGAGACATTTCTTTATCAATCTTATCTTCACTTATTTTATTTATTTCTTTTATATCAACTTTCTTTATAATATTCAATTTATCAGTCTTTTCGATTACTTTAGTCTTCTTAATAATGATTTCTATATCTTTATCGGTATTTATAATATCACTATCACTTTCTTTGGCTTTTGTTTGTTTTCTTTTTGGGATATTAGGTTTTATATTGTTTCTATTAATGATCTTAAGTTTTTTGCGGATTCAGTTCGGTTTTTTTGTTCTCTGTCCGATTTCCTCTTATTTTTTTCGTTTATCTAAAATTAAAATTTCGTTTATTTAAAATCGTGAAAATCTCTCCAAGCTTTTGAAGATATGGCACTAGGAAATTTATGAATGTTTTTCTTAGTAGTTTTTTTCCCAGATGGACTAATGGGAAATGTTAAATGATTTTTAAATGGATCAATTGGCGTATCATTTTGGAGAGTACACGAAGTGTTTACTAAATTTTCTTTATTACCATTTACGTCATTACATTTTTGATGGATCGATTTTTTTGGAGACGATGGGTTATTGTGATCTTCAGCTACTGCTATAACTTTTGACGTAAATTCTACATTATTATTTTGAATAGGTAGCGATTCCTGTGCTAAATAATGCTCTTTATCTCCTTTACAAACGTGGTGTATAATTTGTATAGTATTTAAGTCTTCAAAATCTATGTCAGTTATTTTTAAAACAGAAATATCACTTAATGATACGTAAGATCCAATATCAGGAATTGAACTATTAGTAAGCAAAGAATAGCCTTCATTATCATTACCTCCTACAGTGATATCTATAACCTCTTTCAATCAAAAAACATTCAAGATCTGAAAACCATTTTCTGATTAAGCTCTCTCTGACCGCCTCTCTGGCTTTATTAATACTTTCAGGTTCACGTACGCTAATCTCCGGATGCCTTCTAAGAAAATTTTGGTATCATGTCTGTCCCGGTCGCCCTTATGGAAACTTATTTTCTCTTCCAATATTTTTAATTATTTTTGCAACATTTTCCAGCAATACCTCTTTTTCTCTTCTCTTTCACAGGAATCCCACATTTGGCTAATTCTGTAATCCAGTCTACAACTTTTTGCTCACGATCAATGCCTAGTATAGGCTCTGGACCTACTTTTCGAGGGTGTTCTTTAGATCTGCCGGAAATTCGATTTTGAACTGTTGAGCGAGGGACACCATAGTGACGGCAGGCCTCTCTGACGCTTTTATTTTCTGTTCTTATGGCCTGGACAGCTTGTGCCAATGCTTCTTCAGTATATTGGAAATGAATCCTCTTATTTTTAATAGTATGTTTAAGTTTATTTCTCCCAGGAGGCATCTAAAAGTAAAAGTAACATTATTATTACTACAATATGGCTTACACGCGATTTTATCAGTGTAAGTCTCCAAAACTATTCTACAGAATTACCTATTAAGATAATAAAAAAATATATTAAAAAAATAAAAAAAACCCGACTTCATAAAATCTTACTAAAAAGATGAAAACAAGTTGACAAAGGAATATAGTATTATGCAGTCGGAGACATAAACATATACATATCGCGACAAGGATGAAACGTGTATGTCTACGACTACATAATACTATATTCATTCGTCAACTTGTTTTATCTTTTTAGTTAGCTTATATGCAATCGGGTTTTTTATTTTTTGTTCTTTCAAATAGGTCTGAAAACTAACTGTATGTTAACTAATTTTCGGCCACCTGCTTTATTACTGGCCGTAAACTAAGGTTTTATGAACCGATTTATCGGCCCCCCGTTATACGTGGCCGATAACCAAATTTAAATTAATTAATTTTCGGCCGTCTTATTGCTAGTGGTCGAAAACTCACTTTGATGTACTTGTTTTCGGCCGTTGTTTAACTTGTAAAAGTTTGCGACTGACCAATAAGACGGGTCTTGGGGAAGTCATTTTATGTCTGTATTGTTTGTCTGACTGGCGATTTTTATTCAATTATTTCATTTATTGTCATTTACTGTCAAAATTTTTCTGGCCGAGCATCGATAAACATATTATTAGTTTTCGTCCATACCCATTATACCTAGGCCGAAAAGTAATTATAACAACTCTAATTTTCGACTGCCAAATACAAAATAACAAAAAAATATTTTTCACCAAATATTAACTCATAACATGCGGCCGAAATCTGACTACATAAATGAGGGAAGGTTATATTTTGTTTTAAAATTTTTTTTTTAAACGTATTCCTTAAATATTATATAATATAATCTATTATATTTACAAAGCTATCTTTTAGTTCTCGGCATGCCGGGCGAAAAGCAGATGGCCCCCCAAAACCTTATCTAGTTACCCGACCATCAAATTTAAATATATAAAACCTTATCATTCATCCATTTTAATTAAAATAACACAAATTTAAATAATCACCAATTCAGAGTAATAACAATTATCTTTATCAAACCTTAAACAATTTAGTAACTTACCTTGCAAAATTTTCACGCGCCCTATTTTTTTTGTTATTATTATGACACACGTGCACTACTCGACTTTCGGAGGCCCACTGACGAGACAGTTGTATCATTATAATGCAACAAAGTTCAGAAGGCGTAGGTTTGATTGGAAAAAATATATTTGACGTTGATTTTTAAATGAGGAGAGTAATGATTTCTTATTATCATCATAAAACTACGTCTTGGCCGAAAACCAAAGGTGGCCGGCAAACCGGCTAAGCTACCCTATCTCTTGTACACCTGGTTTTTAGGCATCGGATAAGAAAGGATTTTTCGAAATTTATCCCCTAATTGGAAAAAATAATAGATTCAAGATCGTATGGAACTCTGTCATTCTAAATGTGAATTACACAGAAAGTGGTGCTTAGCTTTAAGATAAAAAATATGTAAGGGTTCTTTTAAAATTCATTACTTAAAGGGGTAAAAGGGTGTAATAAAGTTTATATAGGCAAAGAAGTATTTATGATCAGAATTACTTGAAACTTTATATTAATGCTCTTCAATACAATTACATAAATACGTGTTTTAGCATTTTTCGACATTCAATCCTATAAGGGGGTAAAATGGGTGAAGAAAGTTTGTATGAAACTCTATAATTCATATGAAATTCAAAAGCAAAAAATATATTCATCTGTAGATGATTAAAGAGTTCTAAAATCACTTTCTTTATAATGATGTCCACATAGCCTTAAATATAAAGATTCTGATTTCGCCAATTTTGGTCGTCTTATTACTTTAGCCTACAATTTTTTCAGTTTTTGTCTTTTGGGAACAAATGATATCCATTTTCTTTGCATCCTGGTACTGCACAATTTATCATTTTGATTAAATTTTAAATAAAATGATAAAAAAACCATCCAGCTTTAAAATATATTGAGATTATAATGATCGCCACATCTGGTGGGACAAAAAGGCAAAATTCTTCCCCATTGATAAGCAGAATTCTTTACTCTTTTAGCCTAATCTGTCTCGGAATTTATTAATCATGGATGACTATTGACAAATAAACAATTAAACACAGAAGTTCTGACTTTGTCATCCATGGTTCTGACTTCAGATTAAAGAACTAGTAGGTAGGTATCTAACGATCTACAAATAATGACTAAAGTCATAAATCAGGTTCCAGGAGCATTGAGAAATGAGAAGTATTATATTTAATATTATTATTTTTTATTTTAGTATATTATGTATAAAAGTTAAGAAAACAATAATTTATACATTTTATGTTGTTCACAAAATAAGTGCTAAGAAGTAGAAAAAGCACAGAAGCACAACTAGGAAGTTATTTATAAAAGTCTATAATAATATTAAGAAAATGATGCCTGGAAGAATTGGTCATATGCCGATTGCAGCTGAGAATCCCTTAGGTCTGTCATGGCACGACTCGGCCTGGATTCCATCGTTAAATCCATCTAATATTATGGATTATTTTTCGGAAAGGTCTAATCCTTTCTTTGACCGCACATGCAATAATGAAGTTGTTAAAATGCAACGACTCAGTATGGATCAGTTACAGTAAGTCTTAAGCTTTTAAATAATTCTATATAATCAGATATTTCATTACTTAACATTTTTATATTTATTCAACTATATTTTAGAAACATGACGGGATTGGAATATATATTACTTCATGTGCAAGAGCCAATTTTATATGTTATAAGAAAACAACACAGACATAGCCCTGTTCAAACAATACCTCTTGCTGATTACTATATAATTGCAGGAATAGTTTATCAAGCTCCTGACTTAGCAAGTGTTTTAAATTCAAGATTAGTAAGTACTTAAATATGTATAATATTTGGTAATATTATAACTATAAGTTTGTGTTCCCTAATTTACCCATTTTTATACAATAACATTTAGCACTGTTATGAAATAAAGCGGTTTTTTTCACACCAGATAAATGGGTTAGTGATGGATATAGGGTACTTTTTATCTTAACCACACATGTCTGTTAGAGTTATATTGCATATTAAAAGTTGTTGAAAGTTGTCCAGCAAAGATCAATTTTATCTTATATAATATTATGTTTTAAAAATATTTAATGAAAATTTACCTTAAGAGATAGACATGCTATTGCAGACTTATCTGTAGGTATTTTAAGACCTTTTTCTAGTACATTGTTTTGATGTATATCTAGTTTTAACCAGCTTTAGCCAAGTAAATTTGTAAAGATGACTCCATAGAACCAGTTATTGTAACTAGGGTTTTCCCTTGGGTAATGATAGATTTTGCTGTAAGTAAAGGGTATCCTAAATGTAGACTTGAGTAAGATTCATTACTTTTTGTGTGAAATTCAAAGATATACAGATGGACAGAAAAAAATATAATTATTGTTTTTGGGTCTATATTTTGTAAACAATATATTACAGTCCAATGTATTTAAAAAAATCATGTACAGATCTTGCTTTGGTACTATTATAATATAATATATACCAGTATTGCTAATCTTTTTAATGATATATTTTTTTTTATTTTTACAAAATATGTTTATATTAGATAATTTCTAACAATATTTTAGCTATCTGCCGTCCATCACCTCCAATGTTCATTTGAAGAAACAATGGCATATTCAAAATATCACCCTAGTAAAGGATATTGGTGGGATTTCAAAGCCAATAAATCAGGTATTCTGCTTTACTGTTTAATCAACACAATTTAAGAAAAGCATTTTTGAAATAATTCATCTATACTTATTATAAAAATAAGTCCCCCGGCCGCGTCTTTCTGTCCTCCTGTCTGTCCTCCTGTCTGTCTGTACGCGATAAACTCGAAAACTACTGAACGGATTTTTATACGGTTTTCAACAATAGAAAGAGTAATTCTTGAGGAAGGTTTAGGTATATAATTTATTATGCTTTTATGTAAATTAGCTGAAATACGGCGACAAATGTTGAAGAGGTCGCAAAAAATCTCGCCAAATGGGAACTTTCCACGCGAACGCCGCGTAAACTAGCAAAGATACAGTTAAGTAATGTACTAGAGAATTCAAAATCTATAAAAATGCTACAAAAAAGTCCGCGATAGCATATCTCTATCTCTTACGGTTGACTTACAATAACCACTTTTATGTTAACATTTTTAATTAAAAACATTACGTTATTTTCAAAGTTATTTTCTTTAGTTCGGTATTAATCCTTATCCAAATGAATATTTTAGTTAGCTTAGTCATTTAATGCAGATTAAAATTGCTCTTTACACTAAATCAATCAGATGAATAGTTTTTGAGATATCGTTGTTAGAAGTAATTAGTAGCGAAACATTTTTAATGCTTGGCGAGCATTGAGATGCCTACGGCGAGTCCATCCCCTCTGCCCCGCATCGCTCGACCGCCTGCTCAAGCTATATAAACCGGGCGATGTAGCGCGCGATCCTAGGATACTTTTTACCGCGGGAAAATATCTTATTTCTGAGGAAAAATACAAAAACTGCAATGTAAGAGTATACTAATATGTAACACCTAAGAATTTAGTTTTTGGTCATCTGAACGCGGGCGGAGCCGCGGGCAATGCTAGTTACTTATATTTAAATGATGCTGCTTCGAAATATAGTATAATAACATCGTGTATATTTTATAGTATAAGAGTAGTAGGACATAATATGATTTTTCTTAATTATTATATTTTACAAGAATGTACCTATTATGCATAGATAACACTTTAATCTATCATGTCAGGTCCTTTCAACATTGGACAATCTGCTCCTAAAGAAGTTGCAAATACACCAAAAGAAGAACCTTCCACATTGTTTCAACGGCAAAGAGTAGATATGTTATTGGCTGAATTAGTAAGACAATTTCCTCTACCTGTTACACAAGCTGCTGCAAATCAAGTAAGATTAAGTTACTTTATGGATTGTTTATGATATACTCGTATACTAATTATGTAATTAAGTTTAAGTATTAGTAACATTTTATGTTTGATATATATACATTATTTATTAGTAACATTTTACTATATTTTGTATTAAGTTTTTAGATAAAATGTTATGATGTTTTAACAACTGTGTCCAGGAAATACTTAAATAAAAATTGTTTTCCATGTGAAATTAATAAATTAATTTAAACAGCTTGCAGACAAAATCAGCAATTAATTCAGTTTTGTTTAAATTCAAATTTGGCCATAAGTCCCTTTAATTTAATTTTTAGTAATATCTAAAACAAAAGAAGTCAGTACTTTAATCCAGGATATAAAGTGCACTCTGAATTTGTCTCAAATCTTTAACCCAATATAGTAATAAATAATTAAAATAAACACCATTTATAATTTTATCATGTGCTCACGATTGCTATGAAAAAACTTATGAAAACATGGTTTGCCCTTATAAGTTTGCAATGTTGTCCAGTTTTATATTTACATTTGAGATGTAACAATAACTCAGTATTAAAATGTTTTCTTAATTTTTTAATATTATGTTCATTTTGAAAAAATTTCACTAGATTTATTTTAGCTATCAATATAAGTTTTTTTTGCACAGAATGGGGTCACAGTAAAAACTGAAAATACTAGTGAAAAAAGCTCAGACAAAACAGCAGATGGAAATTTAAATAATATAACTATCAAACAGGAGCCCATAGATTCCATGACTCCTGAAATGACTAATGGTAATATGCCACACATGGAAATAAAAACAGAAATTAAGCAAGAAAATATGAAACCTCCTCCTGAAAAGAAACCAAGAGTATTATAAATGAAACAATATTTTGTAATTATAATTTATTAATCATTTAACTGTTTATGTCAATCAATAAGTTTTGTTTTTTATAATAAAATATCTTAATATAGTGAAATATAAAAGCCTCACAAGTTTTAAAATAAAAATCTCAAATAAGCATTTTGATTTTACTTGTATTTTTTGCTACATTTTGCATCAAATTTTCACCCATTCATATTATACTATACATTCATCAAAAATATGTAAATCATGTGTCACTTATTCTGTAATGTTTCTTTTAAGTACTCATCATTCTTTTCCTTTTGCGTGTTATATAAGTTAACAACATTATCTGCTAGTGTGCCACCATTTAAACAAATTTCACAGTTCATATTCCGAATATCTTCTGGTCTGTTATTAATCTGATGAGTTTGCTGTTTTCTGAAAATTTTATCATTATTTCTTTTAGATTATGACAAAAAAGTATTTATGCTATTAAAATTATTCTTACTTTGCTGCTTCAAATCCCAATTGTAATCCTAAGCTCAAGCCTTGTTCATAGCCCATATCAAAACTAGTTTGAAATCTAGAAGATTGCCCATCAGCAATGCCATCAGAATATCCTACCTAAAAGTTAATAACATATATGAATTTATTCAGCTATTGGGGGGGATCAGGTCATAGTCCACGCTGCCCAAATGTAGATTGGTGAACTTCACATGTCATTCAAAAACTTGCTAGGTGATAGGTTCTCTCAGACATGCAGGTTTCTGTCAGGTTTGTGTTTTTTTTTTTCACCATAGAACAAGTGGTAATCATATTGGAAATGATTCATACATGAAAATATCAGAAATTCTTGAGTTTCCCAAGTGAGCGCATTACCATTGGGCTACCACTGCCTTAATTTATATGAATATAATCATTTTAAATTTCTAAATATAAAATAGGTAAGTTATGAGTAGACATTCAACTACTAAATGTGACTTATATTAAGAACTAGTCCCCGCCCACGAAGCTATCCATTTAGGATACAATGAAAAAAATTGATAGAGGTTACAGCAAAAATCTTGTGTGTGAACACATTATTACCTTGTTGATATTTTCAACTGTTTTTGACCATGTTTTAGAACATACGCTTGTAGTATCATCAATCATGATCAATTAGTATTTTTATAGGTAGGAACAAATATAAAATATTTTGTGCTGGTTTTTGCTTCGCTTCGCTACCTTGTAATATTGTCAACTGTCGCGAAGAAAGTAAAAGACTTGATCAGCCGTTAGAATGGATTATGGAAATGAAAAACACTGGAATTGATTAAATGAAAAATAAATCATTTATTTTGCAATAACATAATAGGCGGTAAAAAATAAAAAATATAGGTAATATTAAAAAAAAATTGACCGTTAACGTCAAAGAGAATGTAACCACTACGAATTTAATTAGCAAAAAAAATAATTTGCATTTAGGAAAGTTATTGGTGCAATATTAGATAACTTGTTTAATAATTATAAGAAATAATAATTAATATGGAATTTAATGAAATGACAATAGACAATTAAAACCATGGATGATAAAAATTAAAACTTGTTAAATGTTAATTGTTAACAGATTTCAGACAGATTATACAAGTTGGCATGTCTGCTAATAATTATTTTTTGTTATTATAGTTAATATTCTCTTGGGTAACTTTGAACAAAAACTAAATAATGTGTCAGATTACGCGAAAGGAGGGCGCCACACGTATTGCCTATTTACATTCAGTCTTAAGTTAAGCTTTATTGTGATATCTTTTTATACATGGTTTTTTTTGCTTCTATTGTGTTCGAATTTTACGTGTGCAATGTAGTGTACCTTGAAGTTAGACCAGCTGAAGGAAAAAATGAGAAGGAGAGATGAATCCTGCGGTGGTCCTGACTGACTGATGGATCAACACACAGCCTAAACTTCTGGTCGTAGAAACGTAAAATTTTGAGGGCGTGTTCCTTATATGATGTAGGCATCCGATAAGAAAGGATTTTTCGAAATTCCTCTATGTGGGTGAAATAAGGGATTAAAGATTGTATGACACTCTGTCGACTGTCATCAAAGAGTATAGTTATAAACTGGACTGTCATTCTTAAAGTGAAATTCATAGATAGTGGTGTTTTTTCTTAGCTTTAAGATAAAAATAATAAAATATATTCATTTGATTTTTTTCGAAATTCATCCCTTAAAGGCCTCATAGGGTAATAAAGTTTTATATGGACAAAGAATTATTCATGATCAGAATTACTTGAAAGTGGTTTAGCATATTTCGAAATTCATTCCCATAAGGGGGTAAAATGGAGGAAGAAAGTTTGTATGAAACTCTGTAATTAATATGTAAAAAGTACAAAATAATAAAAATATTCACCTGTAGATAATTCGGGAGTTTTAAAATCCTTTTCTTTAAAAAGATGTCCACATAGCCTTAAATATAAAAATTGTTATTTCGCCAAATTTTATCCTCCTATTGCTTTAGCCTACAATTTCTCCAGTTATGTTTTTTGGGAAAAAATTATATCCATTTTCATTGCATCCTGGCACTGCACAATATTTCATTTTAATTAAATAGTACCTGGACTACCGAGCTTCGCTCGGAGTTTTTGGCCTGAATTTTCTTTTTTTTTTTACAAAAGTAAAAACTTAGTATACGACCGAGATTCGAACCTATGATTGTCGATCTTGCACCCTCAGACCAATAAAAAAGTATAGACGGAGCCGTTGTAAACAAACGCGACGAAATAAGTGATGCAAAGTTTTGGCTGTGCTTGCGTAACTCTGTGTAAGTTAGCGTAGATTTGCGCATGTGTGCTAGAGAAAAATGTTGCAAGTGTTGTGCTTACGATTCCCAAGTGCGAGAGATATACTTTGATGAAAAGTTTTATTATAGGTAGTATTGATTTTTATTTGCCTTGGTTACATGAAATGAAAGGTACCTAAATTAGTTTAATGAGTCATTTATTCTTATATAAAAATAATTAATAATTTAACAATAGGTACACACAAAACTTACATATATTAGAATAATCTTATATATATAAACGAGCTATTCTTGTATATATATATATATATATATATATATCAATATATAATCTGAATCTAGGAAACGGCTCCAACGATTTTCATGAAATTTAGCACGCAGGGGGTTTCGGGGGCGATAAATCGATCTAGATTAGTCTTATATCTGGAAAAATGCGAATTTTCGAATTTTCATGCGATTTTCTTTTGCATTTTCACAATTTTTGCATTGTCACTTCTGGTGAGTGGGCGGCGCCACTGTGCAACTGTCAACATCGTGTCCGTATTTACTTTTATTTGTCATCTATGGTATTTACCTACATTTAAGTGAAAATAATCTAAAGAAAAATGATTTTTTTTTAAATAAAACCTATGGGCAATATGTAAACATCACCAAGTCTTGATGTGTTGAAGAACAAATGAGCTTTTAAAAATTCACCTACCAAACAAATACAAAAGTGACAAACATAACTTAAAGATACTATCAGTGCAAAACCATCTTTTCTGTGTGTGATGACAATAAAACAAAATAATTTGTGAAGTGAAAGCGTCAAATATTAAAACATAAGTTTATAACCTCAAAAACTAATAGGTACTCGGTATAAAATTGCAATTCAACTAGGTATAATTGGTGCTCTTTTTCAATCAGCTTTTCTACTTCCGACTTTACACTTAAGATGGAGAACATAAAAAAGTTGCTAATAAACATGCAACAATAAATAAGACAGCAGAAAACAGAAATGTTAGAAAGATTTCTTTTGCATTATTTCAATAAATTAATAATTCCACGCAAAATATTATGTTTAATAATTTCGCACGCTCAGATATAAGCATCATAGTCAAGCGGCCAATGCGCAAGATTGGCAACCAAAGGTATCTGGGTTCGTATCCCGGTCGGACACAAAGTTTTTAATTTTTTTTTTGTATTTATTCAAATTCTAAGTTTGTTTTTTTTTTAATGTTTTTTTTAAACGCCGAGCAAAGCTCGGTCGCCCAGGTACTTATAACTAATTTGACACCGCGACCCCCCACCCCCCCGGGATCCGCGCTTGAGTAGTTTATATGTATAATATACCTTTATACCCGAAGCCCAAAAAAAGGTTGTGTTTAACCTGTATGTATGTTTCTATGTATGTCCGACCGTATGTTCCCACGTAATTACTGAACGGCTTAACAGATTTCGATGTTTCAGACGTCGTGAGATTCGTATTAACAACGCGAGTGTCACAGGGTATAGATAATATTAAAATCATAAGCGCCAATTTGTGTCTTGAAAAATTATTTTGTTCAAATCAATAGAGTAGGGTATCAATATAGGTACAGGTTTTTAAGAGGCGATTACAAAATATATACAACTTAACTTTCTTTTAATAATTTAGGATAAAAAAGAGGGGGTAAAATAGGGCAAAGTTTGTATGAAACCTACACTTTAGAGGTTTTTCATAGTTTTAGCGCGAGCGAAGCCGCGGGTTCTGCTAGTATATAGTAAAATTCTGAGTCGAATCTGTACATAAATATTTTTTTTAACATCCTTTTGAAATGGTCGTTATCATCAATACAGGGGCTGAATCTATAGTTTTTAGAATTTTTGTCTGTCTGTGACCGCATCACAAGAAAATTTAGTATGATGATAGCTGGTAATCCGGGTCAACATATAGGATACTTTTTATTGCAGGAAAATATTTCATCTCTGAGAAATGTATACTAAACTTTTAAACATAAATATGATCGAACCCGAACGAAGCAAGGATGAGTCGCTAGTTTTGATTTAAAATACTGGTTTTCTTGTCGTCATTTTGAGTGAAAAAAAAAGGATTTCCATCCTTGTCTTTTGTGATTTGTATAATGTTTGCTGTTTATTGAATAAATGAAATACTTAATACCTAGTTAATACGTGAGCGTCATTCGGCATTCCTTTTCGTAATGTTCTTTCATATTTGAGGCGTGACTCTGATTCTGTACAAAATAATAAAAACTATGTCGTATTTTACTTGGCCTACCTGACTACTTCTAAAATACTCCCGTAACATTAATTTCTTTTTTTACTCCTAATTGTACCTACATTATAATATTTGAATTTATGGTGTGCCACCGTTGACGTTTTTTTTATTTGTAATTTGACTACAGAATTGTCTAAGCGGTTCACAAATCAAATGATATCTACTTCCTGGTACCTACCTAGCTCCAATAGTCCCTAAGAGTAAGACGGCAGTCATATACTGTCATGTCGAAATTATAAGGGTTCCATTCCATTTTATACTTTTGGCTACGGAATCATAATGACAAATGACATTTTTTCAAAGTTCAAAATTACTTATATTATTTCCGATATAATTTCCACTTCAATTTTTAACAAACAATTAGTATACTTCTGAAATGCCAGTATTAAATAAAGAATGTTGAATTTGTAATAATCATTGTCTAAATATTATATTAATAAAAATTTGTTTTGTAAATTTTGGATCAGACACTGTATTTAGCTTACAATAACACGTTGGTAAAGCATAGTCGAATTGTTGGGTTTTTCTTTAATGAAACCAACTTTAAAAGTTATAATATACTTACTGAATTTATTAGGTTATTTTGTTAAGCTATTATTTTAGATATTTAAGTCAATAAAAATTATGTGGTAAAGTGGTAACCTATTTACACTTCGATCAACAATACTATTGTTGATTGAAGTATAATTTACAACTGAAATTAAGGCAAATCAAATATTAAAAATCAATCTTATATTGGGTAATGCTTGATTTATCTGGAAATTTTGTTCGTAAAATGAACATATTATTAACTTCAGGCATAGCATCTAGAGTTTCTAGATATCCAAACCAATATATAACTAAACCGGGGCCAAATCTATTCCAATAGCATACAAGTTGTTCTTTTAAGTATCCTAAATGGTTTTCTTCATCGCCAAACAAAGCTTTACTTTCGATCCAGTTTACAATGAAATCATCCACAGCAATCGGAACATCCAATTTAAAGTCTGGAGTTTTGTCATATCCACGCAATCTGAGCACATTTTCATCAGAAAAAGAAATGTTCATGACTCTTAATTCTCTTTCTAGGCGCAGTTCATATTCTAGTCCTATTGATCTGGAAATTAATAGTTTGTTATTTTTAAAGCAATGTCAGATATATTGATAATTTTATTCATCATTGAAATAGAAACATACTGTTTGATAATATCTGCATAGGGTCCATATTGATTGTCATTCATAATGCCCTGCAAGAATTTTTATTACCTAGTTAATACTGTAAATCATGCTGTCATTATAACTGATTTTACTTTACAAGAGAAAAAAACCGGAATATTTTATGTTTAATCTTTCTTAAGGAAAGGTAGAATGATATCAATTAACATGCAGTGTGTTAACATTAGTAAAAAAATAAAAACTTTAAAAACAAAAATAAAAATTGACTGCCAGGCACTAAAATGTAAAAAATAACTAAACGGGGATTTTTATTTAGAACCGATACCTAATCAGATATTTTCGAAGTCGGTGCCAGCCGATGCAAAGCAAATCTACCCCGTTTTCCAATAAAGGCACTAAAGCGCATTATGCGGCATATTGCCAACTTCGGATGTTCCAACTATAGCAACGCTCCATTCAATCGAGCATTTTGAAAAGTACTGCTTTAACGTGATTTTTCGTGTTTTTTCTTCAAGGTGGCCATAATTTTATTTTATTTACATTACCGTTACTAATATTTAATTATATCTATACATATAATAAAATTGTAACTAAGTTGAATCTGTACATTAAATATTTTTGGGAAAATCTAATTGAAATAGACATTATTACCGATACAGAGTCCGAATCTATAGTTTTTAGGAGTTTGTCTGTCTGTCTGTGTGTCTGTTACGGCATCACGAAAAAACCACAGGACAGATTTTGATGAAATTTGGTATGATGACAGCTGGTTATCCGGGTCAACATATAGGATACATTTTACCGCGAGAAAATATTTCATTTCTGAGAAAAAATACAAAAACTGCAATGTAAGAGTATACTAATACGTAAAACCTAAGGATTTGGTTTTTGCTCATCTGAACGCGGGCGGAGCCGCGGGCACTGCTAGTTTATTATATAATTTATAATATCGACAATATGTATTATTATATATTATGTACATATTAGTTATATTTTTTTCTTTCAACAGTGAACCTAGTGCCCTCTGCTGGTGCACTTGAAAACTAATACATGTTCCAATTAACCATTAGCACACTTCTGCATTGTGTACTATAAATGGATAAAATAAGTGATAACTATAGATTGAAGAAAACTGTAAAAATAAAAAGTGGTATATTTTTATCTCATTTAATGATCAATCAAAATAATCAAAAAGGTTAAAATTAATATTTTCTTTAAAAAAAATCTTTTAAATACATTTTAATCAAATTTTATATGCATACAGAATGTAGAAGGCCTGGATGAAAGATCTGTTGACACTGATCATGATTCTATCTTAAAATATTGTGTGGTTTAACTACTTTTTACAAAAGTACATACTTTTGTAAACACTTAATAGTCACATTATTTTTGTTAATATGTTGAAGAAAAAGTCTTGAAATATATTATGTAACGCCTAACAAAAAAAACCATTAATTAATTAAATGTATAAATATTATATAGTTAATGTGCTATTACCAAATAGACATAATTATTGTGACTTCTTAACATTGCTCTTTCTTAACTCTTTTAAAAAAAAGTAGCTTAAGATCATGTTACAACTTACCAAAAATACTTGATAGGCCAAATCCTTGTTTTCTATCAATGTTGTATCTTTAAGATACTTTTTTACCATAGTAGAGTCTGGTGTAACATTTTGCAATAATGATCTCACAAACAATGCTGGGCTGATACCTTGACTATCTGCTAGCCTATTACAATAAATATAAATTTAATATTATGTTTTATTTTAAATGTAGGCTCAATAAAAGTAGTACAATACAAGAGATGTACTAGAAATATTTTCCACTTTTCAGATACATATTTTAATCAAATAATACTGTAAAGTAACTTAAATAAATATTAAAATTATACCCTTACTTAAGTATTACTTCTCCTTTATTTTTTTCTTTCATTAGCTCCTCATATAAATCATAATATTTGCTTGATATTACAGGTGACTTACGATAGCTTTGCTTCATAGATCTTTGTACAAGTAAAGATATAACACTGCCCAAAGTTGGCGGCAACACCCTATATTGAACATCAATAACCCATAAGTTTTCATTTTATTAATGCTTCATTTAAGTAAAGTATACATTTGTCTTGAAATATAGTCATTCCAGCCCTTCCATTAACAAATATTGTTGATAGGGTCAACCCAAATATTTTATCAACATAAAATGAATTAATCATGAATTTTTAAATGAAAATATTTATATTATTTTAAGAGTATTATAAATTTTATTATAAAATCATCTACACTAGGAAGTTTTTAGAATAACTTACTCTTTGTACTTTTTTTTCAATTCATTTTCAGATTTTCTGCTAAATGAAGTTATTTTGTTGAAATCTTTAACAATTGAATTATAAACTTTTATGGACATAGGCTTAATTTCAGGCATATCCAATCTTCTAAATAACTTGACAGAGATACGTCACTTTTAATTTATTTACTAAAAACAGATGTATGTATTAAAAGTAAATTATTTACTTATTTATGTAAATATGTAAGTATTAACTTTCTGTTACATATACTATCCTTAGATTTATAGCTATAAGTCAGCTAGTTGAGCTCAATTTACTTAATCAATGTCGCTTAGAATAGAGAAGACAGTCAATCGGATTATTTTGAAATTCTTTAGCTATTCTTTCTTAATTCTTAATTATATAAAATGCTAATTGCTATTATTTTATTTTAAAATTGCTTGCTTCATGCTTGCTATTTTTATTTGTCATTCATGCTTGCTATTGCTTGATTTTAGTTTAAAATTTTGACATTTGACAGTGACAGCACAACAGATGAGTGAAAAATATATTAAAAATATCAATCTGAGCCCAACTGGCGCACTTTGATAACTTTATGACAATTGGCAACACCTTTAGAGTTTAGACTTTAGGTTGTCAAAAGAGTAAATACGCAAGTTTTAACATTTAACCAATAACCATGACCTACCCTTTTTTTTTTTTTTTTTTTTTTTTTTTTTTTTTTTTTTTTTTTTTTTTTAACGTTGGGAAGTGCATTTACGCACGACGTGTGGGACTCACCGGCGTAATACAGCCAGTACTACCCACTAAAACCCAACAAAACCTTCCTCCGTCTTAAAGGGGCGTCGCAGGATCGCTTACGCATTCAACTACGACGCCCCGACGGCAGGTCCGCCGAAGCAGACCACCACAACCATGGGGTTGCTCCACAGTCCACTCTGCTATCAGAGAAGTACCAGGAGCAACCCGCATGGTACACCGCCCTCCGAAGAGGGCCACCTCCCACCGCCCACCGAAGTGGGCAACCTCCCTGTGCGTTTCTTAGCTTCGCTACTGCTACTGAGCCCCCCCACCACGACAAGGTGAACGCACGTTGGGGGGGAACCATGACCTACCCTACCCCAGCCTGCAAATTTATGATATTCGCAATGAAAAAAAATACTAATCGATAGATTTTTAATAGCTCAATTCAACTACGTAGCCCTTCCAAATTGCTCACCATTAATTATAAAATTAAAAATCAATAAAGTCCTTGAAAAAAAATTCATTTATCCGTATATTCAAATTTCTATATCTTTTAATATATACAATACTAGCATTGCCCGCGGCTCCGCCCGCGTTCAGATGACCAAAAACTAAATTCTTAGGTGTTACATATTAGTATACTCTTACATTGCAGTTTTTGTATTTTTCCTCAGAAATAAGATATTTTCCCGCGGTAAAAAGTATCCTAGGATCGCGCGCTACATCGCCCGGTTTATATAGCTTGAGCAGGCGGTCGAGCGATGCGGGGCAGAGGGGATGGACTCGCCGTAGGCATCTCAATGCTCGCCAAGCATTAAAAATGTTTCGCTACTAATTACTTCTAACAACGATATCTCAAAAACTATTCATCTGATTGATTTAGTGTAAAGAGCAATTTTAATCTGCATTAAATGACTAAGCTAACTAAAATATTCATTTGGATAAGGATTAATACCGAACTAAAGAAAATAACTTTGAAAATAACGTAATGTTTTTAATTAAAAATGTTAACATAAAAGTGGTTATTGTAAGTCAACCGTAAGAGATAGAGATATGCTATCGCGGACTTTTTTGTAGCATTTTTATAGATTTTGAATTCTCTAGTACATTACTTAACTGTATCTTTGCTAGTTTACGCGGCGTTCGCGTGGAAAGTTCCCATTTGGCGAGATTTTTTGCGACCTCTTCAACATTTGTCGCCGTATTTCAGCTAATTTACATAAAAGCATAATAAATTATATACCTAAACCTTCCTCAAGAATTACTCTTTCTATTGTTGAAAACCGTATAAAAATCCGTTCAGTAGTTTTCGAGTTTATCGCGTACAGACAGACAGGAGGACAGAAAGACGCGGCCGGGGGACTTATTTTTATAATAAGTATAGATTTTAAATTGCTCAAAGTTCTAAAATACTGCTCAAGTTGCATTTGTAATTGCTCAAGTAGAGTTCTCACCAGCTCCACTTTCCTTAATTATTAAATAAATATAAATAGTTTGAATAAATTTAACGTATAGATAGGTGAGTGCTGCGCATGCGCGCAAACAGTAACGCGAGTCGCAAGGCAAAAAAATCAAGTGTTTCATAACCTCATCATAGTGAAATGAAACTGTAATACTCCAAGCACAACATCATCTATTATCATCGTGCGCATGCGCACGCTCACTTAACCTACGTTACATTTATTACAACTATACTTTTAATTATTTAATAATCAGCGAAAGTGGAGCTGGTAAAAACTCTACTTGAGCAATTACAAATGCAACTTGAGCAGTGTTTTAGAACTTTGAGCAATTTGAAATATTGTATACATCAAAAGATATAGGAGTTTGAATATACAGATAAATTAATTTTTTTTCAAAGACTTTATTGATTTTTAATTAAATAATTAAAGGTGAGCAATTTGAAAGGGCTACGTAGTTAAATTGAGCTATTGAAAATCTATCGATTAGTATTTTTTTTATTGCAAATATCATAAATTTGCAGGCTGGGGTAGGGTAGGTATAACCATGGATGACAAATGTTATAAGTTATATATCTAGTATACTTATAACTATACTAGTATAGTATAACTATACTTATAACTCTAAGTCTAACTTGTAACTGTCACTGTCAAAAATAATTAAAAAATTCTGATCTGATAAACAACCTATTTTTTTAAATTAAAGTTGTCTGTAGTCTGTACTCTTTATTTATTTAGAAACTGTGCACCGACTGAGTTTTTATTAGGTGTCGGCTATTGTTTTTATAAAGTTAATTTTATTATATAAGGAATGAGCATAATAGAAAATGGGGGACAGTAAGAATAATGATGTTATAAGCGAGAAAATTATCAATGCAGCTAAAAAAAATCCGAAAGGAGTTTCTGCTAATGACATTGCAGCAGCAGTGCCTGAACTTTCATCTGCAGAACTTGTTGGTGCCATAAATAAGCTTTTACAACAGAGTCTTTTTGATTTATTTAATCAAAATGGGACACTACTATATAAGTAAGTTACAATCAATTCTGTATGTTATATAAAAACGAAATAGTAATATATCTCTTTAAATTTTTAATTTATAGATTGAAAAATCAAACATCTAAACAAGCCACAAAAGGAGCTGACAATGAAGAGAAAGTTGTATACAATCTCATAGAAGAAGCAGGCAATAAGGGTATATGGATAAGAGATATAAGAATTCGTTCAAATCTAGCTAACACTCAGCTCACGAAAGTATTAAAAAGTCTTGAAAGTAAAAAAGTTATTAAAGCAGTTAAATGTGTCAATGTAAGAGGATAGTAGTTAATCATTTTGTAAAGATCAGTTTGTCTTTTGATCTTATGAGACAATTATTAACACTTGTATTATTTTATAGGCATCCAAAAAAAAAGTTTATATGCTTTACAACTTAGAACCAGACCGCTCAATATCAGGAGGAGCATGGTATCAAGATCAGGACTTTGAATCTGAATTTGTTGATATATTAAATCGGCAATGTTTAAGATTCTTACAACAGAGAGCAGATAAAATAAAGAATAATCCTAGAGGACCTATAGTAGGGAGAACACAGTCTTACGCTACTGCTGCAGAAGTACAAAAATACATAACTGATTTAGGTATTAGCAAAGTTAGTATTAACTGATCCATACCACTTATTGTTAATATTAATTGATATTATTTAGCAAATATTAAACTTAATTTAAAAATTATATAATGGCAAATAACTTATTGACTTTCAGGTAAAACTAGAAGTTGAAGATGTTATTACAATTTTAGATACACTGGTTTATGATGGAAGAGCTGAAAGTAATGTATATCCAGATGGTAATAAAGTTTATAGAGCCATAGAATTTCTTATACCACCTCCAGGTTTAGTGCAAGTTCCTTGTGGAGTATGTCCCCTAATTCATAAATGTTGCTCTACAGGTTTAATTACACCCCAAGATTGTAAATATATTAGTGAATGGCTTGAACAATAAACAATTATAATAATTTAACTCTTTTATTATCTTCAAAATTTACTAAGTTTTCTAATCTAAAATGATGTTAAGCACATTTACTAATAATTATATGAATAAACATTTAAGGTGTATATAAATTGAATATGCTGAGTATGTAATATATAGATATATGGTACAAGTCACATTTTAAACACAATATAAAGATTGTTTTTAAATAACATGTATTGAATATCACATTTAACTTATAATATACAATACTTGTGACAACTAAAATATATCTTACAAAATATCTTACATTTAAACAATGGATTACCACAATTAAAAAAAACGTAAAATATACATAAATACATGAGAAATCAAAAAAAATTAAAATAAGCTTCTAAAGTTATTTTCTATGTTATGCAAAGCTTCTGAAAGTAATGCTGGTTCTCTTTTAATATGGGTTTGAGGCCTTTCAATATTTTCATTACTTGAAATTTCACTTGAATAATTAAAAATTGAACTAAAAACATCCATTTGGATATAATTTAGTGATTGTAGTATAACACCTTTATCTGGATAAGGTGTAGGAGATGAAGGAATACTATACTCCGTAATATGACTAATGTTTTGAGGTTTTGGGGGTGCTGGTGGTGGTGTTGGTCCAGTGGGTCCACTTGAAGGTGGTGAAGACAAAATAGGTTTTTTACCACCTGCAATTAAGATGTATATTATAAAATCTAATTAAAAAGTGTGTTAAATAAAATATTACACTATTTAAAATATTAATATGGACACATTACCCATTGAATGAATTATTCTCTCCATTTCTCTGAGCTGTGTTTGTTGTTGTTGAACTGTGAAGTATAAATCTGTTATTGTTCCAGTAATTTGTTTCATTTCATCCTCTCGTTTAGCTTCTTTAGCAGCTTCTTTTTTACTCTGTCTAAAAAAATATTAGTTTTTTAAAAACAACAGTATTAGATTGCAAGTTTAAGTTTATTTGTTAAAAACTACTAGATTCGAAAAAATTAGTTTGCCTGAGCAAAAGTGCTAAAAGGAAATCAATAATAAAAATTTACCTGTTGTATTCAAAAATCAGTAAACCAGCACCTATTACAAATATTACAGTTTCACCAAGAAGATTAGCTCCTAGTTCTATTGCCATCTCTTGGCTTAATACTGGAATGTTTACTGGTTTTCCCAAGTTTAAAATCCACATTTTTGCCTTAACTTCACACCAGTTATAAACTAAAAGAAAGCATACATAATATTTGTTAATTTATTTTATTATTTGTATACAGGCAACCAATTGAAACTCAAGTGTTTAACAGTTTTTAACATACATTGTGCAGGAGGCATACAGACGTAAGTTCTAAAAAAAGGATTATTTTTGGCTCTTTCCTTGCAAATATTAGCAATAGGCTTACTAATCTGTTTTACTAATAAAACTGATAATTTTGCAATCGGGAATGCACCCACTACCATGGTTGAAATTTTATTGATAACTTTGCGTTTATATATCAGGTAGTAATATTAAATTATTATTTAAATGGTTAAAAATTAAAATGATAACGTAACATGCGACCTTGCGCCATTCAGATTTTAGGCCATTGCTCATTAGAGTTTAGACATTTGGGAAAATATTGAACACAGACTAGACTCTAGAGATAGAGTAGCAACTAGCAGGGCTGTCAGATAACAGTCGTTGATTTACCCGACCAATAACCCTTAAAAATACCCGGCATATCCCGCCGACGCCAACCATGAGCAAAATACCCGAAAATAGATTTTTTTATTTTTTTAAATTCATGTTATAAATAGAATAGAAGAAAGTACTAACGTTAGAAAAAGAACTCATTGTAATCAGTTCTCAATTAAACAGCCTCAAATTATTAAATCAAACATAAAAAAATTCAAATATCAAATTAATCAGCTAAACTAAAATACCTTTTTTTTTTTAACGTTGGGAAATGCATTTACGCACGACGTGTGGGACTCACCGGCGTAATACAGCCAGTACTACCCACTAAAACCCAACAAAACCTTCCCCCGTCTTAATGGGGCGTCGCAGGATCGCTTACGCATTCAACTACGACGCCCCGACGGCAGGTCTGCCAAAGCAGACCACCACAATGGGGTTGCTCCAAGGTCCACTCTGCTATCAGAGAAGTACCAGGAGCAACCCGCAAGGTACACCACCCCCCGAAGAGGGCCACCTCCCACCGCCCACCGAAGTGGGCAACCTCCCTGTGCGTTTCTTAGCTTCGCGCCCGGTTGTATTGCCGGGCACTACTGAGCCCCCCCACCACGACGAGGTGAACGCACGTTGGGGAGGTAAACTTAAATACCTGCTTTGACCCCGCTTAATGCTAAATGCTAATACCCGTCAGAATTACCTGCCTTCAAAATCGCTTAAAATTACCTGCTTTTCGGGTAATTTACCCACCAATTGGCAGCGCTCTATAGTAGAGAATAGAAACGTTTTTGTTTTTTGACAGTTTTCCAGAGGTGCTATTGTTATTATTAACAAATAAGAATAAGAATTCGTGACTTTAGTCCGCTGTTTGCGGTACCACTGATCAGTTTTTTTTGCATTTTATAGTTATGTACACTACCAAATATGGCAAAACATTAAGCACAAACTTTGGCGATTTTACTTGTTATTTGCAGTTTTTCAGAAGTGAGTTCTCATATAATTCATGGTACATGTCCAGTTAGTTTTGTCTTATTTACACTAAGATGTCAAATAATTAAACTTAGAGAGGTTATTTAATATTTATTTGTGCAGTTTGTGTGAAAAAATACTTTTTAAAATTAATCTAAACTAATGATCACTTGCCTGTACTTCATTTTAAAATAATTAAGTGAATGGATTTACAAATCTGCCAAAAATCATATTTTGTCGCATAAAAAAAAGAGATACATCTGTAATACTTATTTGTCATCCATGTTATAATGTTATCTTCTTTATTTGTGTTCTGTAGTCAACGTGTGTTAATAATCTGTGATATAATATTGTGTGTACCGTTGAACCAAGAGCAACAAGAGTGTGTACCTGTACTATGGTTTAACTTTAACGACAATTGACAATTGTGTCACTTGACATGTTTTATAAGTTGTTCTTGTTGATAAATAACTGCTAGAGATTTTATTTGAAACTGTTTTACAATTTATAAACATTAAACTGTGGAAAAAAGATAACATAGATCAATATTTTTGAATTTCAGATTCAATTCAGACATAGTGTTTACCTTTGTATTGGAAATGTAATTTATTTAAAACACCAGTATTTATCACCATGAGACGATTATCTTTTTTTAAGTTATTTTTATTAATATTTTTTTGTGTAGTTCTATTATACATTTTCTCCTCAAAATATGAAAAAAGCAACATAAATAATGTAACAGTAACTAAATCCTGGTAAGTTTTAAACTTGTTAAGTAGATAAGGTAAAGGTAGGTAGTTAAATAATTTTAAAAATATTTTTGAAAAATTCTCTTTTTAAACATATGCTTACGTAGTCTGGTCATAAATACTGTTACAATTAATGTCTCTTCTTGTATTATAGGAATTTTCATAAGACAGAAAAAATAGTTGTATCATTTGTTGTTTGTGATGCAAGATTTAATGAATCCTTAAATGTTATTAAATCTGTTTTAATCTTCACAAAATCCCCTGTTTATTTTGTAATATTTTCTGAAGACAATCTAAGAAGTAAATTTAACGAAACCCTTACAAAATGGAAAAGTATTTTATACAGTCAACTTGAATTTGAATTGCAAAGGATAAAATTTCCAGAAGCACATGAAGAAGATTGGATGAATTTATTTAGTAAATGTGCAGCCCAGAGATTATTTATTCCTGTAAGTAAATAGTTATATATTAAACTACTTTATTTTTAAAACTCACTTTAAAATAAACTTTATTTAAAATTTTATTTTCTCAAATGTTATTTATAAATCTATACTAATATTATAAAGAGGCTAAGTTTGTTTGTTTGAACAACTTAATCTCAGGAACTACTAATCTGATTTGAAAATTTCTTTTTTCATTAGATAGCCTGTTTATTAAGGTAGCTGGTAGACTATAGGCTACATATTAACATCATGCTACTCATTAAAACATACCTTGGGACAAACCCGAGCGAACAAGGGTGAAGTTATAATGGTGCTTTATTTTGAAAATATAAAAAACATAAAGAAAGTCTGCAGTTTAGTATTGGGGACTCGGCCCCTGGCGGAGTGGGTGGTATTTTTGGATAGGTCAGCTAATAGGGAGTCCAAATATATAAAAATTATTTTGAGGAAACAAAAGAGTCAAAAGTTATTGAGACTTAAAAGTTACAACATTTTCATACATTATTTTGACATTACTACCATTTAGACACTCGGAAATGTCAAAACGTCACTTTCAATTGTCAAAATAATCTCTAGATTATTGTCTTTATTTGTACTTTGCGTGAAATTCGAATTTTCTAGTTTTCTAGTCATTTATGGCATTAGTTGTGGTAACTGTTCTAACCTAACCTAACCAAGATATGACGAATAATAAATAAATAATATTTTTCTATTTATTTATTTATTATATTTTTCTATTTATTTATTTATGAAATAGTATTTTTCTATTTATTTATTTATTAATATTACCAACAGAAATGGCAAAAATAATCAAATATAATCTGTTGTTATTTAAGCGGTAATGTACAGTGCTACAAGGATCTTTTGGCACTTACATGACAGTGACATGAGGGCGTTGGTGTGAAATTAGGGTTACAAGCTAATAAAATCTACTTAGTTTTAGGGAATTCTTTTAAAAACTATCTTTATATTCCGTAATTCAATTTAACTTAGGAAATGAAAAAAATAAAATTAAAAGTGAATGAAATTTAATTACTTAATATACAAATTATTTAATTAATATAAATAAATAAAACATTAATTTTTTTGCTGTAACTATGTTCTGCATGAACTATGTCAAGAGGTTGCATACTACTAAAGCTTTCCTCATCTTCATCGTGAGAATCATCATCGTCACTGCTTTCTTCACTCTCAGAGCATAATTGTATGAAAAAAGGTTCGTCCAAATATCCATCTTTTTTTTGATACTCTTTTTCTATTTTCTTGACATGGGCGCAATGATTGCGCCATTCATCGACAAGAATGGAATCAAAAGCATTCTGTACCATTTCTGGCATTTGATTGGATGGCTTTCCAATATTTATCTCGGCTACTTTTCGTTTCATGGATGCCCAGACCATTTCAATGGGATTAAGATCACAATGATAAGGTGGTAAACGTAATATCTGAGAAAAAAAAGCAAAATTAAATAGTTTACTCACCCATACTTAAAATATTGTTTTAAAAAATAGCATAATAAGAAGACACTTTATTAGTGCCTCAATGGGTCTAGTAGAGCATTCAAGCTATAATTACCTTGTGACCCAGTCCTGTTAAAATAGCATCGACGGAATACACTGGTTCGGGTTTGTTTTTATTTACAATTTCTAATAGTTGTGGTCTAGTATATTCTTCTGAATATTCTAAATTATTTATTCTTAACCACTCAATTATTTCATTTTTTCTTGTGCTTGTGTTTGGGTGTTTATTAATTCGTGTGTTATGATATGGAGCATTGTCCATTATAATTAGACTGGGCTCCATCAAATTGGGAGCCAACTTTTCTAAAACCCATTTATTAAAAATTGTGTTATTCATGTCTCCATGGTAATCACCACTCTTTGTTTGTGATTTAAAAACCAAACAAGCATTGTTCGCAAAGCCTTGATTACCTCCGGCATGAACAATAATAAATCTTTGTCCTTTAGAGATGGGCTCTAATACTCCATCTGAAATTGATTTTTGAACTATAAAACAACTATAATACAAGCAGAGTAGAGTCTTAGAATAAATATTAATAATAGATAAATACATATGAAATTAGTCAAAAAAGATTTAAAAATATATTACTCATTAATATTTCAAGATATTTAATTAATTAGCCAATACCTTCATCATCATTCTGCCAACATTTTCCAGCTGTATGACCGGTGTGAATATATGTCTCATCTAAGCAAATAATAGGAAGTTTTTCTGTCTCATCATTATACTTTAAAGTCTGAAATAAAATAATTCAACGGTTTGTGAATTGGTGTGGCAGTTTCATAAATGTTTCCATTTGTTCTTATTAACTTTTTTTATAATATTAAAGACTATAAAAGTACATGTACCCATACCTGCAGATAACGAGCGCGCCAAGCAGTTATATCGTTACGTTCTATCAGGACTTTTCTGTTGCTTTTACTTTTTCTAAATCGAAAACCAATCATTTTTATATGTTGTCTGAGAATTTCTCGACTGCCTGTGAATCCTATCTCTTCTTTAAGTACATGTAACAACTTATGCACTGTTGGTATTTCTTTTTTCCAAGCATAAAATTCATGTATCTTTCGTCTAAGAATACCAATATCGAAATTGTCCATTACAATTTTATCCTTTCTCGTTTTTCTACTTTTCCCTGGTGTAACTATTTTACTGGATGATGCTTCAGCCAATCTGCCTTCATTTTCAATTCTTACAACTGTTCGTAAAGATATACCTGAAATCGTATTTTTTTTTTAAATTTGAAGGACAAAATATGTTTCTTAAGGATACAAAATATGAATTAGTATTCTTGGTAATAAGTAATAACGGGAACACTTACGAGGTATAGTATGTTACCTGTTGCAGCTGCGACGCGCTCATTTACTCTTTCAAATGGAATAATCGGAGCGCCAGATTGCTTTTCTTTCATAAAAAAATCCTTTATTTTTAGCACCACCTCTCTAACACCACTTCTTATTACCTTTGGCATATTTGGAGATATTTATAATGAAATAAAAGCACGACAAACTTATCAACTCCAGCTATCTGTCAAAAGTGACGCTTTACAAGATCCGCCATCTTGTCTGTTAGTTCCGATTTCGGCCACACGCCAAAAGATCCTTGTAGCACTGTAAAACAAAGTGACGGTTTCGCTTTTGTCAAAATGTAAGAGTATTTTGTTTGTGTTGTTGTGAAATTATTAAAATATTAAATACAATAAAGCATTAATTGTTGTGAAATTATGTATTGTACATAAAAAAGGATGCGTACTATTCGTTAAAGGTATGTTTATCTGTTGTAATCACTTATTTAGGTAAAGAAATGTATGGAAATGTGTTAGATATGTTATAACTTTCAGTCTCAATAACTTTTTACTCGTACGTTTCCTCAAAATATTTTTAATATATTTTGACTCTCTGTCACCTCCCCTATCTAAAAATACCACCCACTCCGAATGGTGGTAAAGAAATGTATGAAAATGTATGGAAATGTTGTAACTTTAAGTCTCAATAACTTTTGACTCTTTTGTTTCCTTAAAATATTTATTAATATATTTGGACTCCCTATCACGTCCCCTATCCAGAAATACCACCCACTCCGCCAGGGGCCGGGTCCCCAATACTAAACTTGTGCCTAAAGAAATATGTAACCTAGAATATAACATTAATTTATTTTACATTATTTGTGAAAGAGTGTTACGATTTCATACTAATCAGTTGAACTAGTTTTAATTAGATTTGTCTGGAAAAGTATTTTAGTTGGGTTTGGTTAGTCTGACTACACTGACATTTAATTTAAATTTAAGATGTAAAATTGACGATTCAAAAGAGCTTCTAAAAGTCTATTTGAATAAAGTATATTTTGATTTGCTTACGGACAAGTTAGGGCCAAATCCATACTAATATTATAAATGTAAAAGTGTGTCTGTTTGTTTGGTCTTCTTACACGTCGAAACAGAGTGACTGATTGGCGTGATTTTTTTGGAAATAGTTGGAGGGCTGGACAGTGGCATAGGCTACTTTTTACCCGGGAGATTATCTCAGCCCCAAGGGGTAAACAACCCAAAAAAATGTTTATTATCAGAATTACTTGAAACTTGTTGTTAATACTATTATTATAAATGTGAAAATGTGTTTGTTTGTTTGGCCTTCTTTCATGTGGAAACGAAGTAACGGATTGGCGTGATTTTTTGTGTGGAAATAGTTGGAGGGCTGGAGAGTGACATAGGCTACTTTTTATCGCGGGAGATTACTTACTTCCCACGGGAAAACACGTTATAATATAATCCAAAAATAGTTATTATCAGAATTACTTGAAATTTCGTATATATACTCTCTTCAATAAAATTAAATAAATACGTGTTTTAGCATTTTTCAAAATTCATCCTATAATAGTGTGAAATAGGGGATGAAAATTTGTATGAAACTACCTTTTTAGAGATTTTTTTGTAGTTTTAGCGCGAGTTTTTCTGCTAGTATTTTATATTATTCAAACATTGAAATCAACATAGTTGTGAATTGGCTACATTACTACTTGATTTTGTTATATTATTTGGTTAGAATCGTAACTTTTTTAAATAAAATGTTTTTGAATTTTTTGTTTTAGAAATTAATACCTCATATAGATTCCATGATATATGTGGACACTGACACATTGTTCCTTGGACCTATTGATGAGCTATGGCAAACTTTTAGAAAGTTTAATAGTTCTCAAATATCAGCAATGGCTTTAGAAGATGATAACCCAAATGTTTCCTGGTATCCACGTTTTGCTAAGCATCCCTTTTATGGAAAATATGGTTGGTAGTTTTTTTTACAAAAACAAATTCAGATTTTAGTTATCTTGCTTTGGTTAATATTGCGAAAATCTTTTTAAGTCCTTAAATTTTTATATATCATATAAAATTTATATATAAGCTGTTAAACTTTAAGTTATGTGACTCAATATATTTTATATAACATAAAGGATGCAAATTAAGAAATTTTATATTTTATTAGGTTTGAATTCAGGAGTTATGCTTATGAACTTAACGAGAATGCGAGATTTTGGATGGGTAGAATATGTTACGCCTATCATGTTGAAATGGAAATTATATATTCCTTGGGGAGATCAAGTAAGTTGTCGCTTGTTTCTATTTATAAAGTAGACTTTATTAAATTTTTTTGCAAAAAATTGCATGCATAAGATTAATAAATAACCACTATTGTAACAAAAAGGAAATTTTAAAAGGCGTTTTATCTTTACTAATATTATAAAGAGGCAGAGTTTGTATAAACGCGCTAACCTCGCTACTAATCCAATTTGAAAAATTATTTTTGCATTAGATAGCCCATTTATTGAGGTAGGCTATAAGTCTATGTATCATACGACATATAGTCTGTCTATGCTATACTAACCGTTAAAACGTATCTAGGACGACCCCGAGCGAAGCGAGGGTGAGTCGCTAGTCAGTTTATAATTGGCAAAGACATAGCGTAACATACATGAATAAAACATACAATATATTAAATATAACATAAAGAACTTTCTTATTTCTTGAAGTCAGTCTAATTGCCATTTTAAAATTGCCTATTTGTGTTAATATGGTTTCATAATGATGTAGTAATGGCTCCTGTTAATTATAATCGTAAAATTCACTGTTTTCTGATTTTTTAGTTTGTATACAAATGTACACAATTACCCAGCTGATCGCCAAATTTCAACTTTTTAGGTCATCTGATAGTGGGCTGGGTTTTTGATCTATATGTCAGTCAGGCAGTGATAAAAATGCCGATTTATAGACGTTAATATTTCAATAACTGTTTGACTTGTATTTATGATATTTGGGGTTCTAGTTAATATTAGGGGGTTTAATAAGTGAACCAAACATGTGCTTATGAAAAATAGATTTTGAGTAACTAAGCAGTCAAAAGTGGCTCCAAATGGTTCGCGTGTGTGTAATACACGTTGTTGCGTCGCCAGTTCGTTTGAGTTGAACTTGCCTGGACACGCTACCGCGTGTCTTGACACAAAGGTTGATTTATATCTATTGCTTAACTAGCGACTTAGCCTTGCTTCGTTCGATGGTGCCTATCCGCGTATTAATTTTCATCCAAATCTGTACAGCCATTCCATTGTGACCAATAGTGAAAGATACACACACACGCATACAAACGTTCTCATTTATAATAATAGTCCGATATGAAAACTTTTTTATTTTTAATAGGATATAATAAACATAATATTCCATTACCATGAGCGAGCCGTGCACGTCCTATCGTGTCGGTACAATTACCGATCAGACCAATGTATGTATGGCGACGCTTGTGCAGATGCTACGGAATCAGGCGTTTTCATCATTCACGGCAGTCGACGAGCCTTCCACAACCACAAACAGCCTGCTTTTGAGGTAGTTTTAGGTTTTATTTATTAGTAAACCGGCCTCGCTTAGTTTAGGTCCCTACCATAATTCCTAATTATATTTAATCCCTCTACGACCGCGGACACGCCGGCGTTACAGTTAACAATAGATTTCTTGGAAATTTAATTAATTTCTTAGAAATTTAATTAATTTCTTAGAAATTTACCTGGAGGTGTAATACCCCAATATTAAACGAGAACTACTTACTGAGATTAGCCATGTACGTCAAGAGTTGAAATTGAACGTATACGCGCGAACATAAGTGTGTGTGAAAACATATTGTGTGTGCTAGCGAGAATTTCTTTAGAGAAAAACCCAATTTATAAACTTGGCCCGATCCTGAAATCGAATCGATGATCTTTGGTTCTGAAGTCACTAGACTAGATCGAGAAGGCGAAATCGGATTAGGTATACATATTTATTCATGATGTAAAATTACGTCGTTATTTCTGTTAAATGAGTCAGGTTTTATTGGTCAGGAAGACATTTCACATTACATTAATATAAAATTAGAATGTTCCTTACGGTCGTTTCCCTCACTGATGTCCACTAAGCTGTGGTCTGCTTGTTTGATTGACAAACCTATACTTTTCTGAATGCAGTAAATTCAATTTCATTATAAAATTTCTTCCATTTTTTGTAATGTAAGACAAACTTTTTTCTGTAACTCTCTTGGTCATTTTTCTATACTAATATTATAAGGAGGTAAAGTTTATGAGTTTTCGAGGTTGTAGGGAGTAATCTCTGGATCTACTGAACCGATTTAGATGAAATTTGGTAAGATGATAGTTTGAGGCCCTGGGAAGGATATAGGATACTTTTTATCCCGAAAAAATTATAAGGGATGACCCTTAAGGGGGAGAAAATGGGGATGAAAGTTTGCATGGTGAATCAAGCTAGTTACGTTACAAATGTAGTAAATAAATAAAAATGACTTTTTTTTCAGGCAATTTATACGGCCATCGACGAGTATGAAATCGGGACTGATCCAATGAAAATGTTGACAAATATGGATAAATATTTAACCGATGCACCTCAATCGCACTGCGGTAATCTAAAGGACGCTTTTCTCAAAGTACCTCAACAAACATTGACAAAAATGTATCCGAGACCTGATAGATAATAGTATTTAAATTATAAAATATACATAGTATTCCGGGACCTAAAAATATTTATTACTAATACATTCTAGATAATTATATATTCTTATCAAAAGACAAACTCTCCGATATTATTTTTATAATAATAAAAACATTTTTCAATAACTCTCTATAGTTCGAAATGAACTACAAATTTCTTGTTCGTTCAAAAATAATGAGCATTATTCTGACATTGCTTATATTATTTGCATTGACATCACAGTTAAATGCTGTTCTTATTATCTTTAGTTTGTTATTTTTAACCTATTACCTACGTAATAGGATTTTAGCTATATTTTTTTGAGCTCTCTACATTTCAGCACTATTGTAAACGCCATGACCCCTAAGCGAATTTTTTACTGTATTAATTGCCTATACTGCAGTTTTCGATCTATTATAAGGTAGTTTATTTTCTTCGTATTTACATTTTTAATTATCTATTCTCATTCTCATTTGTTCATTCTCGATCTTTTATCTGCCAGTGAATTGCGCGTAGGTTGGCATCCTCATAACGAAAGGCTTCTTGCACACTACAATGTACAGAAACTTATAATGTCAAATTATAAAAAAATAAAATTAATACAATCGAAAAAATGCCATCTCAAGTAAATTGAGAGTGTCAGTTAAACGCGTACTATTTGACATCTAGGTACATATTATGACAGTAGCTGGCATGAGCAAGAAGCTGCTAAGCAAGTGTATTGTGCGAGTTAGTGTATGTACCAATGTACACATCTAGTACACGTACCTATATTTGCCTGCCTTAAATTACTCATTAGTTCTTTGTAGATTTAAATTATGTTATTAATTTTCGCATATGCACAAATCTTAGCGCACAGAAGAAGATATACCTATAGCCTTTAATATTACTTAGCCTTGATATTGAGCCTAACGACTTACTCTTGCTTCGCTCGGGTGCGTCCCCCTACATGCAGCGATGGTACAGTTCAATAGATCTTTTTAATAGGAATAATTCCGTAATACATTGTTTTCATATAGTTATATTAGTTACGCGCCGCGCTCCAGTAAAGTTAAAGTCGGCATGATTCTTTCTGACATCTTCTGACAATTATCGTTATATTTCAACTAATTTACACAAAACCTTAATATTATACGTCTAAACGTTCCTCATGAATCACTCCATTCATTGGTGAAAATCGTATGAAAATCCATTCGGCAGTTAGAGTTTATCGCGTTGTGACACACAGACGGACAAGCAGCGCGGGGACTTTGTTTTATAATATGTAGTGATATGGGATTATTGTTGTGTTCTTTTAAATATTTTATTACTAAAAAATCAGAATTTTGTTGCTCGGATTGCAAGTAAACTTAAATAGGTATAGATTCCAAACGTTTTATAATTTTGTAAAACAATAATAAATAGCCAAGAATAAATTTTACCAAATATTAGATTTTAATAGTTTTAACATACCCGTTACATTAATTCCAAAGCACAAAATGAAAGTTCTGTTATTGTATTTTTTATTATTGTCACGTTATTCATTCATTGTTACTTATAATTTTTACTCTAAGAAGTGTTTCTTTATTATGAACGCATGTTTTTATTAAGCTAAGTAATAGATTTGAAGACAGAATTATGCAGAATATTTTAATATTAATAAGTAATTTATTAACTAATAGTTTTAAAATGTTGTACCTTTAAAAGCATTTGACATTTGAAATTGTATGTGATCAAAAATTATTAACGGCATATGAAGTATTGCACTCGAATTCCAATTTATTATATTATTATTAAGTTACCTCTACACTCTACAATTTAAATTTAAGGCCCATATGAGGTTCGTTCAAAAATAACTAGAATTTGTCTCTTTTGCACGCAAAAATAGCCGAATTTCTAAGGGCCAAAGAATACATATTCATATATTTACGTAGAAGCTCATAAGTTCAGATAGTAACCTGAAAACGTGGAGGCGATAGTAGGTATTTAATATGATTGCACCAGAATTTATTCTTTGTAAGAGCATTGCACGCCACGTTTTATAAACGCGCGTATTCTGCGTCGACAGTGCGTTAAATAGTCGTGGTGTGCACAGACCTTAAGGAGTGCATATGAGTGACCGTTTGACCTTGTGGTGGACGTTATAAATTCTTTTTATAAGTTTTCGACAAGTACTTAATCTAGACCCAAACACTCACAACTTGTTTGTGTGTTAAAAAGAAAAAATAAATATCTAAATATAAAAACTAAATAATAACTAAATATATTAATAATATTTTCAACCCTATTTTCTGTCGGTGATGAAAATACGTGATTAAAATTTTAATAGTTACCTCCTCGTTCAAATGGAGAAAAATTCTGGTCACTTTTGAACGAATCTTGTTAAGGATAATTATTATAATAATCGTATTTTTATATATTATTTTATGAGCAATGAATTTATGTATTCTAGTTTCTTTAGTAATTCGATAGTGTAAGTATATACGTTCTAAGTGTGCTGCCATTATGTAATATATTTTTCAGTGTGGTTTAGGCCACATTTATTTGCTGATAACCAATTCAAATTAAAAATATTTAAAACTGTTTTAAATCTTAATTTAATTTTTTGTTTATTAAATATTGAAATTGATTTAAAACGCTTAACATTGCTGAAATTAATTTTTTAATATTTTTTGAATAAAGTACCTGTACATAATAAATCCTTTAAAGTTAAAATATATTTTTATTCACTTTTTAACATTTATCTATTTTTATTGAAATAACAATTTTTATCTATGATTTTTATATTGATGTATTTCTTTGAAACTATCATGCTCTCAACTTGATGTTATTAGGACGTGAAACTTTAATGTCATCCCATGTTAATAAAATAAAAAAATCTCACGATATCATAATCATAACTGTTATATAATTCTATTTTTAGTGTATTTTTATATTTGTATGGTGAATTAAGAAGATAAGGCTCTCTAAGGACTTTTTTTATATTGGAATATGAACACCACCACCTAGTTCCATTGGCAAGCTACGAGGCTTGTGTTATGGATATCAGATAGTTGATACACTACACATATATAACTTTAAATACATAAATAGGTATTATAAATATAAACACCCATGACTGGAGTACAACATTCGTGCTCATCACACAAATGAATGCCTCCAGCGGGACACGAACCCGCGACCGCTGGCACAGCAAGTAGGGCATTACAAACTGAGCCAAACGTGTCGTCTTATATAGACGAGACTTATTTTTTTAGAGCGCCGTCGATGCGCGTCTCATGAAAACACGACGCTCTGCTTGCTCTGCGCTGAATGAAAAATGTTTATTCACGTCTCGACTACACTCGTATCATGAACGTACGTCTTCTGCACATACATATTATCCGCTGATAAATTAAAAAAAAGTTTGCGCTCATATCAATACAAACGTGCAACAAGCAAGTGTCGAACAACGGCCTTGTCGGCGCGTAATAAAGTCGTGTACATACTCTATTTAAAAACTCCAATAGGATCACATCAAAAGCGACAAAAACCACATAGAAACCAATAAATATTTATTGGTTTCTACTAATAAATATTTATTGGTTTCTATGTGGCTTTTTTCGCTTTGGATGGGATTGTATTGGAGTTTTTCAACAGGTTAGGTCCTACGTCTGAAGTATCTGACGTATTATTGTCCATACGTAGTATATATATTAGCGACTTACCCTCGCTTCGCTCGGGTGCGCCCCTAGGTGCGTTTTAATTTTTTTGAGCGGAGTACCCTAATTCTTTTTCTAAAATAAAAGTAGCCTAAGTTACGCCTTATAACATTAGCTATCTGCCAGTGAAAGTCTCGTGAAAATCAGTCCTGCCGTTTTGGAGATTAGGCGGAACAGACATTCACACAAAAATAAAAAATATATCTTTTTCTTAGTACCTTATCCAGGGTTCTTGGTAATACGCCACGATCCCATTAAATAGGGTTATAGTAAAAGACATTAGCTATCAAACGACCCCCAAAGTGCTTATGCAAAAGTGTATCGTTTTCGAGTTATGATTTTTTCTTTTTTTATAAGTAAAGGGGGTATGCGATTTTAAAGATTAATTAAAAAAAGAACAATGTATTTCATCATATATTTTTTTATATGTTGCTATTGCACATCGTTGTTAATAATAACCAGTAGGTAACAAAACAAAAACAATTTTCTAGCATTTTAAAATTAGAGCCCCAAACCAAGCCCGAAACTGCCCACAACTGTATAACTTTTGGATTTTTAATTTTAATTCTTTGAATAACTTGCAAATTTTCTGTAAAAATTCCTATGACACTTATTCTGCGGATCATTTAAAAACATCTACGTATCGTTAGCTATCCATCGGTACATAAAAGTTACAGAAAGAATCATAGAGTCAAGAAAAAATGACACAACAAAGAGACCAGGTGGAAAATTTTAACAAATGCTATTGTTAAGGAATTAAATCAGGATCAAGGTAAAAACTACTTAAATGCAAAATAGTTAAAGATTATTTTTCAATAGGGTTAACAGATAAAAAAGGAGAGATAAACTAGAGCTGTTTGTGCAATGTTTAATATACAGAGATATTATGTAACAATAAAATTGTTAGCAGAGGTGGACTTATCTCTAGAAGAGATCTCTTCCAGTCAACCTAAGTGAGTTAGAGAGATTAAAAAGCAGACTAATATAATATAATATATATATATATATATATATATATATATATATATATATATATATATAAATGACAGCTTATCAGATTAATATTTTTCATGTTTCATTTGTAAAAGTATATATATACTTCCCTTTCCTGTGTAAAATACTTTCTTTTTATGTGCATCTAACTATACTAGACGCACAATTTTTTCTTTTCATTCTCTTTGTACTTATTAGTCGTTTCTCTCTCTTAATTTGTACTACTCCTTTGTTTTTTTCTATCTTCGTCACTAGAATCGAACTGCATAACTTTTTTACTAATATGTTTTGCTACTTTCACAAGCTTATTAATTTTATCTTGTTGACGTTGCTCGATATATTCTTTATTTTTAATTCTTTTTCCAGTGAAAATCTTATTTACCCCATAATTGGGAGTTAAACGTAGCTTGCCAATGTGTTTTATCTTTTCGCATAATATCTATGTAAGATTGCATATGGATTACTTTTCGAGTTTTACAACTTTTCTAATTTTGTTGCCCGTAAAACAAAGACAATGGCATTTTGTCTATTCAGTTATTCAGTAGTAAGACCAATTTGAGTCTTTCTCTTTCGGTGCCGTGCTATGTTGTAAATCTAAAACAAAATTTATTATTACATACTATAAATAAAATAGTCTAATCAAGTCGAAATTTAGTGTGGAGTACAGTGGATCGCCAATCCACTGTACCCCACATAGAAATGGCCCACTGTTCCCCAAAGCACCACTAACAACTAAACAACAAATTCCTATAACTTACATAATCTATACGAATCAAACAGCTATTTATTTCCGAAGCTTATTAGATTATTGTTTAGGTAATTTAAAGTAAGTCATTCAATATTAAACATTTTCGTGAATAAAACACTCGAGTAATAGTAGTAAAAAAATAGATTTGATACTCACGGATAGCCAAATGGCGGTAACACATCCTTCAACAGCGAGAGCGTGATGGACACTGGCGGGGTAGAGGTGTAAGTACTAAAGCACATACGTTCCATTATTGTGGTACGTGTATAGAAAGCATAGGCAAAGAGAAGTAGCCACTCATTCACTGTGTACTACGGCTCACTGTACCCCCCTTTCCCCTACCTATTATTACTGTACGTCTTGTGAAATAAAGGTTTATGTCTACTCTGAGTATAATATATTATATTAACCTAAAACGAAGTTCATATTATTATTATTTAATTATCACCGACCAATCTCTTTCGTGTCTTCTCCATTCTACGTGACATTGGCGAAGTAATCAATGCTCAACCTCAATGCCAAACACTCTGAATCTTATGGTATGAGTATTATTCCGATCGGTTTAGTAGTTATCGCAGTATAACCGAACAAAAAATCGGCTCTCCATTTATTAGTATAGATAAATATAATAAAACGGTCACTTAGCTAAATCTGTACAAGAAAAATTTTGTTAAAATCAATAATTAATTACACAATTACACAATAGTAACGTATTAAGTACACAATATAGACCCCAAAACAAAAGTTATTAAAAAAAATGATGTTTGTATGTCTGTTTGTGTGTGCGCGTTTCACGTAAAAAGTAATGAACCCGTTTTAACTTTCGCGAAGTGATAATTTGTTACTCGGTTGAACTTTTACGACAACTTTTACTTCATGAGTAGCTTAAATAGGGGGCGGCATGATCAGAATGCCTAGTCAGCAATGAAAATTTCTGATTATTAATTTTCATAACAACCCGATAGAATGTGCTGGTAGTGATTTTGTGACAAATTATTAATTTTCTCCATTTCATGATGGTACACAATACTTATTGTGAAATTTTGCCGCACTTTTAAAATAACACCCCCCTCCCCCTCTACCCGCCCTCCCTACGCTACGCCACTGAATTAATAAATACTAGGAAAAAAAAGGTAATTTGTAACTATTTGTTTGTAAGTCTTTACTGAGGGATGTTGTCAGGCTTCACATTAAAGTATAAGCCGATTTCACGTAATGTCCATAATCCAAAGTCCAACTACTAGAATACTTTAAAAAAAAAACTTAGTTCATTGTTATTTATTTATTTTATTTTATATAGGACTGTTTGGTGTGTTAGCCTAACCCAAAAATTATAGAGATTATGTAACGTTTTAAAAAATGGTTAATTTCTGTCTTGGCCCTGGAGTAAATAAGCCGTATGGTAAATTTAAGAAGCAGTATACTACTATAATAAACGTTCCTGTAATTGGATACTGTTCCTTTTTTCTATCATTAGATCTTATCACATGATTAAAAAAAATATAATTTACAAAAATAAAAAAACTGACCCCCATACCTAGTAGTATGCAGTCGGAGACATACATACAATACGTACGTAGCAAAACTCGCAGCTAGTATAAAACATGTACCTATGTACCTACATATTATGTCCCCGACTACATACTACCACAGATCACATATTACTATACTAGACTCTGTTCTTTCATCATCTTGTTAACGTCTGTTTAACACTTACTATACGCAGTCGGTTTTTTTTCATTTTTGTAAATATTTTTTTATTAACTTACATTTTTTTAGTTTTGGTTAAACGAAAACTTATGAGTAGGTACCAAATATTAAAAAGCTAAGTCATTTTAAAGATTTGAATATTATGTATGTTATGAAATAAAAGCGTAAAAACATGACATGCTTTATAATTTATATCAAGACACTCGAGCAGGATCGCCTGGGTCCGCGTGCACTTTGTATCCAATTAACGAATTATACGAACTTCTTTGTGTGCCTTCGTCTCGCAAGTTGCGACCTTTCCTTGCGTTGTAACTATGATACGACGATTGCTCTCCAGATTCAATAGGTGTGTCAGCGGCTAAAGGAACGGTCGTCTCATCACTCATAAAGATGAATAAAATATATTTTACCGTTGCGATTGTATTAGCAGTTGCGATAATTTCTGTGCGAAGTAACGAGACACCCTCAGAACAATGCGCAGGTGAGAAAATTCTACATACTTAAATATTCTCTCACTGTCTAATATATTAATGAAATATTAATATATTAGACAGTATTAAGTAAGCAATTACTTTAAATATATATTCTGTTGTATTCTTTGTAATGGAGTGTAATTTATAAATTAAATCTAATTATTAAAAAATCTAATTCTAAATATAAAGGCTCGAAATTAGATTAAAATTTTTTAAATGAATTTAGCAAGCAGTTTAAGTATTTTTATTTACGCAGGTAAAATTATATACTACGCGCTAAATTATGAAATACCTGCGTAATAAAAATACTTAGAAATTAAAATTAATATAATTAAAAATTATAGACGTTCTGTAGAAGTTGATCCGAATAGAAAAATATAAAAAAAAGTAGGAATTAAATTTTAAATGCAGATGTCGGGCTAAACGAAGCGCATATTCATTTAAAACACTAAAATGTGAAAAGGTTTATATATAAAACTGATCTTTTTTTTAAATTTCTTAATTATTAATTATTATAGTTATTGAATTATTAGCCTAAAACTAAATACCTTCTTTAATCTTTTATTTATCTTTATTTTTTTAATAACTTGTGCAGTTTTTTACATGCTGAAAAATCATTGTACATTACAATTCAGGATCCAATGATGTATCGAAGGTATCGCACATATTTTTAGGAGCTTTGTCTGTAATTTTCACCATTTTCTACTTGTGGTCTAGACTAGTAACCGAAACATATTTTGAGTGAGTATTTTTGTGTATAGGTTTTTAGAAATGTGATAGATGTGTACTGTTTTATTGTAACTAATAGTTGATGAATACATTAGCACAAAATTCTGAAAGAAATTTGAAAGCACTTTCTAGGAAAATTATTTTGATCAAAATACATTGAATACTTTTTGAGCCTTGTTAGCATTGAGGCTATAAATTTAACTTCACTTGTCCCTGTATCTCTGAGGCATAATTGAGAAATTCATACTTATCTTTTTTATATAGAGCTTTAAAATTAATGTGTAAATATTTTATTTTACTTAACCTTGAAAGTTGAAATATAACACAAGAATGTCTAGAGTTATGGAATGCAGAATGCTTGACGCGCGGTTCAGTTGCTCGTTTACTTTAAGAACATAAATTATTAAATAAATAATAAAAATAATTAAACTAAGGAACTACTAAAACTACTTATTAAAAAAAGAAACTAAAATCTCTATCGCTTTTTCACTACACACGAAAAACGGACCTTCACCAAAGGTTCTCTATTGGACTTGACAAAAGAAACCAAAGAAACCCAAATTCACGGGGCCCATTATAGTAGCCATTAAAAAGTTACATTTTACATTTCCTGTTCCATTCAGGCCCGCCACTATCTGTTTGAATTTCGATAATGCCGTTCTCTATTTCAGCTACTGGGATATGGTTACCAAAAACTTCATTATTGAAGTGAAACCTCTTTAGTATCGTGATTTGAAACTCGATAAAACTAAAATGCGACACTAGAAAGAGACAAACACATAAATATATAGGATTAAGCCGGCGCGAGAATGAGATAGAATACATTACATAGGAAGGGAACAATAATACTGAATAATATGTAACGTAATATAATGTGTTAAATAAAATATAAAATAACTTTTAAACTTCGTAAAAAAAACTGAACTAATTAGGTACTTATAAAAATGAATATTTATTACTGAGGGATGAATGTGCATAAATTAAATAAAAATTATTATGACTAATTGTGGCCATGGTAACCGTTGTCATTGTCTGACAAATATGTAATATTATATTCTTTCGTTTTTTATGATATTCTATAAAAACATGATTGAAATATGCCTAATATGCCTTATTTAATTATTGATTTGTTTTAAATTAATTGAGATATTTAACATAGAAGTTTTACTTCAACCTCGCGTAAAGGTTACAAGCACCCATTTTTTTTTAATTGAAGGTTATTTTTATTACTTTCTTGCTAATTTATAGGGTTCCATAGACAATTGATTCAAACGGAACCCTCATAATTCTGTTCTGTTATATCCATCTGTCCGTATGTCACAGCCATTTTACTCGAAGACTAATTAGAGCTACATTGCTAAAATTTGTTAGGTACCAAGGTGCCTCATGTAAACCGCTAGTTAATTATGTAGCCTTACTACAAAAAAAATGAGGGTGGCACTCTGTATTATATTAGGGGTATAAAAAAGTGTCAAGTCCACATAAGCGAGTGAGGTATCTCAATATATAAAATAGATAGGACTTTATTGTTTAAGTCAATATTTGCATGTTTAATATGTTTCTAAAATTGTAAACATTATGTCCACCGCCCTTAGACTTTTGATGTAAGTGGCAGTAAATTCTGAAATCATTTGAGATAATAGAGCTTCCACAATAGTTTTAGGAAAATTATTTTGAAGAAGATACGTTTTATAGTTTCTGAGATATTATTTCTGTTTGACGCGTTCGACGGCACAATTAATTTTGTTTTTTTATCATTTATGCCTTAAATTTATTGAATATCGTAGATTATTTTATAAACTAGCTTATCACGAGATGGCACTACAGTGCTTCGAACTTGAAACCTTTGGCCATAAAAAGTGATATTTAGTATTTGACAGCCTTTCCGTTCAAATCAATTGGCGATCGCCTACTGTACCTTTTATGCTGTGGTACTACTATGGCAAACAAAGTTCATTTTGCCTCCAAACACGGAAAATATCACATACCTACTTATATCAAAAACTTCTTCTTTCAAACTATCTTCTTTAAGTAATTTTTGTTGAAAGTATTTTATAAGCTCTATTATCATAATTTTTTAGAACTTTCCACCCCATACTTCAAAAGTCAGACACAGACACAAGACTTAATGTTTACGAATAAAAAGCAAAAATACTCTGCAACTATTGGCTTAAACAAAAAATTTTGCTCAGAAACATCTATATGAATTTTAAATATCTGTTCATAATTACCCCACATGCTTGTATTCACCCTTATTAATAAGTCACGGCTGGGTATGGGCCTCCCTTTAATGCGAGGGAGAACAGGCAGTCCACCACGCTGACCAAGAGAGGGTTGGCGGCTTACTAGGTTTCTTTGACATGCAGGTTTTCTCACGATGTTTTCCTTCACCATAAGGCAAGTGGTAATATTTTTTTAAATAATTCCTCATTATGAGATTATCAGAGAGATTATCCCGCTTCACTCGATTTCCCGAGCGAGCGCGTCACCACTGGCACCTGCAAGTGCACACTTATGTGGACATCAAAAATTCACCCCTCAGTTAACAAGTATGGAGTGCCAACCCTATAATCTTAATTCTAATTTTTAGCGGTTTACGAGACACCTATCTTCTAAGTTACAGCAATGTACCTCTAATAGTCTCCGAGTAAACGGAACCCTTATTTCCCCATGTCTGTCAGTCCGTATGTCACAGCTATGTTACTCGAAGAAAATAGGAGCTACATTGGCTGAGATATGATAGGTAGCAGTATGCAATCGGAGACATACACATGTACAACTATACATAGGTACAACAAGTAGCAAGACACGCAGTTAAAAAACTGGTACTATGTCTCCGACTGCATAATACTATGTTTCTTAATCAACTTGTTCTCATCTTTTTAATTCGCTGTTTTCGCAGTCTGGTTTTCTTATTATTGTAAATATTTTTTTCTTTATAGTTTTTCTTAATGAGAAAATTTTAGTTTTATTTAAATTTTCCCATCCTAAAATAATTTTACATATTATATTATGTTGTATATATTTTTGTATTGGTCTCTTAATTTACTATTTTATTATATGTGAAGATTTACTATAATATCAAGGTCGATATCAGAGTTATACAAGATACACAGGTCCGAAATATTTCTGCTCTCAAGCTTCAACTTAATACTGTACCTATAGTATCTACTGTATATCTACCTATCCTCGCGCACCATAACTTCTCGTCATAAAATAGCCATAATAATAAAATAAAGTACCTAATTATAAATTTTATGAAAACATTATAAGACATAAAATATGATAGTAATTTATATATATAAATATCGATATTTATGAACTAATATTTTCAAAATGATAATGTTTTTAATTTTTTTGCAAGTTTAAATTGACATTTTTTTCATGAAAATATTTACAAACATTAGTATACAATTGAATAATATAATTTGATTAAATTTTTATATCTACATATTATATATGATGCAAATATATAATTTTCAACAAGGCATATTTGCATCACTTTACGCCCGAGATGTTCGGCCTCCGTGTGGCTATTTCCGCGGTGACACAGGTTATTTTATGTCTAGACGGAACAAGCGTACCCACTTATTATTATATAGCGTCCAGCACCAGTGGTCTGCTCTGTCTCCACAGCACAAGGATAGGCGGCAGGTGGTTGACGAATCCCCCCCAACGTGCGTTTACTTTGTCGTGATATCTTCGGGGGATCTTAACGTAGCGTCCGGCACTTCTGCCGGGCGCGAAGCCAAGAAACGCACAGAGTGGTGGCCTACTTCGGTGGGCGGTGTACCGTGTGGGTTGCTCGTGGTACTTCTCTGATAGCAGGGTGGACTGTGGAGCAACCCCGTGGTTGTTGTGGTCTGCTTCGGCAGACCTGCCGTCGGGGCGTCGTAGTTGAGTGCGTAAGCAATCCTGCGACGCCCCATTAAGACGGGGGAAGGTTTTGTTGGGTTTTAGTAGGGTAGTACTGGATTTTCTAGCCGGTGAGTCCCATATAACCACCTGTAGACTGTAAATGCATTTCCCGTTATAAAAAAAAGGTGGTTGACGAATAGCAAGGGTTCTTCGAATGATGTTATTTATGAGGACGGCGAGATACTCGACCAGCCCGGTGACATAGGAGAGTGTGAGAGTTCCTGGTGTCTTTGACAACATGAGGCTCTTTGTTTTGCTCCCTAGACACAAGTAAAGTACAAGAGAAAATGGCTTAGATGTGTAATACCAGAAACTGCAGTGCTTATTTTGATACAGCTAGATGACGAGTTCGCTCTGATTGATATCTTTGCGTTGCTAATCTTTGCATTTAATTATAAGCTTGTTATGAACTCCTTTAGAGAGAGGCTCTAATAAGGTGTTATTTGATTTTATACTTAATCAATTAAATTTTAGATAACTCATTGGACATGGGGTAGATTTTCTCAGTGTGAGGCAAGTTTTGAAAATGTTGCCCCTAGATAATTTTTTCATTAGGGTTCCGTAAATAAAATCTAAACAACGAAATCCTTATAATTTGTCCGCCCGTCTGTCCATATTCACAGTAATATTACCTACTCCGAGACTATTGGTGCTACATTGCTGAAAGGTAGGTAGTTAGACAATTCTGTTAAATTACGGAAAAAAGCCGCCCCTATTTCGTGCTGCCTGTGGCGACCGCCTCTTTGCATTATAGCACCGCAGGGCCTTGAGATAACTAATTATACACCTTTTGTTTCTAGGTCAAAATTTCGACAATCTTCACAAGCGGATCCAGGTTATTCCGTGCGGAAAGTCACACTGCAAGCTGCGTAAGGGCACAAACACCACCGTAGAGTTCAAATTTAAGCCGAGTAAGTAAAAATATTTATTAAGTAAATTTTAGACACAACACAGATAGATTACTTCCTGGTCAAGCGCAATCGCCTAAACCAAGTTAAAGATTGCAAGGTTCTACCAGGGGAAGCCTTGGTCTCACAACACAGACCCCTGATAATGGAAGTGATCTTAAAGATAAAATTAAATAAACAGAAGGAACGTCACACACCTACAATTAAGTGGTATATGTTAGAGAAGAATGAGTGTGCAGAAAAATTTAGAGAAAGAGTGGTTGATAAAATGATAGAAATGGGAGATATGAAAGGACGAGAAGTGAACGAATGTTGGAATGAAATGGCAGGGTGTATCAGAAATGCAGCAAAAGAGATTTTGGGTAAGTCTAAAGGAAAAAGAGTGATAGATAAGGACACATGGTGGTGGTCAGAAGAAGTACAAAGTGTATTGAAAGAAAAGAAGTCAAAATTTAAAGAGTGGCAAAATGTTGATGAACGGAATTTAAGTTTGAAAGCGGCAAAGAAGGAAGAATATGATGTATGGAAGAAAAATGCTAAAAAAGCAGTTGCCAAAGCAAGAGCAATAGAACAAAATAAGTTATATAACAACTTAGATACTCCGGCCGGCCAAAAACACCTTTATCGGCTCACTAAGTCAAGAGAAAGAGAGACGAGGGATATTTCGCGAATGAAGTGTATGAAGAATGAAGCAGGTAAGGTACTCTCAGATAATGCTAAAATTAAAGATAGATGGAAGGACTATTTTGAAAGGCTTATGAATGAGGAGAACGAATGGAGTGGAAGGCTTGACAAAAAGGCTGAAAATATAGGATTAGTCAGAGCGATTAGTATGGATGAAGTGAAAGGAGTAATAAGTGGAATGAAGAACGAAAAGGCGGTGGGGCCGGATGAAATACCAATAGAAGCATGGAAGTTATTGCGAGAGGATGGATGGAAGTGGCTAGCCTTATTCTTCAATAAGTTGTTGCAAGATGAAGTCATACCGGACGAATGGTGCAACAGTTCATTGGTGCCCATTTTTAAAAATAAAGGTGATGTGCTGGAGTGCAACAACTATAGAGGAATAAAGCTAATTTCACATAGTATGAAAGCTTGGGAAAAAGTGATTGAGCGAAGACTAAGAGAAGAGAGTGAAATTTCACAAAACCAGTTCGGATTTATGCCCAGTCGGGGAACAACTGATGCCATTTTTGCAATCCGCCAGCTATGCGAAAAGTACAGAAGTGCACACAAGAATTTGCACATGGTCTTTATTGATCTGGAGAAGGCATATGACCGGGTACCCCGTGAGGTTTTGTGGTGGGCCCTTAGAGAGAAATGTGTGCCTGAAAAGTACGTGAAGTTGATCCGAGCGATGTACAATCGATGCAGTACACAAGTCCGGTCCACAGCTGGCACCACTACTAGCTTCAATGTGGCTGTAGGTTTACACCAGGGGTCTGCCCTTAGCCCGTACCTCTTCTTGATGGTATTGGACGCCTTAACATCAGACATACAAGAAGAAGCCCCCTGGTGCATGCTGTTCGCCGACGACATTGTGCTAGCGTCCGAGAATAGTCTAGATGTTCAGAATAGATTGGAAGAATGGCGACAAAGACTGGAGAGTGTTGGCTTGAGAGTCAGCAGAAGTAAAACAGAATACCTTTTCTGCGACTTTGGTGGTCTCTCCAGTCTTGTGCCCATAACCCTTTCGGGAACACCCTTACCAATATGCACTGACTTTCGGTATCTTGGATCTCTTGTACAAGGTGATGGTAATATTGACCGAGACATTACGCGTCGGATCAACTCTGGGTGGATGAAATGGCGACAGGTCACAGCGATAACTTGCGATAAGCGGATGCCCCTTAAGTTGAAGGGTAAGATCTATAAATCCGTAATAAGACCTGTCGTTATGTATGGATCGCAATGCTGGGCTACAAAGAGGACTGATGAAAGAAGATTGCATGCTGCTGAGATGAGAATGTTAAGGTGGATGTGTGGAGTGACGAGGATGGATAAAATAAGGAATGAGTACATAAGAGGAAGCTTAAAAGTAGCACCAGTGACAGAGAAGTTGAAAGGGAATCGTCTTAGTTGGTATGGGCATGTGAAGCGGAGGGATGAAACGCATGTGACGAGAAGAGTGATGGAAATGAATGTAGATGGATGGAAAGGTAGAGGAAGACCGAAGAAAAGATGGATAGATTGTGTGAGACAAGACATGAAAGAGAAAGGGGTGAATGATGAGATGACGAGTAATAGGGGAGAATGGAAGAGGAAGACTTACTGCGCCGACCCCAAATGACTTGGGAAATGGGCAGGAAGAAGAAGAAGAAGTAAATTTTAGGAATGTTCTATCATGATATATATATATATATATATATATATATATATATATATATATATATATATTTATATATATATTATTTATTCATTTTACACCCTTATGGGATGAATTTCGAAAAATGGTAAAACACGTATTTATTTAATTTAATTGAAGAACATTAATACCAAGTTAGAAGTAATTCTGATCATGAATATTTCTTGGATTGTATTATAACGTGTTTTCACGTGAGATTTAGATAACCTCCCGCGGTAAAAAGTAGCATAAGTCACTCTCCAGCTTTCCAACTGTCTCCACCAACGACTACTCAGCTCGAATAGACGCCTAATTTATGTACTTCTGCATCCAAACATGTCAGTCAAAAGTCTGAGGTAAGCGCTATGGGAGGGGTTGGTTAATTCAAGGTTGCGACACTTGCTAATAGACAAATAGTGATGCGAACTTGGGTAATAATGTTGGTACCAACTCTAATTAATGAGTACCAGACTCATATTCTACTATAAATTAGTACAAAAGAAAAAAAATTACAAAAGAAGTTTTATATCGTATCGTAGGTAGGTATCGTATTTAGTAAAATAATTTTCTGTTTTAAAGAATATTTTTATTTGAAACAAGCTTTCTTTACTATGTATAATGAAATAATAATAGAATACTTAATATTATTTATATAGGTTTATTCACGGTTTATTTACAGGTTTATCCATGATTTAAGTTTTTGAAAAACTGTCCCTTATACTCTGTATAACTAAACTACTACTTATTTACATGAACTTCTTATTTATAAAAAAAATACATTAGGTACTTATTACAATTATTTATTCTTTACATGTAGTTGTTTTTGAAATGTATTAACTTTGTGTAAATCTTCTTATTGTCGGTTTCTGAATGGAAGATTTCGTGAGAAATACTAACCTTGTGGAAATATGCTTGTGCATTACGCTACTTGTTAAATCCACTATGTGGTTAGTTTCTTCGGATTGAAATTGGTGAAAAATTATTTCTAAGAAAGCGGCTCATCAACAAACGTGCCTAATGTTTTACTTACTAAAAAATCGGCCTTGCGTGCTTGACCGTTATTTAAATTTATTGTATTTAAATTTATATTGTATTATTGTAATTTTTAAATTTATTATATTATTTATTTTTATTTGCATAACATTGTACCAATTTTATAGTTTAACTGGTACAGCACTAGTTACACGTGCCGGTAATTAAAGAAAAGTTTAGCAACAATGAACTGCATTGAAAAGAAAGGGATGCATAGTCTGAGAATGTCCGAAGATGTCTAAATACATCAATGCGAGTTGCGTTGCGACCAATATAGCTTGAACTCTGATTTAATGACATTTAATGAATTTGGAAATTAAAATTCACTTACCTATTAAAAGTGACGCCATTTTTCATAAGTAAGTTACTACTATTTCCACACCATTTTATTGTACAGCGAGCCACGTTGCGCGTCTGTTGTATTTTTTGTGTCGGAAATACATGAGGCTCAAGTAATGTGTTCTCGGGTCACGGATGTGGTTGGTACTGAAGTAAATTGCGCGATCGTTTTCTTCAGTCAGACGTATTTGTCAAACGTGTTGACTGAAAGTGTTCGCCTTACGTGAGGTGTCTATTGGGCTGAGTAGTCGTTGATCTCCACACAAAAAATCACGCCAATCCGTCACTCCGTTTCGACGTGACGTGAAAGAAGGACAAACAAACAAACACTTTCAAATTTATTATATTGGTATAGATGTGAGGACTAAACAGTAAGTTCAATCAATGTTATTTTTTATTGTACCACATACCAAGTTTATAGCTTCTTCCAAGAAGGGAGATCGAATCATGTTTCAAAGAAATTTTATTTTATTTGAAACAAGTTTTGATTTGACAGACAAGCAAAACCAATACAATAAAATCTACATATAAGAAAAGTTTCATTGGAAATTTCGTCTCTTCGCTCCATTTTATAGTTATGACTTATGTTACTTATAGGAATGCAAGATATATTGGTGGTGAGTAGACCCTATAGTGCCTACCCTAGTTCCCTAATAGCTATTTTGAACCTGTAAAGTATTGTCCCTACTACTAGTTATGACAGTTCAAATTTCTTTTTTTTGGGGATACTTTGATCTAGACTTTTGAAGTATAAGTTTAGAGTAGATATCTACTTATAATATATAATTAATCTAAATCTCCCTTTTAAATATTTATCAGTCGGTTTCGTCAGCAGTATTTACTTTTTGTAAATAAAACTAACTCGTATGAACCATCTTTCTAATACACGGTCCATGGTATTTTTTAATCTTTATTTCCTTTTGTATTTATTTTGTCTTGCAACATGAAGCTGACTAAAACATTTTATAACTATAATTCAATCAAGATGCAAAGTAAGGTCATCCAGCGTCCTCGGTCCTTCTGCTTACCGGATGAAAAGTATTTTGTTTTACATTGAACAATGGAAAATTAAAAAGATAATTAAGTATAATATAATAACTAAAAAATATTATTAAAAGGAGTCCCTTTAGGCAAGGTTCCGAAGATACTGGCAGCGTTCCCCCTTTGAATAGCTAGACTAATTCTTTGTCCGAAGTAGCTGCCAGCTCTTCGGTCTCCTATGACGTCGAATAACCTTTTTGCTATTTCCTTAAAAAGTCTTATAGCGCTAGGAATAGGTAATAACACCGTTTTTGTTTTAAATGTTACCTAATAAAACATGGCATAGTAGGTATAGCTAGTAATATATGGTCATGATTGTCATATCGCACACCTAGATCTAAACAGCGATTAACTCAAAAAAACACTTTTTTCAGAAAACGTGAAAAACTGATTACCAAATCCTTGTGCACTCCAGAAGATTTCTGTATTGATCAAAGTTTTTTTAAATTAAAATAGATGAAAGATGTTATAGGAATCTTGTGTTTCAATTCTATATTAGGCCTAAAAATTGGATTTTTGTAGTTGTTTCTGTATTGCTTAACAAATTGTAAGTTTATTTTTTGTTATTTGTAGTTGAACCTGTGTTCGTGAATTTAGTGTTTAGTTGTCTCTTTTTTGAAGAGTCATTATAAATTTAAAAGGGACAGCATTTTGAATGTATTTATAATAACCTGACTAATAGAGGGTCTGACCCCCATATTCTTAGTCGTAAACTCGAGATTTCCTCGACTCGACTCAACCTCACTGAGGTGGTTCGGTATTCATCGTCATTTTGTCCCTTACCTCAACTATTCGCCTCGAGTAAGGTGAGGAAAACTCGAGGACCGAACTGTCAAATGTAAGGTACCTCGCGATCTACCATAAGGAAACCTCGAGACAATTATTGATAAAAACATCGTGAATTATTTAGCATTTTATTATATTTTAAAGTTATTTTGGTGTTTAAAATGTCTTTTGAAAAGTTTATTGAGCATATTATTATTTATCACGGCGCTATTTACGGAATGCAAGTAATCCTATGGAGTTCTATGATGAATGTGATTTTAAAAATAGATTTCTTTTTACCCCTTGAGGCCTTCCTCGAACACGCCTCAGTCGAGTTTGAGTCGAGGGAGTTTCGAGGTAACAACTAAGAATATGGGTGCGAGACCAAAAGTAGGGGTAGATTGGCTGATTGTTAGGAATTAGCAAGAAAACACTGAATTAATTCCTCAATCAGACAATATTTTTTATGAATACTTAAAAATAAAAAATTAAAAAAAAAATATTGAGTGTCGTAGGTACTACGAATTCTCTTTGCTTTTCAAGATTTGCGAATTCCCTAAAATGCATCCAAAAGCCATTGCCTTGATAGTTCATCCACCTAATTTACTTTACATTGTAGCCGACATTTTTCTCTGACACTTATTTTTACATATTTCTGGTTTATATACTCTTTTTTTGTCTTTTTTTTGTTCTATCACGGGCTGTTAGGAATTTTTTCAGCAACATTGCATTAATACTTTCCTAGATTTACGCGAATATTTGACATTTTAAGTAAAACTATCTTCTAATCTAAATCTAAGAGACCGAGTCTCTCTCGTGACCATGATTGCTATAAAGCATTCGAAACGTCGGGAACATTGGTTCCTATTCGAACATCGAATTTATTTTGATTATTGAATCAAAATAAATTCGCGAAGAAATCCGAAAAGATAGTTTTATTTAAATCCATTGCATTCTGAGAGTCAAGTTGTACATGCGCACTATCATCTTTGGTATCCGACGAACTACCAGAACTTGATGAGCTACTAGAGCTGCTACTATTGGGGCTGGACGAAGACAACGATGAACTAGTAGGAACGACTTTAGATGATGTCTTTTTTTATGAACAAATCCGAAACTGGGATCTTCATCTGAGTTGTCGATTTCGCTTTCGTCACTTCGGATTGGTTGTCATTTCAGTTGTTTAGATGTGCTCGGATTAGATTTATCAGCCACAGATATGCTTGATGATATCTTTATGTAGTCTTCTTGCTGTTGCTTATTTTCTAGTACCGTCTTCTTCTGTATTATTGGTTCAAGCTCTTGTTAAAAAGGTGTAGTATCCCGTTGCATATTTTCATATTGAGTCAGTAAGTTAGGGCCGATATTTTCTGTGTCCCTTGCTCAACCATATTTACTAAAAATGGTACACGATTCATTCTTTTTCTAAAAAAAGTGAAATTACACAAATAAATCTGATCCGTTACACGACATCGATTTGATGAACGCAATTACGTCTATATATATATATATATATATATATATATATATATATATATATATAGTGAAATTTTATATAGCGTAGCCCATCTAAAAAGCTCTAACTTAAAAAATGTTTATTAAAATACAACCTTTGTAATGACTAGAATAAAAATAAAATAATATTTAGATGAAAAGACTCCAATCACCACTAGCAAAAAAGTTAATTTTAAATTGGGTTTTAAAGAAAACTAAAAATTTAAAAATGTTTCAACAACAAAACAACAATTCTAAATAAAAACGAAAACTTTACTCACTTTCCTATGAACACTGTTAGTGTCACCTAGCACTGAGAAATATAACTATTTTTGTATCTGTTTTATTGGCCGCTAGCTAGTAAGTTAAGGAATCCGATGGTATGCGTAACTAAAAAGATGAGATTTTTGAATTAGCTCTGTTTAGATCTAGATGTGCGATATATGGTCAACTAACACCGTCGTTTCGGGGTCGTCCCTATACAAAAATAAATCTATTCCACGGAAACCGTACATTTTCTCGGCATAAAACTTATGTATTTCAGACTATAATCTATCTCTGTGCTAAGTTTCATGTATATTCTATACCCGTTGAGCCGTTTTGGCGTCCATCCTTAAAACCGTTCACGTTTACAATATTATTATGGATGATAATTTTAGTTAACATTTCTTTCACTTGTCACATGCTTACTATCAGCTATTATCTCTTCTATTTCGCGTAATGATACTATTGCGCATCTTGCTTTTCCAATTTGCTAAACTCTGATAATACCTGACGTGACCTATAACATAACGTACGTATGTACAGTGGCGTAGTTACTACTTACTAGCTGTCATGGTTGACACCTATACCTGAATACATGGTACCTTCAATATTTTATATAAGGTTTTAAAACTTAAGTTTTATAATAAAAACATTATTTTTTCTGCATTAGATGGAAATATAATAATCAAAATAATATATTGATTATGATTAAATATCAATGGAGATATAACATAACCTTAGGTTTAAGCGTGTGGTCTTAGGTGTCGATTGCCAATAATTTTAAATATTATGCATAATATGTCTATTAACACTTATCCAACAATAAGAGCAATTAGTTTTTGCCTGTATTGAGTTTTGGGGTATATATTATTATAATTATTTACTTAACAAAACATTACAAATCTATAGGCAGGTACATATAATAAAAGTGTAACTGATCGCTGTATGTATATGGAAGATATTTGAGAAAAACTATTTGTGGTCTTTATTAAAGCAATAGAACCGCAGAACAATGATTTTTAGATTTTTTTTTGTTTGTCTGTGCGTTTGTGCGCGCTAATCTCAGAAACGACTTAACCGATTTGGGTACGGTTTTCACTAATGTATTGTGGTAAGCTTCACCCAACATTTAGTATTTGATTTTATTTCAATTGGTTCCATAAATAAAAAAGTTATGTCAATTTACATTTATGTACAAGAAAAAAGGAATTAATAAAAAGTTTTAAAACCATCTTACAATTATATATTAGAATTTATAATAAAGTAAAAAGAAACTATTTTGTATATATGTTTTAAGAGACTTGACGAATATTTCCAGAGCATGAAGTAAAAAACCTTACAAACGACGTCTACGCTTTAATTGGTGGCCTCCCATTGCCGTTTGTCGGCGTGTCTGGGGTGAGTGCGTGCGAGCAGATAAGGCGAGCTGACACCGGCGAGCATGTACCCTGTCCGCTGGCGCCTAATCAAGAATATATATACACTAATTCCTTCCCCATAGAACCATTCTATCCACAAGTTCCTCTTCGTGTCCACTGGGGACTCAATGATGGGGCTAAGGATATCATCTGTTTCGAAGTACCGGCTGTTATTACACAGATGAAAAAAAACTAAAGCAGATCTTATGAACTTTACTGTATCCGTTTTATTCCGTATTAATTAGAAGGTATTTTAGGTATAAGTAAAAGACAAGTGATTTGTATAATCCAATTTTTAACATTAAATAATAATGATAAAAAATGAGATAAATATTTATTGAAACCTCATATTATTATTAATTAACTCCTAACCTAGTAATACAGTTACTTATTTATCTTTAATAATATTAATTAAAGGATGCATATAATATTAATTTGTTCATTAAAATTTTTATTTTAAAATATTACTTACACAAGTTATAAATGAATTTGTTTAGATCCGTTATGTATATTATATATCTTAAGAAATTTTATAGCACTGCGTGACCTAAACCCACACTTAAGTAACGACTTAAATAGGTCATTACTACCATGGTAGAGGAAGAGCCCGTGAACGCCAGACCTTCGTCATTTTATAAAGGCTGGAAGGTTGTCAGCGCATGCTCCCAACACAGATAAGAACGATGGACCATTATGAAGTTCAGGCTATGGTGGCTTTGGCAGGTACACGGTACTAAAGGCGTGTAAAATACCGATCTAAATTCGTCGTATTTTTGATGGTGTGTAATAAATGCTATGCTGGCAGTCTTATAAATCATCTAATTATTACCCAAGTATTATATATAAAAATCAGCTTTTATACTATAACGTAAGTAGAATTATGATTTCATGAAAAAGGTGTCTGGAAAGGGTTTGCCATGATAAGTGTCTGGCATTAAATGACGTGATTTTTAATAATATTCTGAAGGTAATACTAAAAAATCACACTTTATTATTTGACGAATTTAGATCGGTATTTTACACCACCTTTAGTACCGTGTACCTGCCAAAGCCAGCATAGCCTGAACTTCATAATGGTCCATCGTTCTTATCTGTGTTGGGACCGTGCATTGACAAACTTTCAGCTTTTATAAAATGACGAAGGTCTGGCGTTCACAGGCTCTTAGGCCATGGATGACAAATAAAAATATAAATGATTACTACACCGTGCAATAATAAATCTACGTATTTCATTAAGAAAAAGAAAAGCAAAAGAAGGTACTTTTAGATGTGAATTGTTGTGTTTTTAATGACATATTTAATTAATTTGTTTCTAAATCTGAATAAAATATAAAAGCCTTTTTTTGTTTCTTAAGTAGTTTTAGTTGATTTATTTTATATCATTTTTTTGTATAAGTACTCACAACCTTTTGATTTTCTTTTGGTTTAAATCAGCTTTAGTGTCAGTTTTTTTTTCTAATTTATGTTAAAAATTACAATAAATTTTACAATTTGCGTGGTAAATTTAACGTAACATTAGTTTTTTTTATTAACTTTTATTCTTGAGGAACGGAATACATATTTATACCTAGTAATTTTATAAAGAAATATGAATCGCGGTATACGAAAACAATGGTAATCTTCCAAAAATGTCTTTAATCGTAAATAAAATTTTGGAAGATCTTTTAAAAAAGATGGCTGTATTATGTCACACGAGTTATAATTAATAGTGTACGATACTTGTGACTTAAGTAAATCTATTAATGTAGGGTTCTTAGCACGTGTAATAATACACTACTTAAGTCACACTAATCGTAATATTGCTATAACCCTGAGAATATTTGTATAACTATAACTTATAGAATATATTCCCTAGACTATTTTCACAGGTACTTCAAAGCAGATTATATCTTTTGTTTTATACATAAGTGACCAATGTACGTCTACTTCTATTGAAGGGTAAAAACTGAGAATAGGAAAAGAGTCCTTGTAGGTGTATTTGGTGCCAGCTTTAAGAGGACATGAAGTCTTCTCGCCATTCTCAGTTTCAAGTTTGTCGCAGACTGAAGTTCCATCTACTCCAACGAAAGGAAATTTCACACCAAAAACATCAGCTACCACGTGGTTTTCAATATTCTCTATATCAGTCACTGAAAGAAGAAACAAGTTAAATTATTATCTTGTTTACCACATGTAATTTTTTAGCTCCTTTGTTTAATAATTATATTAAATAAGGTACAGTATAGCAATTATTATTTAAGTAGCACAACCCGCAGCTTCGCTTGCGCTAAAACTACAAAAAAAAACTAAAAAGGTAGTTTCATACAAACTTTCATCCCATGTTTTACCCCCTTATGGGACGAATTTCGAAAAACGCTAATACATACACGTATTTGTTTAATTGTATTGGAGAGCATTAATACCAAGTTTATTATATATTTATTAGTATTTTTTGGGGTATACCTATTATAACTGTTTTCTCGTGGGATTGAGATAATCTCCCGCGGTAAGAAGTAGCCTCCAAATATCACAACAAAAATCCATTACTCAGTTTCGACTTGAAAGAAGGAGAATAAACACACATTCATATTTATATTAGTTTTAATTTTAATAATTATTGCCGGGACAATAAATACCTATGGCTTAACGTCTCAAAGCAACCAATGTGTTGACTAATTCCCACACTCAAAATTTGGTATGAATACTACTTATACTAGAACTAGATTATAATATTGCATTATACATGTTATTCTTTTTGTATAGGTATATTCCACGGTTTTACATAGCCGGTCAGAAAAATGTAAACAAAACATATTCTATTCTTGTTCTAGGGTTGTTTTAAAAACGTCAAAAGTTTCTATGACAATATTTATATTACTAGTATTATTTATATTATTAGTGGTATTTATATTACTACTATACTAGCAGTACCCGCGGCTGCGCCCGTGTTCAAACTACAAAAAAAAACTCTCTGCCGTTTAGGCGAAGATCATCATCATCAACATACCGACAGCAACGCCACCTACCGGGTCTAATTGTATTTTCAAACCATCCAGGAACCCATTGAAATATACACACAAAACTTCATTCAAATCCGTCCAGTCATTTAGGAGGAGTTAGGTGACTAACACACATGCAGAAGAATTATATACCTATACTAGCTGACCCGACAGACCTTGTCCTGTCTACACGTCTTTAATTTGAAAATTTCAAACTTTTTTAATAAGCTAAAACATTCTGGACCATTTTGATGAAAATTATTATTCAAATTGTGAATCTAAACCATTCTCAGATCCCCTTGAACACACACAAAAAATTTCATCAAAATCGGTCCAGTCGTTTGAGAGAAGTTCAGTGACATACACACTCACAGAAGAATTATATATATAAAGATTAAGAAAGATATCGGTATGAAAGCTTTTACCTTGAATATATTATTGCAAAAACAATACATAGATAGCGCTTAGTATTATTATATCTACTTAAAAAATTGCTATGCGCTAACGTTTAAAATTAACAAAAGATTAATTATTATTATGAGCTTCCTCAATGTTTAATAGATTTAAGTATATAAGTCATAACAAAGGATGCTAAACTTATTAAAACCTATTAAACATTAATAAACCATTAGAAATCTTGTTTACTGGTTTACAAGTACCTATATGTCGTATGTAGTGTACTTTATTATTAGTTAATTAATGCTGAAGCGGGTTTGCGCGTAAACGAAAATAAAAATTGACAGGCGCAATTTGTGTTTCATATTTCAACTTGATTTTTTAATTTGTATTTGCAAAAAAAGAAACTGTTTATAACCTTTGCATTAATTGTTTAGATTCTCGCGCGTAAATACCTATACTATATAATATTATGTATTGTATACTATATAATATGTATGTATTTCGCTTTACAGCACAGATAGGTACAGCAGAAGTGTCGACACCTAAAACACGGTAATGATAATTATGTAACATTACCGTGCTTAAAATCGTAAACCAGTCTAATTTTATTTTCTACATTTTTTTTATAATTACTTATGGACAACAATAATGAAATTAAATTAAGCAATAAGAGCAAAAACTAAATTAGTACCAGGTGTAAATGTAATGGTGATGTGTGCGTCACTTGCTTTCTTTAGACGACAAGGTAGTTTTTTGCACGGTGCGAGCGTCACTACGTCCTTTAAACCTTCATCTGATCGTCCTGCAATTAAAAACATATAAATTTGTTAGAAAATGGTAAGATATGTCTTAAGAATTGTAAACTTAACTAAACTTATTAACGTTTGTAAAGTAATTAAACTTTATTCAATTAGACTTTTACAAGTACTAAATCGTAAGTTTTAAATCGTCAATTTAATTTAAAGATCGTCAGCGTAGACACTCCGTTAGGAACCTACCACCGGCTCGAAAAGCAGTTCTGCTGAGAAGAGCCGGCAAAAAACTTAGCAGTTGCTGTGTTAAATAATAACGAGTTACATTTTACTTATATTAACACTAGCGGCTCACCCTCGCTTCGCTCGGGTTCACCTCTAGAAAAGCACAAACAGATCTATCCCACGGGAACCGTTTCTTTTTCCAGGATAAAAAGTAACCTGTTGTTAGACCTGCAATATAAGGTATCAGCATGCCAAATTTTACTAAATTAGGTGCATAAGTTGTTGTGTACGGAGCTGTATATGTTACTATAGTTTTTAACTATCCCACGGGAACCCTTTAATTTTCCGGAATGAAAAGTATCAAATTTCATTTGAATCGGTTCAATAGTTTCGGAGATTAGCCCGTACGTTTGTACGTACGTACGTAATTTTTTTGTTTCTCTGTCTGTTTGTCTGTTTAGACAAACAGACAGAAAAACAAAAAAATTGAAAACAATCTGGATTTGTTCTATTTCTCTCCTTACGGGATGTAAGAAGAGAACTGATTCGGTTTTTAGCATTTTTTTCTATCATCTATGTACAGACATTCGACCCCTACAGTTTTATTATTCTTATATGTATATTCAGATAGAATAAATAACGTATAATAAAACAGTAATATATAATAATGAAAATAGTTATAGCGAGTGTACCTTAGGAGATAGACATATACTATGTAGAACTTTTCTATAAACCTTTTCAAGACTTACAATTTTCTTGCACAACGTTTTGATCTATCTCTTAAGGTTGAACCAACGTTAGCCACATAAATTTCTAAGGACGGTTCGATAGAACCAGTTATTATGTTTTCCCGTCGGAATGAATAATTAGCCTGTCGTAAAAGGTATCCTAAATGTTGACCCGAGTACTGAGTTTTATCACTATACAAAATTAATTTAAAATCGGTTGAGTACTTTTTGCGTGAAACGCGCACATCGATTTGACTAAGTTTTATTATAGGTGTAGATAAGAATAAATATTGCGAGTGTAACTTAGGAGATAGACATATACTATTCAGAACTTTTCTGTAGGACTTTTCAAGACCTACAATTTTAAGTATATTGTTTTGATGTATGTATGTCTTAAGGCTTAGCCAGCGGAAGGTTTCTAGAGAGGACTCGATAAAACCAGTTATTGTATTTTCCCTTGGGAAAGAAAGATTTTCTTGAAGTAAAAGGTATCTAGGCAGTGGTATCCCAGTGGTAACGCGCTCGCTTGGGAAACCGAGTGAAGCAAGTAGTTCAAATCCCGGGTCTCGCACCTCTGATATTTTCATGTGCGAATCATTTCTAACACAATTACCATTTATCTTAACGGTGAAGGAAAATTGGTACATTATTTTTCGCGTGAAACGCGCACACAATAACAGACAAACAGACATACAGGCAAAGAGACAAACAGACATTATTTTTTATAACTGTTGTTTTGGGGTCTATGTTGTGTACATAATACGTTATAGATAAATAAAAACATCTATCCCACGGGAAAAGTACATTTTTCCGGGATAAAAAGTTACCTATTTGTTATTCTGATGTGTGAACTATATTATTGTAAAGTTTCATCAAAAACCAATCTGTAGTTTTTGTGTACTAAGCTGTATAAGTTACTATAGTTTTTTGACTATCCCACGGAAACTATTTAATTTTCCGGAATGAAAAGTAGCTGATTTGTTTTTGTCATATTTGAACTATATTATTGTAAAGTTTCATTAAAATCCAATCAGCAGTTTTTATGTACTAAGCTGTATAAGTTGTTATAGTTTTTTAACTATCCCACGGGAACTCTTTAATTTTCCGGGATGAAAAGTATCTAAGATGTTGCCTGGGGATATAAGGTACCACCATACAAAGTTTCATTTAAATAGGTCCAATAGATTCGGAGATTAGCCCGTACAAAGAGAAAAACAGACTAACAGCTCGCTCGGGTTCGTCCATAGGTACCTACGAATATGTTGTATTATCTCTTTAACCATTTGTCCAAATTATATGCAGTAAAAGGGAAAAGTCTTTTGTTTTAAACATTTTAGACGATAAATTTACTTATTTTGATAAGAATTCATAATTGTTGATAATATGACCAATAAACATGACCTACCGATTTAAATTATCTTTTTAATATAAAAAACTACTTTTTGTGACTTAAATATAAAAGGTAGACATATGCTGTCGCTGACTTTTTTGTAGGCATTATTAAGCTCTACAACTTATCTCTAGAACATAATCATATATCTCTCATCGTTAAGGCAGCGTTCGTAAGAAACGTTTTCGTTCGACCGTTTTTTCTCCGACTTACTTTGCAAATCCGACGACCACCAAAAAGCCTTTTCATTTTTCGGGTTAATATATAGCCTATGACACTCAGAAAGAACGTGGCTTTCTATTGGTAAAAGAATTTTGAAAATCGGTTCAGTAGATCCAGAGATTACCCCCTACAACGTCACAAACTCACAAACTCACAAGATCACAAACTTTACCTCTTTATAATATTAGCATAGATAACTATTTATGTAGACCGCATATAGGTACTAATAGAAATGAGATTTTGAAATTATTATATAAACGTTTATTCTCTATCCCTTGGAATCTCATTTAATATTCGTATATATACATATACTAGCAGTACCCGCGGCTTCGCCCGCGTCCAAACTTTCGATCGCTAACAAAATTCACAGGATCACCCGCTGGGCTAATCTGAAGATTAGGTACCTTAAAATTTCATCAAAATCATTCCAGCTGTTTTGGAGTCCATAGGAAACGTACATACATCGATTTTTATTTTATTTAAACAATTATTTAAATTTATTTATTGCTCGGAAAATGGAGTCTTATATGAACATTTAGTGACACACCGACTGCAGCGCCACCTACCGGATCCATTTGTGAATTCAAACTTTGCAAGGACCCACTCGAACATACACAAAAAATATCATTAAAATCTTCCCTGTTGTTTAGAATATGATCAGTGGCACACCAACTGCAGCGCTACCTACTGGGTCCATTTGTATTTTGAAACCATCCAGGAGCCCATTGAAATATATACACAAAATTTCATCCAAATCTATCCAGTCCTTTAGAAGGTGTAGGTTAACAAACACACGTAGAGAAGAATTATAATATACAAGCGACTCACCCTCGCTCCGCTTGGGTTCGTCCCTAAGGTGGGCCACCCTTATCACTTAGGGGTATAGAAAATAGATAGTAGCCGATTCTCAGACTTACTGAATACGCATATAAAATTTGGTAAAAATCGGTAAAGCCGTTTCGGAGGAGTACGGTAACTAACATTGTGACATGGAAATTTTATATATTAGATATTAAGATTATAACATATATATGCATGTGTAAGTTGAGAACCTAATAATTGTTGACAATTGACATACAGATGATATACATAATAATTCCTGTAATATTATTTGCCGTCTTCTTTCAAATTTTCATTTCAATTTTTAAATACTGTTAACTAATATAAAAATAATTATTGGGAGCCATTTTTAACATTTTTCAAACGTTTGTTTGGATTTGAAACTTTGTAAATAGGTATGTGAAATCCTTATTTGATAAGGGGGGTAGAGACTGGAGAGCGGATAGTGAAACTTCTCTTCAATGGTTATCAGTAAAATGGCTAAGTTTTAATGAGTCCCATGCATTTGCTGGTGAGATGAAAGAAATATTTAGATGCCTATATCGTACGAAGAGGTAAAAGCCTATGTGAAGACCTCTATAAGGAGCAATAATGTTAGTCACGAGTTTTTGCTAGGTACCTAATAAAGTAAATATTGTTTAAAGTTTATTTCTGCTGATGTTGTTTTTGTACTGTGTTTTAGCATTGACTCATTCTTTGATTAAGTCTTTTGCAAAAATATTATGAACGTGACCTTAACTCGGAAAAAAACTTGTTTAATGTTTTTGCAAAAACAAAACAAACAAAAAAACTACATTTTTTACTGCTTAGAGACTCGTACCTACAGAAAATTACTACAAAAAATTTGCTGTATTTATTAAACAGAATAAAGAAGATTTTCATAAACATGTCATGCAATAACGAAATGTTCTAATAAATTGAAAAACGTAAAAAATATTACGAAAAAATCCGCGATAGCATAATAAGTCTAACTTTTAAGATGGATTCACAATAACCATTTTCATGGTTCTCAAATTGGGTTTAAAATAGTGCTTTATTTGCGAAGGTGTTTTTAACTGAAATGATGTTAGACTTATATAAATAAATATGTTGTGTACAACTTAAGCACTTATTTAGATCAAAACTGACCTTTACACCATTTAAATTAGATGAATATCTTAAAACATATTACAAAACGAAAATAACTCGCGAAACGTATCTTAGCGACGACGACGACAGCGGGGACAGTGGCAGACGGGGGCGAGAAGGACATGTCGCCCACCGACGAGACACGATCGTAGATATTTTATTCGTGAAATAATTTATTATTTCGGGTGCCAGTAGGAAAATCGAAAGCCCTTAAAATACTCAAGATTCGAATTTACGTTTTATTAAAATTTCCAAATTTATATTTATTTTTACATATTATGAAAACCATGTGTTATGGAATCACTCCCACCTCCCTACGCATCCGAGCGAAGCGAGGGTAAGTCGCTACTCGCTAGTAAATATATTATGTTGTAGTATAAAAACTATACTTTGTTGTAAAATAAATACTTTGAATTTTTTTAGTTAGTTATTGTTATGCTAAAACTTTATCAAGATTTTTTTATGCGTTATGAGAGGTCGAGATATGTGTAAGAGTTAAGTCATTCCTAAAAACAAA